CTCTCTTCCGCCCACGAATTGTCCATAGATTAATCGCGTATAGACTGACCGGTTGATTCTCTTTATACGCGCGGCTTCCAAAGGAAACGCGTACGTGTGACTCACCGACAGGAGTGTGATTATGAGGGAAATGAAATGATTAGCAATTGCCTTATCGGCGTTCAATGTCGATGCGGCGCCGACTATTTCCGACTGTTATCGGTTACAGTCAGCGAATTACAGCAGGGAAAAAAAATAAGAAAGAGAAAAAGAAAATAAAATAGAAAAAACAGAGAGGAACAATAACGTTGTAAATTTAACATCTCGATCGAAATGTGTCGAAAGATGCTTTTTCTTCGAAAAAGTGGAAGTGATATAATTGATATTGATTGCGTTCAATAAAAAAAATAGCAACAACTGTTGCAAGAGTCTTTGACACAATTGGTTCGGATTCGCGAGGAACTAAGGGCAACAGCCAATCACATTGAAGAATCTTACGACATTGCGAAGCTTCGTTTTCTCGCGTGCGTTTAAACGCACATGATTGATTTTTACTTATAAATCTGATCAATCACATCGCTCACGGCTGGCAGGGCTACGTTCCCAAACTTTACGTGTTACGTAAATTATTATGATTTTACAGTTAATCGAGTAAAGTTTTGAAACGCAGCTCAGCAGAGCATGCAGCTTCGTTCCGGCCATTGGCTACTGCGTGGCACCTTGCCGCGCGGCAAACTGGCTAATATTTCATTTGTCGTACTGCAAATATTTTTCAAGCTTGTATTGTTACAACTACAAAATAGAGAATTATGCTAGATATTATCTCTATTCTGCAGCCAATCAACGCGCTTGAAAAATTTATCATAGGACAAATGAAATAGTACCCGCGTACTCTATGGTCGACGTTCTTATGTTCGCACAAAGAGAAACGCCGGTCGCTGGGACAATAATATTGAACTATTGTCTATTGAAGTGATTGAACTAAATTCAATAATCTGATTCAATCTTTCTTTGAAGTGCTTTGAAGCGAGAATGTAGCGAGATTGCTGCAGTAGTTTTAACTTCTTTTGTACAAATTATTCTGTGAATGTAAAAGCATACATAAGGTTCCTTTTATGTATGACAGAATCGCACTGATTTACGCAAGCGAGTTTATTTTGATGTTAATATCGAAGTAAATAACGAAAACAACGAGAAAAACAATGGGAAGAACCGGAAGACTGGATGGGAAAAGTCTTCCTTTCTCCTTCAGAAGATTATCCCACAGTTTTGCCTGGAGGCAGAGGTTTGTTTGCTTAAAAATTAAGCGATAAATTTATATATATTTATTTATGCAATTTTATTTCATAATATTCATATCTGTTTTAAGATTTATTTCCCTTGTCTTAAAATAATTTCATAATTCTAATATGTTTTTTAACATTTCATATAATAAAGCGTTATAATCTTTAAAATATAAAACCGGAAATCTGAAATTATATTTGAAGTTTAATACAATTATGCACGTAATTTATTACAATTATTTATTGTAGAAATTATATGAATAGATTTTAATAATTGCTAAATTTTATAAATAAAAAGTTAAAGTAACTAAATTATTCTTAACTTTTATATCTTCTTAGAAAACTCTGATATAGAAGCATATGTCTTTTTTTGCTATAATGAGATTTAAGGATTTATTTTAACTCTTTTTTTAGACGAAGACAGATGAAATTGGCAAGGAGCAAACAAATTGTTCCTGATGCTGATGACAAATCCCCTGACCTTCAGAGCTCTACAGATATAGAACTTCCTGATACAACAGAGTCTGAGATCAAAACTGAAATGGCACGTTATCTTCATGAAGAACAAATGGACGGCAATGAGGAAGAGGCGGAAGCACATAACAAACAAGACACTCATATGGAAATTATTGAAATTATTGAATGTTGCAAGGCTGGAAGTGATTTGGTTCCTGTTAAAGTAGATAATAATGTGGAAGAAATAGAGGGATTAAAAGAATTGGAAGATGCACTTAATGCATACAATGAGGCAATTCTACATCCTTTAATCATTACACGTGTTCCTGAAGCAAATGATAACGTTCCTGTTACAGTAGATAATGATTGGGTTTCTGTTGAGATAGATAATGTGGAAGAGATAAAGGGATGTAAAGAATTAAAAGATGCATGTAACAAGGAAACTCTATATCCTTTAATCGTTAAAAATGATATTACTTCTGTTGAAGTAGTCAGTAATGAGCCTTTTGAAGTAGATAACGATTGGGTTTCTGTTAAAGTAGATAATAATGATTTTGTTAAAATAGATAGTAAGATGGTAAAAATAGAGGAAAAAGGTGCGTATAACGAGATCATTGAACGTTGCAAGGACGATAAGCATTTGCTTTTCAGTAATATAGATAATGTAGAAACAACAGAGAATTGTAATAAGAAAGACGATACGCTTAATGACAATTCCGAATACGAGGATCTTAAAATCGACAATAACTGTTCCGCAAGTTCTGTCATTCAAGAAAAAATACCCACAGGCAATTCTATTCTAAATATCTCTTACTTTCTGAGCGAGCTTCATAGAGAATTTGACAATCATGCACGTGGCATTGATTGTCAATTCGTGTACTGGAAACTTGTCAATTACCGTCGTCGCGGATTACTTACGCAATTTTATTTCAAATGTGAAATGTGTTACTATGAGGCGAGTATTTGGTCTCACCCCGTGGAGAAGACTCCGGATCTTAATGTCGCTATTGTAGCCAAAAGTGTTGCTTTAGGGCTAGGATATTCTCAATTGAGGCACATGTTTGAATCTATGGACATTAATACTATGTCCTTTAAGACTTATAAGAAGTATCGAGAAAATTTAATTCCAGTCCAGAAGAATGCTACGAAAAATAATCTCTCGAATGAAAACCAGTAAGTTTAAACTGCATTGAGAAACTTAAAATTTATTTTTTAACAAAAATTTTTTTTTTTTTTCGACAAAATATGTTCTACGTGTAATGAATCAAATTAATATAATATATAGGTTTCTATTATAATGAGAGTTTTATGATAAAATTGATGTAGCATTAAGTTCAATGAGTCTGAAACTTGTAATAATTTATTTTTATATTTTCTAAAAATACAAGCTGGACCAAAGAAACGAGAATTTTCTGTGTAGTGTTGGCGGATCGCGGATTACATTGTAATGAAAATTTTAGTTGTAAAGTTTTTAAGTTTTGATTTTACATCTTTAAATTTTCTTTGGCCCATCCTGCATTACGACGCAATAAACTTGTGATTGCATCTGTGATATCTATATAGAAATATAGATATTTTTGCACGTATTTTTTATATTTGATGTATTAATATTTAAAAGGTTAAGATATATATATTACTTTTAAAGAGAAAGGAGATTATTTTTAAGTAAAGATATATATTATGATTACAAGATGTGATATAAATTTGTAATAATATTAAAGCATATAATGGAATTAAATAAATGTGTTTATTAGTCTTTCTACCGATATAAAAATTCTTTTCCACAATTAAACGTATTATAGTCGGAAATAATTTTATATAAAAAACGAAATAAAAAAATTCAAAAATTACAGTTTTGTTACCGTTTCTGGCGTCGATTCGTAACAACATTATTTGCTTTATATAAAAGTTTTATATTTTATGTATAAAACAAGCTTAATTAGTCCCGACTAAAGGTTATATAAAAAAACAATAATACTGTGCTTTTAGGTTTGAGCCAGGAAGTTTTAGTATAAAAGAATAATTATATGTTTGAAAATTTTATATATTATATGGCGCATGATGTGTGTGACATTGATGTTTGGTATGTATCGATATTTGTAAATCATGAGTGCCCTTGTGTATCATTTTATTTTTTTTGTTCATCGAATATTGTAATAAGGAAAAAATGATAAATCTGATAAACGATACACGAGGATATTCGGATGACGTTTTTGAACACATATGTATGTGTGTGTTAAGTCACGTTCAATTGGTAAGATCACTGGCGATGATATCTCGCCGATGATAAAATAGATTCCACTTAGCAGAGATTCAAACCCCCTTAGCAGAGACTCGAACCATTTTAGCGGAGACTTAAACCCTTTAGCGGCTCGAACCTCTTTGTAGAAATCAAAATACAAACTTTTTTTCAAAGGAGTAGGAGATAAGCATAACAAAAGTTTAATCATACCACATGTTCAATATATACGTATATATGTCACATATGTTTATTATACGAAAATGTCAAGATTAATGTCTGTTACTCACAGATGTTTTATGCTGGACATATCTATATCTTGAACTCTAATGTTGCGCAATAGAATATGACAAAGGTTAAGTATGTTTCTGTGTACGGTCTTTCGTGAAAAGTAATCCGAGAGACAGTGATTTTCCGAGCTCGAAAGAGACATGCCTGAGAACGTGAAGAAAACCGGGCCCTTGATAGGCGCTATCGACGAGGGCACGAGTAGCGCTAGATTTTTGGTAAGACAAATTCGACGGAATGCGGTTATTTAATTCTTGGCACAAACAGATCTTCATTAATCTAAAATGACATTTCTGTTGTGTTATGTTGTGTTTAGGTATTTGACGTGTTACGCAGGAAGGTAGTTGCTTTGCATCAGATCGAGATCAAGCAGAAATATCCGCAAGAAGGATGGGTGGAGCAGGACCCGAAGGAAATATTACAGGCTGTCGTGGCGTGTATAGAAGAGACGGTGAAAAAGATGAAGAATCTCGGCCTGTCAGTCTCGGATATCAGAGCTATTGGGATTACTAATCAGAGGGAGACAACATTGGTGTGGGATAAAGAGACTGGCGAACCTTTGCACAATGCAATTGGTATAATGAACTATACGAGGCATCTTATTTTTCGAGAACTTTAATGACAGATTCATTGCTAAACCTATGTGTTGTTATATTTAATGGTTTAATGCGGATCGAGAAAAGATCGAGAAGTCCCATGCCTTACACAAAGAGTTAAATAAAACATTAAATAAAATGTATTAACTTTGCAGTGTGGCACGACATGAGGACAACTACAACTCTAGAAAACGTGTTGGATAGCATCCCTAACAAAACGAGAAATAAGAATTACTTGAAACCTCTATGCGGCTTACCCATGTCCCCCTATTTTAGTGCTCTCAAAATACGCTGGTTGATAGACAACATTCCACGTGTGAAGCAAGCCGTAGACGCTCAGAAGTGTGCTTTTGGAACAGTCGATACATGGCTTATTTGGGTAAATAAGCTCACATTAAATTGCATCTATGAATGGTAAAGTAACAAAAATTTCATATATCTCATTATTGAACTTTCCCTCGCGTTTAGAATCTCACGAAGGGCCAACTGCACGTTACGGATGTGTCAAATGCGTCACGCACGATGCTGATGAATATCGATACACTAAAGTGGGATCCCTTGTTATGCCGCTTCTTTGGCATTCCACAGCACATCCTTCCCGAAATACGATCCAGTGCAGAGATTTACGGCTCCGTTTCAAATCCTGAAGTTCTCTCAGGCATACCTATAGCAGGTGTAAGTATACATCTGGGATATGTATTATTTATTTAAAAATAATTTCTCTCTTGTTAAATTGGTAGAGATATCAAGAACATACATTTTCAGACAAAAAAAGTTCTTTGTTTTATATTTATAATGTAATAATTTATATAATTTGTTATAATTGCAATATTAATTTAATTGAGATGATGTATTTCTTTCGTTTTAGAAAGTAAAAGATGTAAATTGCTTTTATACATATTTAAATTTTTCTTTTTATTTTCCTTTCAGTGTGTAGGCGATCAGCAAGGAGCTCTCCTTGGCCAGTTATGCTTGAAACCTGGTCAAGCAAAAGCTACGTACGGCACAGGATGCTTTTTGCTTTACAATACAGGAAATACAGTATGTATAACAGAACAATTAGATGATATAAGTAATATAAAAAAATATTTTTATATAATATATAGAATTTCTAGCTTCTTTTTACATCAGACATAATGTTCTTAATCAAAAATAAACATGTAAAAATGTTATTTTGCAGAAAGTTGACTCGACGCAAGGATTAATAACTACGGTCGCTTACAAGTTTGCTCAATCCCCACCTGTTTACGCGTTAGAGGGATCCGTCGCTGTTGCTGGAGCCGCTTTATCCTGGCTGCGAGATAATATGCAACTTATGAGTAATATCACGCAAACGCAGGATATGGCAGAGCGTGTGAGGTGTTCCGGCGACGTGTATTTCGTACCGGCCTTTTCGGGGCTGTACGCACCTTACTGGCAACAAGATGCGCGCGGGTAATTGCATTCTCCTATTTTTTTTTCTTCTACCGATGTAAAATTGTCAACACTCCTCTTTCTAATCGAGCACCTTCGTGTTATTCGCAATTTAACAGAGTGATCTGTGGTATTACCGAGGACACCCAGCAATATCATATCATACGGGCAGCATTAGAGGCAGTTTGCTTCCAAACGAGAGACATATTAGAAGCGATGGTAAAAGATTCAGGCACGAAACTGACAACTCTGCAGGTTGATGGCGGCATGACTGTGAACGACTTGTTGATGCAATTACAGGCGGACTTAACCGGAATATCTGTTGGTAAATAAATATATACGAAACTTCTTTTAAATCTATAATTAAATAAATTCATGTAACTAATAATTATATATTGTATGTTGCGAACAGTGAGACCAAACATGGTTGAAACGACGGCATTGGGTGCCGCTATTCTGGCTGGTATTGGCGCAGGTTTAATTGATATAAGTGAAGTGGATGCATCTCAAGTGACTAAATTTTCACCCGAGATTAACGAAGATGGTAAATATTCATTTCGTTGTACATGTCAGTAATAATCGAAGTTTTAAAAGAAATAAACACATTTGATAATAATATACATTTTTGTTTTTATTTCAGAGAAAGATCTTCGATATTCCAAGTGGAAAATGGCCGTTGAGAGATCTATGAAGTGGGACTGTTCAACAACTCTAATAAATAATTAAGATCGTACGCGCGTGTATATTTTTATATCGAACTTGAAATGGGTATCTATGGGAGAGAATATAAAAGTTAGTAACATCTGTGATATATTTTATAGCATTTAATCAAATGTACCTCAGTTTTCCGCTGTTTTTTCCCTACGTCTATTTTTTCTCTCCACTTTTCTGTATGTACGTTCATCATAAATGCTAGGTAAGTCATAAATTAAAGTTAAAAGAAAATATATACACATAACTTCGTCACTTTTGACTACGGAGATTATTCTATTCAATGAAACAAATCACAAATAGAAAATAAAACTAAAAATAGAAAGTAAAAGGTAAAAAATGCTATTTCGTAAAAAATTATATATTTAAGGATATTAACATATTTAAGGATTCAGAAAGAAATAATAACCTTGAGAAAAGAATTCTATATCGTAATGCTCTTAACATTTTTTTATATCTTTAGCTTTAGAATATGTATTTAGATATTCTGCTTTTGATTAAATCATTTTATATTATATATTATATTTATATTATACTAATTATTATATGTAATTATATATAATATATATAATTAATTACATATAATAACGAAATGTATATGTGTATATATATATTAATACAAATTTTTAATTTTATATAACATACAATTTTATCAGAGATCGCAATTTTATATGACCTGGGTAATTTATTATTATCAGCAGTTTTATTACTGTTATTATTTTATCATTGTTATTAAAAATTTAAAAATGCATTTAAAAAACGGCACTAATGCATGAAACATTAATAAATTGCGGACTGAATGAATTTGTACATGAATATTCATTTCAACGCGAGAAGTTCTGCCCATTGATTGATCTCGCGAACGTCCCCCCGAGGACAGGCAGAATGGATCAATGTTGCGCATGCTGGCGCATGTGAGATGGCGATGGCACGTGAGATGCTGCGTTGTGTCATCTCCGCGCTCTGTCCTCTCGTCCTAGCTTTCCTCCTTATGGTCGTGATTGTCGTCAGTCTGTTACTCACCAACAGTTAAACGGTAAAACGCAAAATGAAGGACCACGACGGAACGCCCCAGCAAAAAAAGCCTACGAAACTCAGGAATATTGCGGATAAAACGGAAGCGTTTGATTCTTTGCACATGAAAAATGCCGAGGTATTTTATAAAACAACTTTTAATATTGAAGATTGACATATGATTAGGAATATCAGGGATTAGATTGGCGCGTCATTTAGCAACTGATTACGAAATTTTTTTAGAAAATTGATTAGCAATTGATGTGAAAAAAATATTTTAAAAATAAAGAAAGAAAATTTTTTATTCGAAAGTTTTATTTCTCCTAAAAAATTAACTTTCTTTTAAAAATTAAAAAAATATTAATGCTTTTTTTCTGTTTTATCTTATTTAAGTTTCTTATGCAGACATAAATATGCGCTATAAATTTATTGTAACAATTAATAATTAATTAATATAAAAATATTTTTAAAAATTAAAAGAGTTTAAAAATGACAGATTTTTATTTGATTTTCAAAATTGATTTTTTGAATGAAGCTTTGCATGAAAAAAATTATGTTGCGTTATTTTTCTATATTATTAGTAATAGATTATCTAATTGGAAATCTTTCATCTTTCTTTCTCTCTCTTCATCAATATTTTGATTTGTATATATAATAATACATAAAAATAAAGAAGATGTAGCAAATAAAGAGAAACTAAAATAACATTAAATAAATTTCTAGAAAATCCTTTGCAAGACTGGCCAAGTCTGTCTTGGTAGCGTAATGCAGCTGCCGACTCATGGAACGGAGCCACGCACGAAAGAGGAAATCTTGCTTCACGCGACTGATTTTCTGGAGCAATATTTCACTTCTATTAGAAGGTACTAAAATTGCTACAGTTTATATAAATTTCTTGAAATTCTAGTGAATTGTGAGCTTTTCTTCACGTTTGAACTCGTAGATTAAATAGCGATGCTCATCGCGCACGTTTGGAGAGTGTGCATAGAGAAGTGATATCCACTGGCACATATCAGTTAACAGAAACGGAACTGGTTTTCGGCGCAAAATTGGCTTGGCGAAATGCTGCGAGATGCATTGGTCGCATTCAGTGGTCAAAGCTACAGGTTTGTTTTATATTACCAGAACTCGTTCATGTTCGCGAAAAAGAGAAAACTATTTTTTATGAATTATAATTTATAGACATCTGAAAAATTAATATCTGCTTGTCGATTTATTTATAAACTAATTGCACTTGCAGGTTTTCGATTGCCGTTATGTTACAACTACGAGCGGCATGTTCGAGGCTTTATGTAATCACATCAAGTACAGTACAAATAAAGGAAATATCAGGTGAAATGTGAATTTTTAGATGAATTTTACAGTTTATAATTTTCTGAAAATTTTGTTGCTTAAAAATATATAGATATTGAGAATCAGAACATCGATTATTCTTTTAAATTACGGAGAGTTCAAAATTACTTTAAAAATCAGCTAGGCGTACTTGCGCACAGGATATGTATATTTAACTATTCATATGCATAATTTTCAGATCCGCGATAACAATATTTCCACAGCGCACTGATGGAAAACACGATTACAGAGTATGGAATCAGCAATTGATCAATTATGCAGGATACAAAAACCCAGATGGTACCATTCTCGGCGATCCTGCGAATGTAGAATTTACAGAGGTCAGAATATTTTATATATATTCATGAGCTCTTACATTTATTCATGATATCTTCTCTTTTAATTATTTATGTCACAAAAATCGAAAAAGTCTAATTTCCTGAAAAAAATCTTTATAAGATAGAATTTCGAAAATAATTTAACGAAGGCACTATCTTCTTTCGATAGGTTTGCATGAAATTAGGATGGAAAGGCGCACGAACTCGATTCGACGTATTACCATTGGTTCTGTCTGCCAACGGGCATGATCCGGATTATTTTGACATTCCCAACGACTTGGTATTCGAAGTACCTATTAGTCATCCTACGTAAGTTTTTTTTAAATAATATGAAATTATGTTGAAAGAGAATATTTGTTATATATACATATATATATATATATAGATAAATATACGTGTATATTAATATTAATATGTAATAATATTAATATGTATTTGGACAATAGGTATGATTGGTTTGAGAAATTGGGTCTCAAGTGGTACGCCGTCCCGGCTGTGTCCGGAATGGTTTTCGATTGCGGAGGTTTAGTATTCACCGCGGCACCTTTCAACGGCTGGTACATGAGCACCGAGATTGGCTCCAGAGATTTATGTGATGCTCAAAGATATAACATGCTCGAGACAATAGCGACGAACATGGGTCTGGACACGAGGACGTCCACGTCGCTGTGGAAGGATAAAGCGATGATAGAAGCTAACGTTGCCGTGCTGCACAGCTTTCAGATGAAAAACGTGACGATCGTGGATCATCACACCGCTTCGGAATCCTTCATGAAGCATTACGAGAACGAGATGCGTCTGCGAAACGGCTGTCCCGCAGACTGGTTGTGGATCGTACCGCCCATATCCGGATCCGCCACGCCGGTGTTTCATCAGGAAATGGCGCTCTATCATCTGAAGCCCTCGTACGACGCCCAGGACCCGGCGTGGAAGACTCACGTGTGGAAGAAGGGCCGCGACAAGAAGGCAACGTCGAAAAAGCCAAGGCGAAAGTTCCACTTCAAGCAGATCGCGAGAGCCGTGAAATTTACGTCGAAGCTGTTCGGACGGGCGTTATCGCGTCGAATAAAGGCGACCGTGCTGTTCGCCACGGAAACCGGAACGTCCCAGATGTATGCGGAAAAGTTGGGCGAGTTATTGGGTCACGCTTTTCACTCTCAGGTCCTTTCAATGGAGGAGTACGATATCAGTAACATAGAACACGAGGCCCTGCTGCTGGTGATAACTTCCACCTTTGGTAACGGCGACCCGCCGGAAAACGGGGTGGTCTTCGCGCAAAATCTGTACGCGATGAAGATGAACGACGCTTATATAAACAGCGAGAATAAAATAAGTTTGGCGACCTCTAAGTCGTTCATCAAAGCAAACAGCCAGACGGAGGTGAGCGGGTCGAAGAAGTTGGATCGTCTGGATTCCTTGCGCGGCTCCACAACGGAGTCGCAAACCGAGGATACATTCGGGCCCCTCAGCAACGTCCGATTCGCCGTGTTCGCCCTGGGCTCGTCCGCGTATCCGAACTTCTGTGCGTTCGGCCGCTACGTCGACAATCTACTGGGCGAGTTGGGCGGAGAGCGATTGGCGCGTTTGGCCCAGGGTGACGAGATGTGCGGGCAGGAGCAGACCTTTCGGAAATGGGCAGCCGACATCTTCGCGATCGCGTGCGAAACGTTCTGCTTGGACGACGACGACACCCTGCTGGAAGTGGCCCTGTCGCTGGGCTCCGAGGCGTTGTCCGCGGCCACGGTTCGCTTCGTGGAAGCCGAGCCTCAACCGACCGCCAAAGCGTTAAGCAAATGCCACAACAGAAACGTGACGATGTGCAATATGCTTCGGAGGGGCAACTTGAGCGGCGACGAGTCCAGCGGAACGACGTTGCTCCTGGAGTTGGACGACATAGTGGGCATGGATATTTCTTACAAGCCTGGGGATCACTTGGGCGTGTTCGCGTGCAATCGAGCGGACCTCGTGGAGAAAATCTTGCAACGCGTGCAGTCTACTTTCGACGCCGATACATCGATCGAGCTGCAAATGCAGAAGCAAGCGCACACCCCAAATGGTGAATATTTAATTCTCTCTGATTTTTCCTCTCTCTTTTATATTACAAGTGACTAATAATAGTGGCTTTTTTTTTCAGGAATTGTAAAAACGTGGATACCTCATGACAGATATCTGCCGAATTCCTTCAGGATGCTGTTAACTCGATTTCTGGACATCACGACGCCGCCTACGCCGAATCTCTTGAGATATTTCGCCTCGATAGCTACAAACGCAAAAGAACGGGCGCAACTTGATCTTCTGGCCTCTGTAAATATGTAAATATGTAAATGTATAAATGTAGCTGTTTCTCGAAATGTAGCAAAATTTGGAAACGATTAATATGATGAAAAGTTAAGGTTTCAAGCTAAAAATATTCGAAAAAATGAAAGGAAATATATTTCGAATATTAATCTTTCTTTATATTAATTCGCGATTTAATGTTATTCTATAATTTAATTCTAAAATATTCAATTTTAATTTGAAATGGACGAAATTTTAAAGATCTAAAAAAAATATTGAATGTCAATACAAATGTTAAAAAATTTTTAGGAAGTTATACAAGCTTCTTAACGCAGTCTATTAACACATACAGCAACATTAAACATAATATTTATCAAAAAAAATACAGTGAAATACAAAACTTAAAAGATTCTTTTCAAAATAGGATCCGGCGGCTTACGAGGATTGGAGACATTGGAAGTTTCCTAATTTGGCCGAAGTTTTGGATGAATTTCCATCAGTGACTCCATTTGCCCCATTGCTGCTGCTTCATCTAACACCCTTACAACCGAGATTCTACAGCATCTCGTCGTCTCCTCAAGTGCACCGGGGACAAATACACTTGACCGTCGCAGTGGTGCAATATCAAACGCAAAGTATTTATAAGCCTCAATTTTCTTGGTCCTTTTTCTTTCTCATTCCGACGAATTCTGTCTATAATGAATAATTTAATTTAATCTGTGATCTGATATATAATGAGATATCTTTTCGATTTAATTCTAGACGGTTCTGGACCAGTACATTTCGGCGTTTGCTCCAATTATCTACGGCAAATATCCGACGGGGAGTTGCTGTATGTGTTTGTGCGAAGGTAAGAAATATCGAGTTTATATTAATTAAGCATCACTTAATTGAACATGACAATCTTACGTTGAAAATTATTAATATTTAAGCGCGCCAAACTTTTACATGCCGACGGAAACTGAGGCGCCAGTGATATTGGTGGGACCAGGTACTGGAATCGCTCCTTTCCGAGGTTTCTGGCATCATCGATTTGCCCAGATGAAACTTCAGCAGAGTACGGATGTTTTCTTACATACGCGCCTTTTTATTTTATGCACTTGTAAACTCTAATATTAAACGTGCAATGTTTTGTTGCAGATAAAAAATTTGGTAAAATTTGGCTCTTCTTTGGCTGTCGTCAAAAAAATTTGGATCTATACAGACAAGAGAAGAAGGAAATGTTGGAGGCCGGTGTTTTGGACAAGGTGTTTTTGGCACTGTCCCGCGAACCTGGTCTTAAGAAGGTATGTTAATATGTATGCTATTTTATAGATATCTAAGATAAAAAAAAAGAGAATATCAACTCAAGTTTGCATCTACAAATGTTTAGACCTATGTGCAAGATTTGATCCAAGCGGAAGCGCCCCAAATTTACAAAATGGTGGTATATGAGCACGGCCACTTCTACGTTTGCGGCGACTGCACGATGGCAGAAGACGTTTATCAGACCTTGAAACAGATCATACAAACGCACAGCCAAATGACGGACAAGGAGGTTGAGGCATACATGTTATCGCTGAGAGTACGTCTTTCATGTATTATTCTTTTCTCGCGATTTGTGCGACAACAAATACGCCACTGTGCATTTTAATTGTTTCGCTGCACTGCACGGTTTTCTTTCAGGATGAAAATCGCTACCACGAGGATATATTCGGTATAACATTACGCACCGCTGAGGTGCACAATCGATCGCGCGAAACCGCCAGGATCCGGATGGCCGCCGAACCGTGAAAATATCAAACATGATAAAGCGTAGCCCAGATAATTTTCGTTTCGGAGGGTTGCCGCTGCTAATTAATAATTACTCTGCATATAACATAGTTCCGTGTGTGGGAAATCTGTTTTTATTTACAAGTAGTGCTTGACTAATCTTTCGATTTCTAGGACATTTTATCTGCTATTTCGTGGATCCGCGCATCTCCGGCCGTAATAAGAAGTATCACGCTGAATACATGTTCGCTGCACGTAGTAATACATAAGACAGGTATATAGAACTTATTAATTCTACCTGGTATTCCTTTAACTATGGAGATCCCGACGCGCTGAGACCCGGTTGCGGCTTCTGGCTAACATTAGCCAACAGCTTTTTTATCTCCGCTATCGCCTTTCCGGGATTCAGTCCCTGCATAAAATGTTTGCGCTTTGATTCAATAATTCTTTACTCTTCGAAATAATAAGCTTAACTCGATTGTTTTTGCCAAATCACGCAATTGTTTCATAAGTTTTTTAAGAATTACATCGTATGTTATTGTTTTTCAGCTTATCTAATTATCATATTTCGAATAATCGATTTATTCTTATTTTTTTTTTTCCATTAAATTTGGGCAGCGTTTGATAGTCATAATTTTATCAAATATATAAACATATAAACAAAGGGAGCATTAATAAAAAACGAGGAATAAATGAATTCATTGACTAAAAAAGTAAGATTTAAGTAAGCAAAATAAAATATTAATAATCTGTGCGCTATCAATTTAATAAATCTGAATTTAATATATTCTACTGTTATTATTGTTAAGTAATTACAAATTTTCTTGAATAGATAGCAGTAAAAAATATTGAAACATTTGCCGAGAGTGAAACAAGCGAAATGTAAATTATAAAATGAAAATTATAAAAAAAAGCACACAAATAACTTGTGTGTTACAACAATTTAGTTGAATCATCTCTAATGTGAATTAAACTCACCTTTGGGCAGGTACGCGTGCAATTCATGATCGTGTGACAACGAAAAACTGAAAATGGATCCTTTAATTTTTCCAGACGCTCCTTTGCTTGAGTATCTCGCGAATCAATGATCCACCTATAGGCCTAATGAAAATAATAATAATTGAAAGGTCTAGGAAGAGGAAATGGTGTAAGTGAGAAATTCTATGAGATCCGAACTGAACACGTCAAGCGATGTATACATACATTCCAATTTGATTTATCTCTTACAGATATGTATTATCTAATTTGTTTATTGTGTTCAGTTGATTATTAGACAATTTCTCACTTCATTTTTCTCTAAATCGCTTATGATTGATTATCCCGCTGTGATTGATTATTCATAATATCGCAATTTAAAAACAGTGTAATACTTGAATGTGCTTACTTGCATAAGTACTGCAGGGCCTAAGTACTTATCACCGTTCCACCAGTAGGATGGGCAAGAGGTGCTGCAGCAGGCACAGAGAATGCATTCGTAGAGACCATCCTGTGTCAGTCAAAATTGGATTGTATATTTAGTTTTAGATTAAAGCGGTGTGTGTAAAACTGTAATTGAAACAGAAGATCAAATAAATACAATAGTCTCGCGCACTCACCAACTTTTTACGGTCTTCTACACTCTGCAGATACTGCTGATTCCCCGTGTCCTTCGTGTCCTCGCGTTGCAGCCAGGGTTGTATACTGCGGTACTGATCGTAGAAATTATTTAAATCCGGCACCAAGTCTTTGACGATGTACATATGGGGCAAAGGATAAACGTCGCATGTCGTGCTTGGGTTTTTATCAATTTTGCTGAAAAAAAAAAATTATTCCATTTTTAATGATTGACATATTTTTACATATACACTTTTCATTAGCAGAGTTTAAATGTATGTGATATTTAATTGGATACGTAAACTGCACACAGAGCTTAAGATATAGAAGCCAATAAAATTATAAATTCACATCAAGATAATTGAGAATTAATAGTAACATATATATGCATATGGCAATGTCTATGACATCATACCTGATACACGCCAGTGTGTTTGTTCCTCCGATATTCATAGCACAGGATCCACAGATGCCTTCACGGCAGGAACGACGGAATGTCAATGTCGGATCGACCTCATTTTTAATCTTAATTAGTGCATCCAGTACCATTGGACCACAACTAAAAAAAGTATGTTCAGAGTTTAAAAAAATATAAGAATTTCAAAAAAAGCATTTAGTCAACGAGACCTACGCATTCAAATCAACTTTATATTTCTGCATATGTGGCTTCTCGTCGGGTTTGTCCGGATTCCAACGGTAAATCGAGAAGGTTTTAAGTTTGACTTCAGCATTTTGAACCGCCGCAGTATGCAAAGCCCTGGCCTATTGAAGATATATAAAATTTTAAATTATCTCTCAAGAGATAAAATCCTCCAAAAAGCAAAACTTTAATAGTATGCTAGCAGATTGTCAGCTGATTTGAGTAGAAGCTAATTGCTACCAGATTGACACTTAAATGGAGTACATTCCATTTAAATGGTCACAAAATGACAGATTCTACACAGTTTCTACGATCAATCTGCCATCATACTCTAACGGATTCCATGCATATTCCTGCTGCAGGATAAAATTTGGCTGATGAATCCAAAAAAATCTGCAAAATCCAAGTTTTTTTTACAAACTTGGCTATCTGAGGACCTGGTAAACAAGACACATACATCTTATCGTCTCCACGTTTTTGAAAAGGCAATTCTTAATTATTAAATTAAAGGGACCTCTGTGTTACGTTCTATCTTAAATACAAAATTGAGTTTTGAGAGAAAAGCAACAGAAAGATGCGTCACGGCACTGCAATGACGTGCTAATGACGTTATTCCAGAACTGGCGACATAGTTCGTCCTGCGTCAGGCGCAGAAAAAAAAAGATTGCAAAGTTGCATTGAGGAATCATATGATATCCAGATGTCATCAACGAGACCGTTATTGTATCGCAGCACTCACCTGATGCAGCGCATTTCTGCAGGTGTACGACGCTACTCCGACCATCTTCGAACAATTCGGTATCAATACGTTCATGATGTTCGCATTATGTAACTAGACCTGCCAAAGATCTGCCTGTCCGCGTACCGATTGCTCCGTTGATTGAGGAAAAGGCTGGGGAAACCTGAGAGTTACCTGTATTTTAGGCTATATTAAATAATAATAATAATAATATCTAATATAACCTATGATGTTATATATATAATATATAATATATAAAAGAATTTAGAATATGTAATATTAAATATATAATAAATTAAACATATTTACATATATTTCAAGAAAAGATTATTTAATAAATATATTTAAACCTCTGCTCAAAACTCGGCAGCAGGCAAGCACGGACAGTTGGACGCGTGATTTCGCCTAGATGGTGCATTCCCTTTCATGTATAACGCGCATGTTGTATCATTTCATCCTTGCTTATTCTGTGAGCAATATATTAACGATAAAATTATACATCACGCATATATCGTGTGAGAAACAGATTTCACCTCTGGAATTTCTCGAATAAGAATTTTAATACTGTCCGTCATTTCCTGGGCAATTGTATGCGCTTTCAAAAACGTTCAAATCAGTTTAATTATTATACAGGTTATTTTAATAAAAAAATAAATTTTAATAATTTATACATATATATATATATGTGAACTTTTTTATTATAATAAGTAAATCTGTAAAATAAATAATGATAAAATGTAAATTTCTCTGTATATGCAGAAATACGCGGCGGCGGATTAATGAAAAATTGTCCAAATTCTTAAGAGAACTTACCTCGTGCGGATTGGTGCGAATCGTCGTTCGAGCGATTCACGAGCGCGCCGCTCTAGCCGTTCTGTTACGTTCGTGGACGAATATTGGATTATTTCGCTGAGCCCGACCGAGTGCCGGCGACGCCAGCCGAACGGCACCGATCGAGGGACGGCGCGACGGGGGCGCAAAGTACATCGGGAAGAAAACGTACACCGATGGCGGATTAATCTCGCTTTGCCGAATATTATTTGTATGTACGACCGCACTGAGAATTGAACGGATCACAATGTGCGGACGAACGGGTCGAAACTGAACCAGGCATCGTGGACGTTGAAAGTTTGAGGTTAGTGCGGAGCTGCCCCGTCGCCCCGATATAGACCGAACCGTTTCTCGGTTGGGATCCTAACCTATATCTCGCGCGTTGGCTTTGACCTCAAAAGTGAACGAATAAGACGGTCCTGCGGCGTCCGTGCGCATCAAACGCCGCTTTTACCTTCGTTGATGCTGCCGATAGTTGCTCGTTAACTTCAATGAAACGTCGATCGCGTGGCGGTTACGCGCGACATAATTTTGGAGCAATTTTGACTCGTGCAAGCTTGACTCGCGACTCGGATCGCGTTAGAAAATTTGGAAGGTAAAGGGATATAATGACTATAAGATAAGTTTATTTCGCATTAAAAGCCGATGTGACAATAGTGTGAGGTTTCAAGTATAAATTTTTTCTTGTTAGATACCGTTTAAAGCGCATCGTATATATTTCTCGACGAATGTAACGGAAGTACAAACAACGAAACGAGGGTAGAGATCTATTTACGTCTAGTACTTTACACTTGACCGTGCGAATTGAAGGCGAATTATTTGATAAGTGTGTGTTATCCGATTTCAGGTTCGTACTAAAAGCGACCAAAGCTCAACGCGCCCATCAGGCCCATTAAAAGCCTCCCTGTCCCCGCGCCTAAAGCCCTCGCGTAGCTCACGAGCTGGGCGCTGGGCCAGGCCGCGCGCTGCGCCAGACCGGTGAGTTCCCACACAAAATATCGCTTGGTAGCACGGCGGGCACTCAAAGCCAACTAACCATGTCTGTACAAAGTGTTGCTCTGGCATCTCTCACGGCCACCTATACCGACTCGGAGGGCGAGGACGGGGTGGAAGACGAGCGCCTGCAGGAGGAGAATTCGAACACTCCCCAGGGGGCCGCCCCGCATAATGCCCAAGTCGGTCGTCAGCCCCAGGCCCGATCTGGCACCAGTCCCATATCTGGAGGCCGTTCAGCCTCGCATAGCCCCGCCGTCGGCAAGTCCGCCGGTAGTAGCGACTTGCCGGAAGCGGCCACAAAGGTGCAGCGATTGGTCTCTTATTTTGACGATGCGGTAGTCTCCGACGATGAGGGGGTGACCGCTGTTGTTGTGCCGCCGCCGCCGTCGGTGCCGTCGGTGCCGCCGTCATCGTCGTTGATGACGGCGGGCGCGGCAATCGTCACGACGGTTGCGGAACGTCCCGAGGAGAACGGTCTCCCGGTCTCCGCGGTTGCCACTGGCAACGTTGCCACCGCCGCCGCCGCCGCTGCCGCCGCCGCCACCACCGTCGCTGCCGCCGTCGTCGCCGCTGTCGGCGGTGGTGCTGAGCGTCGGTCACCCTCCTCGCGTTCCGGAGAATTGCTTTCAGATAACGGCGGTGAGGACTCGTACGGTGTGACGATACCGCCGGAACCGTCGGGCCAATGTCCCGCCGAGCTGCAGGACAAGATCGCGAGGCTGTATAGGAAAATGGAGAGCGGCGGGCTGGACATGAATATGCTGATTCAACAGCGCAAGGAGTTCCGGAATCCCTCCATTTACGAAAAACTTATTCAGTTTTGTAGCATTAACGAGCTGGGCACCAACTACCCGCCGGACAGGTTCGACCCGTTCAAGTGGAACAAGGACTCGTATTACGAGGAGCTCGCCCTCGTGCAGAAGGCGGAGATGGACAAGCTCGAGAAGGCGCGCAAGGAGAAGACGAAGATCGAGATCGTGTCCGGCACGGCTAAGCGGCCCAACAGCTCGTCCAGCGGCGCCGCCGCCGAGAATGCCGATGCCAAAAAACGAAAAAGTAAGTGGGACCAAGTGGCGACCGGCGGCGCCGCCGCCGCCGCCGCGGTCGCGGCTGCCGCTGCCGCTGCCGTCACCGCCAAACCCACGGTACTTCTCACGCAGCCCACTCTGACGACTCTCACGTCATCCGGCACCAGCGCCAAACCCACCGTGTTATCGGCCTTCGGCTCGCTGCCGAAGAAAAGATTGTAACATATCGTGTACATGTCTGCATGTCTGTGTAAATATTGTCCATCCCCTTTAGGCGGCCATGAAGCTGCAGAAAGGAAAGCGCGGTCCTCTGCGCATCTGGAGACTTAGGTTCTTGGATGATTATTGAAATGTTCTTTGACATGGCGTTTCGTATCTGTAATGGACATTCGCAAAAATATAGATTTAACGATAGGAGCATAAAAATACAAGCAAAAAAGCATTATTATAGCATAATAATGCTATTGTGAACTTGAATATTTGAGCTCCTACAAATTCAAGAATTAAAAGATTTACAATATTTATGGATTTAACGCAGAAATCTAGGAATCTTGTAAATGTAAAAATTAAGAATAAATTGTATCTATAGACATACTTTAAGTAATATCAGTTTAAAACGTTATTTATTACAATAATACAAACTTCAAAAGAAGAAATATCTAAGAAAAGAATTTTGTGGATGCATGACTTTATAAATTTTCATAAAAATTTTGGTGAGTTCAAAAATATAGATTTCCGTATTTAAAGAAGAATTGATGGAATTGAAAAGAAAATTTCATTATTCGTGAGATTCGTTTTAAGGATGCTGAAATTCAATGTCCATTCAGCCAATCTAAAAGTCCAAGGATTTAAGAATCTAAGAATTTAGCCATCTACAAAATAAACAAACTGTAAATAATAATGGTTACAAATACTACTGTCTGGGTGTGAAGCCGCCTGAAAAAAATATTCTGAAGATTTACATTCTCGAATTTTTGGATTTTTGTATTTTTAAATCCTTGCAAGTCGAGATCTGTAGAGTCTGTGGGTCTTTAGATTTGTACAGCCAAATCCTTGAATTATAAGAGACGCAATGTTAAAAAAAAGCTTGGGAACTTATGAAGATGAGATCGTAGGAAAGTTAAAAGAAAAAGAGAAAAATGACAAGTTATAAGAAAACTCAACAATCGTTAATACAATACTCTGAGAATTTAAGGATCTAAAAACTCAATTGCTCATATAACGAGGACAAAAGGCTTCAACAATCATAGATTAAAACACAAATATATTGTAAATAATATTAATAGAAAAATGATCTTCACACAAGAGACACAAACATGCAGGGAAAAGAGATTGCTTTGTGAATTTAGATCCTTGAATTATCGACTCGTTTTTTAGAGATTCCTTTTAATACACAGATTATTTATAGAAAATATAGAACAATTATAGAAAAACGATCAAGATCTTCAACAATTTAAGTATCTGGAGTTTTTTGTGATCTAAAGACCCAAAAGTTAAGGATTTAGAAAACTAGCGATCTATGAATGTGAGAGTAAAAATTTATAGATTCGCAAATTCAGAAATCTAGGTACAATTTTAAAGATAAAACGCATATTGTAAATACACTTAGGTATTGTAATGGAATGTTGAATGATATTAGAGCTTTGAAGATAAGATTTGAAATATGCAGTGACTCTAAAATTTACGAACAATAATACTAAATATAATATAATTTAAAGATATAGGCTATTCAAGAATGTAAAGTAATACTTTTCGAAATTAAAGCTCTAAGGTGTGTGTGCGTATATTTTGCGTGTTTGTAAATTCTTGAATAGCCTATTTTTAAGTTATATTTTACTTAGCTGTTATATTCGTAAATTTCGAATATTCTTTGAATCGATATTATTCTTCAGTTTATATAAATTTAAGGATTCAAGGATTTAAAAATTTATTGAACTGAAAATTCGATTATCCAAAGACTTAAAACGTCAAGAATTTAAAAACGAAGTAAGAATCCAGAAGAATAGAGTTTAACTTTAACTTAGTTATTTACACATGCTGATAATTTTGTGTTTGTCGATAAACTCGATAAATAACAGAAATTAATGTATTTTTATCTTATTTTTTTAAATATTTTTTTAATATAAGTTGTTCTCTTTCGTCGAATTAATATAAAAAATAAGCTATAAGGAAACATTTGATTTAAAAATCTCGAAATATATAGTTGAATTTTGCTTAAATTTCTATCTATGGATTTTTGCTTTGTAGAATTTTTAAATTCTTAGCTTAGAATTACAATTACAAAAATTGTCTAAATTTATCTGTTTTTTTATGATATATTTATATGTTGTTACAGACAACGTACAAACTGGATTCGATTGACCTCTCGATTACGATATACATACGTATTAATTTAAGAAGAAATTTAAAACGGAAATTATTTTTTTGAAAAACGAAAAAAAGATTGGAGAAAGATTGTTTCAATTGAATTCTTAATACGTTTTTCTTCTTCCAGAAAGACAAGAATTATTATTTCTTATTCAAATATCGAAAGAGAGGTTTTCGAAAGAAAAATTACATTGTTTAGTTGCTAAGCGTCATATTAGATTGATCAAAAAATTCGTACACATCAGCCTGATATATGTAATTGTTATTACACGCGTATGGGTGAGTGCTGTGTGTGCGGGCGCGCACGCGCGTGTATGTGTGTGTGTGTGTGAGTGTGTGTGTGTGTGATGTGTGCAAATGATGAATGTTAGGCAGCGACTAGAAATGCAGTGTTGCGTACAATCGATTTATCGATGTAGACGCGTAATTACATATTAAATCTCGGCGAGACAAATAGAGAATTTATGTACGTTAACAATCGCAAAATCGATGTAAAATCGCGCTATGAGGTAGCAAGGATTCAGTTTTTTATATGAGAAGAGTAACGAAATTCTTCCACGAGGGACTTTGTATATACACGCTCATGTGTCAATAGAGTATGGAATATACAATATATAAATTATACATTGTGTATTTCTCGTTATTAATTAATAATACTATAGACGACGTTTCCTGTAATCTGAATTTTTTTTCGTCTTTCTCACGCGAGAAAGAATTTCATTTAAATTTGCGACCATTCTTTGATATTTTACAGCACGTTTTACGTTTTTGAAAACACACTACGTATCTGTTTTTCTCGTGACAGACAATCTGTTTCTTTTACTAACTTAATAATAATAATTATTGATTATTATATATGTATTGTTATTAAATTTTTGTTATATATTTACGTCATTATGTGTATTTTAAAATAATTTTTCTTGAATTGTTTTTTTTTTTTAATCGTAACGGATTGTCTTCACGATTTTCGCGCGTTTCGAAATTTAGAGAAGGAGCGGCAATTCTTTGTTTGTGGAAGCCAATCGAGAAACCGCGTTTCAGGGACTCCAGTTGGTAACGCGTTTCTTTCTAGCAAGCGAATATGGGGATCTTCCTCGTCGCGGCTGCACTGACGCCGTTCCCCACCTCGTCTAGCTGGCTAGCTTGGCTAGCTTCACGTACTTAAATAGGTTATCTGACGTATGTCAAGCTTCTTGTCAACGAAATTTATTATTTAATCCGAGTGAGAGAGCGGGAGTCGTCTTGCGAATCGTGACGTATTCAGGAACGGTCTGTCCGTGCGCACCGGATCGATTGACGAGTCGGCCAAACATGCGGTGGCAGTGATGCGTTTAAAGGGGAAAAATAACACAAAGTCGTTCTACAGCGTCTACAGGGTGCTTTCTCGTTTATGCCGTGAGTATCTCGGAACGATTCTCGGACAGTTGAACCGTCTGATCGAATTATTGGAAGAACTTATTGATTGTGCACGCTGAATTACAAAACGTCTTAATTATTTTTTTTTTTCTATTTGAAGTCTGGAAAATATTAGAAAATTTGTAATTTTGATTTACCTAATTTTTTTTATTATAATATTGTATGCATGTATTTTTAATAAATCCTTAAACTGTCAGATTCTTGAATTGTCATACATTTCTTTAGAGCATTATTGGCATATTTAGAAATTATATCTTGAAACTTTTTATTGAGTCACAATATTTCTTTTCTTAGAATAATTAAGAAAAGAATTAGTCAGTTATGAGTCAACATTTGGAAATGTTTCCAGTATTGAAGCTTGTATTAAATTTGTTATACATATTTTTGGTAATATATAATATTTTTGTAAATCTATAAACAAATTGTTTGATATAGAACTCTTAGATCAACTTTAAATTATATGATTTATATATGTATGAACTAGAATAATAAATTATTATATTTATTTAATATTACATATTAATTGTTACAATAATAAATTTTCAAATTGATTAAGATTAGTAGAATTTGATTCTTATGTTTATTATTATATTTTTTACATGTACAGTAAATTTTTTGAATTTATATTCTTGTTGTACTGTGCTGAAGCAAGCTTATTGTAATGTCTGTCGAAATAGTATCATGTTACTACCTGTGGAAGTGTTATTTTTCTCATGTCGAATCTTCTGCAGGATCTGTGGATAAAGGACACCTTGATGGTTTCATGGCGGATGGTGTGGCACCGACCCTGAAAAATGGCCACAATTCTAATATGGACTTTGCTAATCAACCGGTGAAGCCGTCGACCGATGTGTCCAGCGTCGTTTACGCGGTGGGTCACTATCCCCCGAAGCTTCTGCACAATCTCAACGCACAGAGGCGGGAGAACAAGTTCAGCGATGTGGGATTGGTGGCCGGTGACACGATCATTAGAGCACACAGATCGGTTCTGGCCGCCGGTAGCGCCTACTTCAACGCCATGTTCACTGTCGGCCTGGTCGAGGAGCAGCAGGAGCTCGTGGAGATCCACTCGGTTTCCCCTCACATTCTTTCGCAACTGGTGGACTTCATCTACAGTGGCAACGTAGACATCACGCAGGATAATGTACAGGAGTTATTCGCTGCCGCTGACATGCTAGAGTTAGACGACGTAGTAGCTGGCTGTATCAATTATCTCAAGCAGCAGCTGCACTATTCTAATGCCCTTGGAATTTACAGGTGAGAAGGCTTGAAATTGAAAAATGTATTTGGAAAAACATAGATGAAGAAGAAATCTAATAAGAGAAAAGAAACTGTTGCGCGATAGGAAAATTACAGAAAAATATAAAAATCATATAATAATATTTGTCACTGCTGGTCCTTGCAGATTTGCAGAAGTACATAACAGACTGGATCTTTTGGAGACTGCCCTACGCTTTATAGAAGCCAATTTTCCTCAAGTCTGTCAGGAGGAGGAATTTCTGGACTTGCCCAAGGAGCATCTTGTTCAGTTTCTTAGTAGCGATTACATTCACATCGATACCGAATGCCAGGTTTGTTATTCCTTCCCGCCTCTCCCTCGAGGATTAAATAATACATAACTGCAACTTTACATATTTGAAAAATGTATTTGACGTGAAAATTATTCATTCGACAGGTCTTCCAGGCCGCGTACAATTGGATCGTTCACGACATCCCCGCGCGGAGATGCTACGTATTCGAGATCCTCAGCCACGTACGCTTGCGACTGTGTTCATTAGCAAGACTAGAGCGTATTATTCTAGACTGCAAGGACGCGAGTCTCATCGTCGCGCTGCGATCTATTCAAAAGGATCTAGTCTCGAACAAAGGTTGCCTGGTACCTCTTCACGCCCAACCCCGGATCTGTGCCAGGAAGAACATCCTAGTGATCGGCGGATCCAAGCGGGAGCACTCCGCGGACAGCTGGGGCAGAACTGCCGAGAGTACTTACGAAACCATCGAGAAATACGACATATTCACCGGGTACAATCTCCAACATTTTTCTTTTTTCAATTATTTAATATCAAATGCAATCGACTAGATTTTTTAGTTATACTCGAATAAACCTTCGAGAAAAAAATCTCGATTATATTTAAGCATTATATTCTTGCCTTTTTTTTCGATGAAATTTTCATTCCTTTCTTTATTCGCGCAGACTTTAACGTTTTGTGTCAAAGTATTTTTTCCATTAATTTTATTATCTTATTAAGTTCTGTTAGATAACTAGAATAAAATCTTACTTGTGTATTCAATGAATGAATGTTTCTTTAGAGAATGGAGCGAAGTTGCTCCGATCAGCATAGGACGCATTCTACCTGGAGTGGCTTTGTTGGACGGCAAGGTATACGTCATCGGTGGCGAGCTGGAATCCTGCATAATCGCCAATTGCGAGTGCTACGATCCTCGCGACAACGTGTGGACCCCCATCGCTTGTATGGAAGAGCCCAGATGCGATTTCGGTCTTTGTGCCTTGGATAACAGCTTGTACGCGTTCGGCGGATGGGTGGGCGAGGATATCGGCGGCTCCATCGAGATATACGATCCGATCAGCAACACGTGGACTCTCGAGGGCTACCTCCCGGAGCCACGGTTCAGCATGGGCGTCGTGGCGTACGAAGGTAATGACATTGAGAAGCTAGAAATCCAATAATCTCATAATCGATCGTGATAGTTATTTGATAAGTTTGTAGACGTTTTCTTTTAACAGCAGTGAAAACAAAATATACAGTCAATCTTTTATCCATCCACTATGTTCTACATAATTATTCACACGCGTGCATGACAAGATATACGGTATTTCAATTCTAACAAATTTTCCGTAGGACTAATTTACATCGTGGGTGGTTGTACACACAATAGTCGTCACCGTCAGGATGTGATGAGCTACAATCCTGTGACTAGAGAGTGGAATTACCTCGCCCCGATGATCACACCACGCTCGCAAATGGGAATCACGATTCTCGATGGATACATGTACGTCGTTGGTGGCACCAGTAAAAACCAGGAGGTTTTGACATCGGTCGAAAGATATTCTTTCGAGAAGGTAATTTATTTTCGTCTATCATTTAGCATGTTCAGTATACAGTTTTCTAAGTGATCAATGGTAACACAAATGGATACTTTTTATCATAATATAATTCAACATAATTTCAACTGGTCAATAAATTCATTATAATTGTTTCAGAACAAGTGGAGCGCCGTCGCTCCCATGAGCATGGGTAGATTTTATCCGGCGGTCGCGGCGGCCGACAGTCGGCTGTACGTCATAGGTGGCGATCAATCGCAGGAGATCAACTTCTACCGCACGCAGATCACAATCTCCACCGTCGAGTGTTACGATCCGCACACGAACAAGTGGCACGAGTGCGCCTCCTTGCCGTCGAGCAGAGGCGAAGCGACGGCGATCGTTACGCCCTTCTGATTGCTATTTTGCAGAGATCTGTTTGCCGTTTGACGTATTGGTTTACGCCTTTTTACCTCTTATTTTCCTTTTCTCGACGTTTGCTCTGCATTGCTCAGCTTTACCAAGAGCATTGCACCCGTTAGATAGATAGATAGATAGTCAGTTGCACTGTGCTAAAGAAGTTGTAGCTTTATTAATTTCTAAATATTCCACCAGCATTTTTTAAATACTTTTAATACTTTTACGTAGGAAAACGTGATATATTTTGAAAAATTGTATTCTCACTGAAAAAGATTATTATTTCTTATATTATAGATATACACGGCGTAATCATTAACTGATAAAGGAACTACCAGGTTGAAGAACCTAAGACAGAGATCGGAGAAAAGATGTAACGAATATAAGTTTTGATGTATCTAAGATTTAAAACAGCCAAGCTCTAAGAAACATGATATACAAGAATCCAATTTTACAATTGAACAAAGAGCTTCAATTTAAGATTAAGTCAAAACTTTAATTGCAATTTTAACTCGATTCATGTAGAATCTGAAGAATTTACAATCCGAATCGCGGAATTAAGTCTAAAATTTAATTCAATTGAAATCCTAAGGATCTTAAAATTTACTAACAACTCAAAGATTATATGGAAAATCTACAATATATATGTTGATCGTTTTTATTATCGTGATTTATTTGTTGCATGACATGCAAATGAATTAAACATTGTTATTGGGAACTGTAGATCGGATCCAATATATTTTTTCTATTATTTATTCTTATTATTTTACCAAATTATAATGCGCAAACAGATTTGAAAAAAAACCCGAATAATGATAACGTACAACGTGCAGAAATATTTGAATACTTTTATTAATTAACGACAAGTATTAACTATATTTTATTAATTAACGAGTATTAACTATGTATGCTAGGAAGGACTGAGCCTCTTTATATATATATAATATAGTCACATACCAAAGTTATCGTAATTTTTAATCGTATCGCTACAAGCTAACAGATCCGTTATGTGTGTAAGGGACTGTATAAGACGAATCCAAAGATAATTTATCCTTGGAGCAAATGGAATAAGGGTCTAAGGGTATAAGGATCTTTAAAAGTCGAAAAATTACAGAATCAAAGGGACTCGACAAAATTGGAATATACATGCGTAAATATCAGATCTTAAAATTCAAAGAAAAATAAAAGTGTAAAATTAAAAAGATATGACAGATCTTATACGAAAATCGTGACCTCTATTGCTTTAAAATTTTCAAGTTGAGAGCCCGAGAAGAATTAATCGGCACCTAGAAATTGTAGATATCGTAACCTAAGTCTAAATATCCAAAGAATGTAAAAGCACGTCTCGAGACTCCATCGATCGAAAAGTTCTTGGAGCCTTAGCCCGTGACGTTTTTGGAACTTTGCATCCAAAAGTCCAGAGATTTCAGAGTACCTTATTGTAATAAAAATAACGAGATGTTTCTTAATTAGCGTGTGTGCGAAGCCGCGCGTCCAATGTTTTGTAAAGTTTAAGGCCACATTTTATAAAAACAATCTTAAGAATCGAAGAGTCGCCGCCGTTCTCTGTAATTAGTCGTTGATGTAACACACAATCCAATTCGCCTTTGTTCAAAGGTGTTCGATGCTCACGTACACGTGAGCATTCGCGGAATGATATTCGATTATTCTCAAATTTTTCGGTACAGGGTAAATATGGATGAAGATGACCTGAATTGAACATCCCTACTAATCGTCTACTGATTAATTAACCAAGTTCTTGAACTTGTTAATTAATTTCAACTTTTTTTTTCGTTGTAAGATAGAAAGAAATAAGATAATCGCTTAATCATTTTGCATTTCTTTTTTAATGTAAGTTTATAAATCCGTAGGTTGCTAAATCTGTTGGCCTAATATATAAATAAGTAACGAAAAAACTTAATGATAACGCGTGCGGATTTTATATTTATGAATCTAGCAATTGTGAATAGATATATTTCTAAATACACGTATTTTAAAAGATATATAGATTTGAGATCCTATATAATGACACATTTGTAATCTTATCTGATTCTAGATTTCTTACAAAGTGATATTGAACTGTTTTAACAAACAGTAAGCACTCTTATAATAAAAAAAAACTTATTATTTCTTCAAGAAAGCTTTAAAAGTTTGTAGATATCTCGAATATTCATGAATTTACAGATTTATTTAGATATATGAATAGAAAATTTAATAATTAATGAATCCAGTGAATCTAGCAATCTATGGATTTACGGGTACAGTAATATATGGTGTACGTATGTATAAATGTATAAAATTAATTTTCTACAATTAGTTTATATATTTGTTAATATTAGTCTTCTATCTTTTTCTCTATCTTCGAAAAACTTTAAAAGTAATTGAAACAATGGGCATCTCCAACATGTTTATCCCTCTCAAGTAAAAGTCATTAAAAGAAAGTTAGAGAATATGAAATGATATACAACAATTTATGTATATTTGTGATCAATCAATAAAAATTGCTGAAACAAAATTCACACTCGCGTTTAAAATTCCAAACATTTTTTTCAATGATAAAACCATTTACCTAGTTTTTACACGTGATATATTTTCTTTATAATTAATATGTGATTTCCTTAATAAAGAACACAAAGAAATAATTATTTACAATGTGATTTTTTTATTTGGTATTTATACTTATCAGTCGAAAGCAATATTAATTGTTGCTAAGTTATATTCGTACTCGTTCATTAATAGAAATAGTGACTCACGAAATCGATCTAATGTGTAAAAATTTCAAAGAAATACTTAGAAACATTATTTGTATTATTTTAATAATGTACAAGTTATAAAAATTTGTTTTTATATGTGTTCTCTCTCTCGCTCTTTCTCTTTATCTCTCTCTCTCTCTTTCTCTCTCTCTCTCTCTTCTGTTTTCTCTTCATTATATTAAAAAATTATATGATCTTTAAAACAATTGTTCACACATACACACACATACAATTTCGTGAGTACCTACATCAAGTCATTATATTATAAATATATTCAATCAAATAATAGAAATAACGAATTGAAAATTGTGCATTATCAAATCAAGTCGCTCCAAGAGTGTCAATAATGAATTTTTTTCCGTTGAGTAGCTTTATAGTTTGAACTAGCAGGAATCAAAACTTAGTTTTTTTTTTTTATTAAGCAAAATGAGATCCCGCAGACCTAACATCAACGGTATCTAAAATTTAGAAAATCTAAGACCTAAAGGTCTCTAAACATCCCAGATTTGACGGAATTTATAGCTCAAAAGATTTCAGTTCCGGCGAACCTAGGATTAAAAAGATTACGATCTAAAACAGGCCACAACCTGGCGTGTTCTCGTTATGTGCTGACATTTCCATGCTTTCAAAATCGATACCAGAACAATATCTACACAAGTGTATTGTAACATATATCTTTAGGTGAAATGTAAGATGATATACACATCTCTTCAGCCTTTTTTTCATTAAACATCGGAAATGACGGCGTGACACACGTAGTTGTTCCGAACATATCCTGGAATAATAAATTTTCTTTCATGGTCTAAGTGCGAAATTTGGAGAAATTTAGAAAAACAAACTTCAAAATTCGTTCAAACTCATCCTTATAACGATGAGCTTTTAATATGGATATTTATACTTATATAGAGATATAAGAACCTTGTTATAAGTGTCTTATTGCTGCAAGTTTTCTCTATTACAATACGTAATCCAATTCATATCTAATGTATTGGTTCTTTGGATCGTTCATGATGCGAGGGTAACCAGCTACGAGAGCATCCTGCCCGCCGATATAAAGGGAATTGTATATCTTCCAATAAACGTCGCGAACCTTACGGGCTGGATGGAACAAACCCTGTAACACAAAAGCAAATACGTATATTTAATACTTGCCGGTGGATAAAAGAGGTGGATAAGAGAGATGGACAACAGATTTAATTGCGTGCGCCCACGTAATTACAATTAATCACGTACCTGTAGTGTATACTGTAAAATTTTGATTGGCCCAAGAGCGACGCGCAATCCGTCTACAGCGTCCATAAACGCCTGGACCAAATGCGGCGAGGTCTCGAAAACGTTCGGCCACACGTGATTCAATAAATGTATTAACGCGTCCTCGCATCCAAATCCGTAAACGCCTAATGCCATGTGCTTAATTGCGGCGCAGGCGGTCTGCCTGTGTACTAGGTCTCTGATGAACCATGAAAAAGAGAAAGAAATCGATCAGAAATAATTTGTAAAACTAAACAAATTTATCGGAAGTTTCTTTTTTTTTTTAACAAAGGAAGAATAAAATACGTAATTGCGACAATAAAATTAATGCAATTCAGACACCTTACCTGTCCATAAGCGCATCTTCTAGCAATGGACTGACAGCGTAAATATAATCTTTACCCATCTCGCCGATGTATTCGAACAAGAACGACAAAGATTTCAGTACTCCGTTCTGCACGTTCAGCTCGGGTACTCTGTATTCGTTCATCAATGCAGGTAACACTGTGAAAGGGCTACAAGTCTCGGCAACGATGGCAATAGCGACTGTGGTACAAACGCGATTCTGACGTTCCTGTACTTTCAAGTTGTTCAGAAGTGTCGCTAAGACGTCGTGCGGTCTGGAAGATGCAAAAACGTAACATAAGTACATGTGCTCGTACGTAAAAAATATCGAATTATTTTCTGAACTTACCCAATAGCTTTGGCAATGTAGCCAAAAGTGTTTACCGTTGCTCTTCTAATAGCCTTTTTATGAGCCTTCAGCAGTTCCAGCAATTCGAAGCATATCCTCATCCATTCCCGAGCGGAAACGTACTCGGGGCCTCGATCTGCGATTCTGCCGACAAGGTCGATACAATTTTCTTGTACCTACAACAAGATCAGTAATAAATTAAATTTAGCAAAGGGTACTGAAAGAATTTCGAAATATGCGCAATTAAGATGTGATTCAATTTCGTAACACATTTCAAGAGAATTTCATTTTATCCAGTAATACGATTTATGTCAAATTGCAGCCCGATATATATATGCACAAATTTCACCTTTTCATGTCTGTTTTTCAAGATGGGTGTAAGCCTTGGCAACAAATCCTTAATGGGCGGTGTCATCTTCGTCATTCCTATGACGTTAACGATGGCTTTCAACGCTCCTAAAATGCTACCTAATACTTCTGGGTATTCCTCGCCTAAATATTCGTACAGAACGACTCCTAAATGTCCCATCAATTTTTCCTAGAAATAACGCATATGTTATTTGAAATATATCGCACGTTTATATGAAATTTTACTTTTATTATTTTTATATAATATTAAAGAGAGAAGTTAAAAAATGCATATTCCTTACCTCTTGACAAGTCTTCATAACTACTGCGATGCGCGAAATAAGATCTGCAGCTTGTTGTCTGACTTTTGCAGATTTGTTATTCAACCTCCACAATATTGTACCGCATATTTGAGGAAGATACGCCTTTACTCTTTTACCCAATGTATTCACAATCGTACCAAAACCATTCAACATAACGACATCCTAAAAAGAAGAACTTGGTTTAAACTTGTGTATTCTTTGTTAGTTACAACGTCTACCTCTATACAAGTTAGTTTATTAATTGATTTGATTTATTAATTATTTAGAATCAACAAACCTCAGTAGTTTGTTCCTGGAAAGCGTATAAAATTCCGTCAATGAGTTGCTCCTCAAGACGCGAATCGACATCCGCTGCTCCTAAATTGCCCATTATCTTCTCGATTGTCTCCATCACCATTTTTCTGTACTGTTCATTTTCGTCCTTTAAATCGTCCACTACTCTGTTAATAATCTCTGACGCGCCCACTTTGTTGGCTATCTCTACTGTCGTATCCACAAGCTGCAATTTTATTTATTATTACAATTATGTGATTTATAATTTTATATTTATTTTATTGTGCGCGTAATTAAAAATTTATATCTAAAATTAACAAAACATTTCCCCATTACCTGTCTGTAATTTCTGCGATCCAGTGCCATGCGATGATTCCAGAAGTGTTTAAAGAAGTGAGGTAAAATTTCGTCCTTTATGTATTGAGCTTCCACACCATCCGTCGCACAGCATTGTTTAACTACCTAATTTTAAAAATACAATTTATACAGAATATTAGAAAAAATACTTAATACAATATGATCAATTTATAAGTTATAGTCTTGTATTATATGAAATTTACGACGATATTATAACAGTATAGCAACTAGCAAGTAAAATCTTACCTTCAATACAATTTTTTTCATTTCTTCATCGGGAGACTGGAATTCACGTATGAGGATTAACATTACTTCCCTAGTGTAGTAATTCGCGTATTCTGCATCCATCAGAGGAATAAGATAACCGATAGCCTTCAGGAACGCGGCTAAACCTTTTCCTCTATGTGTACGGATGCCTTTCCACAGCGGTTTTAGCACAGAGTCGAAGCTTTCGATACCGTATGGTGTTGCCGCCTCGGCCAGCGCGGCAATGGCTAACGCAGTAATTGTCCGCACCTTTTGTTGCTCATCCACTAAACCTGTAATATTTCGTGTCGTGTCGTTATTTTTTCAAACAAAAAAAGAGACAAATGTAATAAAAATACACGGTTACATATGGACAAAAAAAGACGAAATAATGTGTCAACTTCACTTACCGTGCTCTATAATTTCCACCAAGCTCTTCAAATGCGGTAAAATGGCGCAGCCCATCAAGATGGCTATTTGCTGCACGATCTTGATACCAGTGTGCCGCGCCTGCCAGGACTTCTTGCTGCGACAAACGGCTTTCAAGAACGGGAGAAGCGAGGGGATTCCGAGGGCAGACGCAACGACCGCGAACGCTCTTGCTGTCGTGTTGCGCACGTATTCGTCGATGTTATCGATATCCGGTCTCATTGTGGAGATCATCGTGGCCAACCCTGCGGCTTTTGCCAAATTGGAAATAATCTCCCTGCCTTCGACACGAGCATAGTAGTCTTCGTCGATCAGCAGAGGCTCGATGACAACTAGAATCTAAAAAAAAAACAGTACAATAGTAATTAAATAAATAAAAACGGAGTAAAATAACAATTAATTGCCGACGCAAAGACAAAACTAATTACCTTGTGTACATACGGTCGCACCAAATCGTCCAGTTTATATAGAATACGGTCAATCACTTTGACCAGCAAATGACGTTCCTGATCCTCAAGGGTAGGCGACATGAGAAGCGGAAGGATTTGATTGAACAACGGTCCAGCGCCGAATTCTCTCGCCTTGTCGGTGATTTGTCTCAAGGCGGCCTTACGCATCGGAGGTGTGCCATTCTTTATCTTCAAGAGCAATTTCATAATTTTTCTTTCCTTCTGCTCCTCGGGACTTAGCGTTTCCTCGTCCACGTCGACAAGCAGCTTGTCGAAATATTGCGCATCTTCCGGCTTCATAAATGGCAAATTGCCTTTCGGTTGATTATCCACATATTTCGCGCTCTTGTCTTCCGTCTGAATGAAGAAGCCCTGAGGTGTGCCAGCGATAGGCGTAGGCGTCGCAGTGAGCTTCCTCGCCGGTGTGCGAATAGGTATGTACCCTGAAAAAATACGATCATGATATTCAAATAAAATATTCAAAGATTCAATTCTTCTATTTCTCTTTTTTCTATTAATTTTGATAATTGTAAAAATTCTAAGATCTTTCGGGATTTTTCCCTTTTTTTACTTTCTTTACATTTTTTTTTTTACTTTCTTGAAAAGTCTATGAATTATATATTTTCAGAATAAACAATAACGCTAGGAAAATATTCTGTATTCACGTCTCACCTGCAGGGGGTTGCAAAATCTTGTATCCAGGAGGAAACAGCGCGTCCAACTCGTCGTCAGACAGGGGTCTATTTCGCTCGTCTATCTCGCGTTCCCAACGATACGCCTGCAGTTGTTCGGGCGTCATGGACATCAAATGTCCCGGGGTCGGAGTGGCCAGACCCATCGCCTTGGGTCCCGTCGGCGTGACGGCACTTGGGGTCAGTATTGTTTGCTGATGGGGCGTTGCGAGAGGTGTCGCCGGGGTTTGCGGCGTCATCGAGCCTGGCGTTTGATTCGATGGCGTTTCGTCCCATCGACTGCGCCGTTTGCTCGCCGAAGGTGTCGGAGTTTCCTGTATCAAATCCCCAGCAACTCGGTCAGTTCTCGGAGTCTCTGCCCAACCGCTGTTGTGTCCGGGCGTTTCTATAAAATTAACACGTATTATATATTTATGTTAGACGTACTTATATGTTAAATTTTTTGATTACATAAAACTGTTTTGTGTGTGTGTGTGTGTGTGTGTGTGTGTGTGTGTGTGTGTGTGTAATGAGAATTAAGACTAATAATTTCACAGGTAATTATGTTTGCAATTATTTCCACAGTTATTTGTAGAACAGCAAATTAATATAAACCTCTTTCAGTTTTTGGAGTTTCATCCCAACGGTTCCTTCGACTCGTTACAGTTTTCTCGTGAGAAGGCGTTTCTCTGCCTGGAGTCACAGCTCCTGGTGTCGCATGTGCCGGTGTAGCATCCCACATTCTTGTACTGACTCCAGGAGTAGCTCCAGGAGTCTCTGCTCCTTTGCCATGACCTGGAGTTTCGTCCCATCTAATAGCAGCTGGTGTTACCTGCAACAGTTATACAAAAAAAGTTTTATAACGATAATAAGAAAAACTAAAATAAATTTAGACATCTTAATATTCAAATTATATTAAATCAAGTGAATTTTCGCGCAAGTGTAAATAAAATAGAAGCGAATAATAAAAGCGCGGGAAACAAAATCATTAAATGTTAAAATCAATGAAATGTCGATGTTTCTCAAGATATCCTTTTAAATTTCAGTGTAAACTTAAATAAAAAAGTAAAAATAAAATATAGCAAACATACGTCGGCATTATCCCAAGATGTAGGTGTTGCCGAAGCACCAGATAATTTTTTCTGCACCGGAGTATCATCGGTTTGATCCCAACGACCTCTCTTTTTGGGAGCTGGTTTAGGCTCGCCGTTGGCTTTCAAAGTACCATCTTTTGCTTTTTCGGCAAGTCTTTTTCTCAACTGTAAAAAAATGAAAAGTATACTTAAAGATATATACGTAATATACATAATAAAGATGTTTTAATGATTAAAAAATATATTTTATGTATTTTATGTCTTTTAAATATTTTATATATTTTTTTTGCACATTACATTCAGTAAATATAATATTAAGATTCAACATACCTCTGTCTCTTCACCCTTGAGCATCTGCTCTCGCATAATTTCAGTGTATGTTCTGGAACCGATATCGGGTGTTTTACCACCTGTAATTAAAAGAAGTCAATTATAGTTAAGTTTTAACAATTTGAATATATGCACACATGTAATAATAATAATTTAGTACATGTTTATCAAGCTTAATTAACAACTTTATTACTTCATATTACAGTGAGTCTGAAGTTGAAAGTTATAAAGAAAAAATTATACCAACCTTCTGCGAAAGGATCGACACGCTCAGGAGAAATAATCATTCTACGTCTTTTCTGCCTGTATTCATCCTCCCTATCAGCTATAGTAGGTCGCCGTCTGTCCGCAAAAGGATCATAATCCTTCTCTTCTCTATCAACTATGGTGGGTAGTCGTTTGTCCGCAAATGGATCATAATCCTAACACATAAAAATCTGAATGAATCTTGAGTTTTGAATAACATAAATTTTACAAACTACATTTTGTAGCGTAAGCTTTATTTAAAAAAAAGAGCAAAATAAATTAAAAACGATATCGTTAATAGTCAGAATTGTCAAAGCTACGAATATTTCAGAATACATTACAATGAATGGGGTGTACCTCAATTTCGTCATTGGTCGCAATTGATGTAACATAGCCGTCAAATTTGTTGTTGCTACTGTCATATATATCCTGATCGTAGAAACCGGTTTTTCCCAAAGCGACTTGCTCCTTCTCGGATGCCGCGCTCAACAGCTCCTTTTTTTTCGACTGTATCTCCCTTATCTGCGCTTCGATGTCTGCAACACAGATATCAATGTAAATTATTACTTTGTATTACATTAAGATGTAACAAGTAAGTAAAAGTATTTATGCAGATTGTATAAATTATACGGATTCAAGTAAATGACAAATGTTACAAGCCATGCAAACGTAATAAGGCGACGTGTAAAAGGTGAAAGTGTCACGACGGCAAAGCACGCTCGTTTGATTGTTCATTTCATAATTTAAACTGATACTACTCCGTTATCCCCGGAAACGTTCGACGTTCGGTCTAAGGCGCGAGGGATCCTCCGAGTTTCAACGTTAATTCGCTCGGTAAAGAGTCAACTGTTTACAGTCCTCATTGGGCAGAGCGGAACGACCGTGTCAACCTGCGCTCCGACCGACACTCGAGTTTCGGCTGATACTTGTGACGCGTTTGAGTTTGCGCGGGCGCAATTAACGAGGGTCAATCTCAAAGCGAAGAGGGATACCTTTGTGCGTTCTCGGAATCGAGTCCATCGTGATGCAGAAGCTCGCGGAAGCGACGGACACGGGACGAAACTCGCGAAACGCACCTGGACACGCCGAATTCAGCAATACGTCAGATTGTTATTGACGACAAGATGACGCACCGAATCGAATGGCGCGCATGTGCTGCACTCGGTCAGCAGATGGTCGAACTTTCTGTAGTCGGAATTAAATTGTGCGGCAAAATTGTAAACTCGTCAAATGTTTTTTTTTTATATTTATAATTGTATATTTGATCGATTTTTAAATATCTTTATCTTTATGTTAACAAACGAATTTAGTGTCTGCAGTTCTAATTACAGATTCAAGATCATAAGTGTTAATTGTATGATTCGTTTTATTATTTATTAATTTTATTAATATGTATAATAATCTAATTCTATAACTTTTTAATATAATGCTTAATTTATAGTTGTTTAATATTTATAGTAAATGTATTTCAAACAAAGGAATTTCCGTAATTGTTATGTGTCAGTTTTATAAGTTATTAATTTTGTCATCTACAATATTATATAGTACTTACAATATTTCTAATAAAATTATAACATAATATTTAATGTACAAATAATATTATTTAATATTGCAAGAAATATCGAACTCGTCCAAAAATTTGAACGGCCGCGCGACATCATCGCGACTTGCCCGCCCCACGCCAGATGGCGCCGCGGCGCCGCGTTCGACGGGACGCGCAGGGAGTTTCCAGTCTCGCTCGCAGCTCGTCTTTCGTCGGGTCCCCGTTCAATCTTCGCCCGCGTAAGCGCGAGAAATGTCGCGACGAGTCGCAAAGTGCGCGAAATCGTGTCCGCGTCCCGTCCGCGCCCGCCGCACGCGATAACACCCGTCCCGCCGTCGCGGCGCCGCTCCGCCCGATCGGCCTAGGCCGACCGCGCGTTATCGCGCGGAACGCGCTCGTTTTCCCCAGCCGTAAATTCTCACACACGCGACAAGCGGTGCACTGTGGGCCAGCAATGGTGGGCGCGTGATTTTGAACAATTCGAGCTATCGAAGGAACGCGCAGGTACGTGTGTGCCGGACGACGGGGTACGCGCGACGCCGTGCCCGTGCCGCCGCCCCGGGACGCCCTCCCGTCCAGGTAGCCGTGCGACGGACGGAATCCGCGCCGCGCTGCGGCCAGGAGTCCCGATTTCGCCCGATTTCCGACCCCGCTCGGTGGCCCCCTTTCCCTTCCCCTCCCCGACCCCGCGGCTGCTACGAAAACTCGCGTTTAAGGTTAGGTGGTCCCGCGCCGTCCCGGGCCACGGCGCCGTCGCGCGCGACGTCGGACCGCGACCCGTCTCGCCCGGCGTCGTCGTCGCCGCGTCGCGACCCCCCGGGCACCCGGCGACGCGCGGCCGCGCCGCCTCGGCTCGCGCGCGAGCCCGTCGACGTGCGCGGCGCTCGAAAATCCGCCGCCACGCAAAAATGGCGCGTTCCCGTCTCGACGAGAAATGGCGCTGATGTTCCGGACGAGAGAGTCTTCGCGCTCCCGCACTCTCTTTCGGAGGGGTTTATTTTCCTTTTTGTCCCCCTCTGCTCTCTTTCTCTCTCTTCGCTCTGCCTTGCCTTCGGCGTGTCTTTCGAATTCGCGTTCGGCGTGCCTGGAATGCGTGCACGCTCGCGTCAAACTTCGCACGGATGGCTGCACGGACGAACGTCCCGCGGCTTTTCAAAAGCGCCAGCACGATGAATTTAAATCTCTCTCTCTCTTTCTCTCTCTTTCTCATGCACACCGAGAGCGATTTCGAAATGGTCGGACCACACGTTGGCGACGTGCTGCCGAACGATTGTATTATTAGCGCGAACGATCGAAGCCGCCGATAGATCGTGCGTTCGAATAACGTAAACAAAATCGCGTTTAGGGTAGAATAGAATAAATGTTTGGATTTATTGCCAGGCGAGTGCGTGCAGTGCACACGTGTGTGATTGCCACTTGATTACGAGTTTGGTTAATTATATTTATCTAAATGGTATCCAGCATTTTTCGTACTGCAATGATAGATTGTCTTACCTTAAAGTCGATCTCTCTTCAAAAATATTTCTGAACAACTTGAATAAATTTAAAATTTGAAGATTGAAAATTATAGTTTATTCTAATCATACATTTGTGATACTTTACTTTTCACAAACTGTTATCATTTATGCGATCAAGGCCGTTGTAATATCCATTCGGAAAAGCAGGTGGCCTGAGTTGGAATATCTCGTGTGTACACTGCACCTTATATCTGCATGTTATATGCAAACATATTTAGGAACTCTCGCGACTCATAATCTTAATTGTTTAAGATGCCAATGGAATTGGTGTTGTATAAGTAAAAAAAAGCTGTTATATTTCTTACATTCAATTGTCATTGGACTTCAGCTGTGCTTGGACCATTATTCAACGATGCTGATGTTTTTGCTCAGGTCATTGTCGTCATGTCCACTAATAAGGGGCAAAACACGAGGGCCCTGGTAGAGCCCTTGACTTTGGATCGCACATTGGAAGACAGCGACCTCAGCGCCCTGAGCTTGTCTCACAGCAGCGAACAGTATACGTCGAACGACTTCGAGGAGTTTGCGAATATTCAAGCGGAATTTGAATGCATGAACTCGGAGGGAGTTATGACGGACGACCGGATAATAATTGATGAGAACGTTGAGACTGATACGATAGTACCTGATGTGGAGATGACCGAGATTTCCGAGCAAGTGCAGGCCGAGCACATTTACACGATGGCCAATCAAAACAGTCAGAATATTGTGTTCCAAACCAAGCCCACGTTGCAGAGAGTACCGGTGTCGGCGGTCCAGGTAACGTATTTTTAATAACAGCTCCAACGCGACGGTCTATTTCATGATAATTTCTCTCTCTCCCTCCTGCCCCTTCAGATGAAACCGAGCATTCAGCCTACGCAGAGCCAGTCGATCATGATAGTGTCACCTGTGAGCGGACAGGGCACCAGCCAAATTTTGAAGATATCGCATCCACCGACAGCCTCGGCCGAACAGCTACAGTCTTTAGCCCAAACTCTAATCACTGGCAAATCTGCGGACGGGAGTGTCGTTCAGTTGAGAACCACGCAGCCCGCCAAGTCTATCACGACAACTAGTGCCTCTGGAAACATCACGATCAGTAATGTGCAGAATGTTAAGATTTCGCAGCCATCGTTGAAACGGACAACACAGAGTGTCTCTCAAGGACGTAACGTAAGATATTGTGAACTCATATAATCTTCATAAAAAGAGTGAAATTTTCGTAAAATTACGTATCAGATTTTAAATTGCAATGACATCTTCCATAGTTATACACAAAGATGATATTGACGGGAAATCAGCCACAGTCCGGTACTCAGCAAGTTCTCATCACGAGTTCGCAAAGTGAAAATCAACCGACTCAGGGAATCAAATTTCTCAATAACAGCTCCTCTAGTTTTGGCAGCCCGGCGAAAAATATAACGTTGGCACAGATGGGCACTATACTCTCTACCAACAAGCAACATATTTTGCCGACATCTTCGTCAAAGCAGGTGTGTCTCGAGTTACATGGTACAAGTCGTTAGAAATTGTATTTATGTCGCGCGACAATAATTACGTATCCTTTTATATTTTCGTAGAGTATGATACTGAACAAGTTGCTACAATCTTCGACGTCTCAGCCATCAAAAGTGACCATATTACCGACGAAATCGCCGACAAAAATCCTTCCTGCGCCAACCATGAGTCTTCAGGCGAAGTCCTCGACGACGACGAATCAGCCCACATTCGTTACATCCAAATCATCCACGCAGCAAAATCCGCAGAAAGTGATCATTAGACAGGTTAAAAAAGATTACGAATTATAATTGTGATTAATTAAATCTTTCACAATTTGGAGATGAAAAAATTCCTTTGATAACAAATCATGCATCATGACAATTCTTTCTTTAGGGTTCCTTGAAACCTGGTAATGTACTTGGAAGTGGACAAGTCATTAGAATACCTGCTAACCAGAACATCGTGACTGGATCGAATCAAGTCCATCAGATTCAGATGTCCGGAAGACAAGTATATTAACTTATAATTTATCCATTAATAACTAATGTGTGTGTATATATATATATATATACATTGCTTATTGTATTATGCGATTTCTTTCAGGTGCAATACGTCAGATTAGTTAGTACCCCTTCAACAGGATCTACCAATGTCGTTACTGTGGGCAAATCAAAAGCCAGCACAACACTTCAGACTGTGGGTATCGGTCAGAAGATAGGAAATCAGCAACAGATTGTAAAGGTATTTTTGAAAATTCGGTAACATTAATAATCTTTCAGCAAAAGAATTGTATTTATTGTACATGTGCGTTTTTTATTTTTTACTTTTTATTTCAAAAATTTTTATTAATATTAAAATAACACTTAAATTTAAATATGGCACTATACTAGATTAAAATACTTATATTAAATTTAAATATAGCTCTTGAAATTTTATTAATACGATATTTCATGTGCTGTATCATATTTAAAATATATATCACAATGATTTTTTTATCTGATTTTTATCTAGGTTGTACCGCTGAATACCGGAAGTCAGTCTCTGAGAACGGTTGCACCGAAAGCAACGTTGACAAGTGGTAGCCAAAAATTACTCATACCTGCGGCTGCTGCAGCGGCAGTCGGCGGTCAGTCGAAGAATGCGGTGGCAATCCCCGCGTCAGCATTGAGCCAGCTGGCGTCAGGACAAGCAGTTCTATCAACCAATCCGAATGTTGGAAATATCGTTGTTCTACCTGCTCAATATATTCAACAACAGGTTCAATATCCATTTATGTCCTTTATCAACTTGCATGCCTTTCTTCCCCTTCCGCGCAAATGTTAATAAGTTCAAAAATAAAATTTAAATAATACGAAATTCCAAGAAATTTGTAATTGTTTATCTTTATAAAGTATCGCAGTTGAGTTTCATATGATTTTTTCGAGAATATGTATATCCTCTTAAATTAAACGTTATTTTGTAAAAACGCATATATAAAATATTGCTATCTCGTCTGAGCAGTCAACAGAGGAGGTAAAATTGAAGTCCCAAACAACGCCAGCTCTTTTAAATACACAAAGTTCTACAGCGACTCTGTGCGTAATTGACGGAAAAAATTCTCAAAGAGGATCTTACAGCAATGTGGAGCCGAACGGCATCAGGCCGAGAAAACCATGCAACTGTACCAAATCACAGTGTCTCAAGCTGTAAGTATTTTGTTAAAAAATTTTATGATTTTTCAAACTATATACTTTATGAGTTTTTATAACAAAAAAAAATTTCTTGATAAAATTTTATTCTATTATTATTAATTTGTAACCTATATCTTTTATCTAGTAGGCCTTGGAGAGTTTCACTTTCATTTGTTATTTTCATAACTGACAGAAGCATCTTTTTAAAAGCGTTCATTAAGATATTCCTTATGAAAAGATTGTTGAAATTTTAGCAAGTTTAATTGAAGTAAACATCATAATAGAACTATAAAATTTAAACTGTCCTTTTTAAAGCAGAATCACAACTCGCTTATGTTTTAATTTAAATATTATTTATATTATTTGAATAAAATCTAAACGAAAATCTTTATATTGCAGTTATTGCGATTGCTTTGCGAACGGTGAATTCTGTCACATGTGCAATTGTAATAATTGCTCAAACAATCTTGGTAACGAGGAGGAGCGACAGCGCGCGATTAAATCCTGCTTGGAACGTAACCCTAATGCCTTCCGGCCTAAAATCGGGAAAGGCCGTGAGACTGGCGAAGATATAAGGAGACACAATAAAGGCTGCAATTGCAAACGTAGTGGTTGTCTTAAGAATTACTGCGAATGTTACGAGGTACTTTGAACTACATAAATATTTTACAAATAATTAGGCTCGTAGATACTTTTTTTTTTTATTCGTGACTGAAAAACGCGGCAGTTAATTTCTTATCTATTATATTTTGTATTTCCTCCTATTAATGTATAATTAGTGTATTCAGTAATTACTTATTTAATCAAATGTTTCAATTGTAATTTACACAAAATTTTAATAATGATTGTTAATTTTGCATACGTATTTATTCGTCGATATAAAAAATTCAAATATGTATTTCTTTTTCAGGCAAAAATCCCATGTTCTGCAAATTGTAAGTGTATAGGCTGTCGCAATATTGTGGATCCAATTTTGCAGAAGAAATCTTTAAAAGACCTAGCAGAAGCGGCCGAAGTCAAAACGACTCAGCTTAGTTTAAATAAGGCGCAATTACAGTTATCCGAAATGGCATTTAGACCACCAGCGACATCCAATACTGGTACAAGGTATGACAAGATTTCTTTATTAATGTACAACTTTTAAGAACTACATATATTGCAGATGTAGTAATGATAGTTATATACGTTTCTATTTTGCATATTTTTAAGTTATATATATATTTTTTTTATTTTTTTTTATGTTACAGACAACCATTCAATTTTCTGACGGAGAAAGTAGTGGAGATAACATGCCAGTGCTTAATGGCTCAAGCCGACGAGGCGGAACGTAATATGTTCGACGACGAGACATCTCAGCGTCTTATCATCGAGGAGTTTGGCCGTTGCTTAAAGGAGATCATCGAGTCGGCGCATAAAGCTGAAGCTACTTAGCAGGTGCACTTGCGATATTCGCATTGTAATTTTTATATGATTACTATTGATTATCAGAATTGGAATATAAATAAAAATAGTATAATGTGTGTTGGTACCAAAGACATTATATTACACAAGATGCGAAAGGTCTTGGAAGGTCTTTTCAAATTCACCAAGTTATTCTTTAAGCGCCTTTCAAAGTGAGCCTGCGATGAATAACTCCGCATGTGAATTTACTTCAGAGTAATATAATGGGAATGATATAAGCTGTATTATGAGAGCAAATCGCTTCCCTCGGTTTTTGATTGAAATGAAAAATGTCTTTAATTTGTACATTAATTTGATAACGAATGCTTTCGCTGTTTCAAAAAATAAATCGTATTTGACTTTTAAACGAGAAAAAGAAATGGCGTCAATTTGACGATAAACGAGAATTTTTGTATTTGGAACGTGTTTTGATCTGATAGTAAATACACAACGTATTGGTAAATAAGAAGCGATAGCTCATCTTGCAGTTCAATTGCTTAATTATCATTACCATTTAACAAACTTACACAGTGTTCAGAGAAAATGATGAAACGTTTCATGAATTTATCTCGTCAGTCTATCGGTTGCATTTCATATATTTTTAAAAATAAGTCGTTATGTCTGCGAAATAATATATATTAGATGCTAAAAATAATTATAGTAAAAATTTCATTAATCCGCACTTTCCTTTATAGTTTATTTAATTTAATCATAGAAAAGTACCTATAATGGTTTAAATCACAGTTGCTATGGTATGTATTTTAACTAATAATAGTACAAATGTACAAACTTTATTTGTATGTTTCAATCAACATGCATGTTCAAAATCCATAATCCGTTAAGACCCGAATTTACTAGTTAAATTTACTAGAATGGTTGATTAGACGTAAAATCGAATATCTATGTAGACAATACAATTACAGATCTCGTTTCGCCTCGTAAACAGAGGGGGGGGGGGAAGGGGAGTTTGCACTTCACTACGCGTGGAAATTCGAAAACTTGTGAAACAGTATTGACTTTGTTTCAATTAAATTGAAAACTAAGTTATTTTAACTAGTGAAATCGGGTTTTAACTTATATATACTGTGATTGAAACATATTAATAACAATAACGTTAGCGTTATTAATGTATGATATGTAACAACTGCGACTTCAGCTCTTATAGGATTGTCCTCCTTGTGTAATTGCATATTAAAGAGTCTTTACATATTATTTACACCGTACATCTTATTTAATTGTGAATATTAGAGGTGTTTATATATATATAATAGCACTATAAATATGAAATAAAACTCTACTTTCAAGTACTTGATATTACATATGAAGATTTCTGTTATTCGTTAATACTCTTAAAGCTTAATTCATTCTTAATTTTTAATGGCTTGTATCTTAGGTTATTGACGGCTCGATGTCGATCGAAGCTAACGATGTCGTTTATTTATAGACTATAAGAGGAGATATGCGATGTTTGAAGCACCTTGTATTATATATATATATATATAATGTATTTCTCAAATTAAAATTTTATGATCGAAAGTGCAGCTGCAGTTTATATAGAGATATTTATATTCATTCACATTATATTATATGCATTACGATTAAAATGTACAGCATGTCAAAATAGCCTCTCTTGTTTTTGTTTGCGTCTACAATGAATATTTCTGTTTAATTACTTAACTTGAGAAACAATTCGTTTATTATTCTCTTTTCTCTCTCTCATTTCGTATTCTTTTTTTTTCCCCATTTCTCTTTTGATATTCAATATAATGTACATGATGTATTAACAAATTACAATCCTTAATTTAGAATTACTGCAATATAATAAGTCTGCTGGCGGATTAACATTGGAAATAAAAGATTTTTAATTGTGTATAATATTCTATATACGCAACGTGTGCGTATACAAATATATAGATTTTACTACTTTCTTGCAGTCACTAATAATACAACAACATTGTCCTATGATTGTAATTGAAAATACTAGCTTCCTTAAATTTAATTAAAATTTAAATTAAATTTAAAATTTTTTAATTTTAAAGGTAAAAAATTTTTGTAAAAGTATTGTAATTAATTCTTTTCCGTTTTCATTGTCGTTGATGTTCTTCAAATATACGTGTTTGATAGTAGAAATAAATTATGCTGTTGTTTGATACAAGTAACTTTTGTGCTGTACATACAATATTCACGTAAAGAATGCTCTTCGTAATAATGCATATATATAATAGTAAATAGAGGAATTTTAGTATTTCGTTATAAAAATGTTGACTATAATACAGAAAGATTTTTAATGATGGGTCTTATAATGTTATTTGAGCGACTTTAAATGTAATAGCATTTCAATAAATAAATAGTTGAAAAGAAATTATATTAATACATATTTTACCATTTTTTATTAATATTCTCTAAATATATAATATTTCTTAAACATATATATAAAACAGTTGTTAAAATATTAAGAATAAAATTTCTAAGAAAATTGAGATATCCAAAACAAAATGTATCGCAAACGAGTATTATATTATTAAAAAATCTAGTGTTAACTATACTCTATATTCCCATTTATATTATATATTTACAATTCATATTTACAAATTCGTGATGATAAAATAATTTTTATACATGATCTGTATCCTATATTTACTTACAAAATATGAAATTTTGAATTTCATGGAGCTGCATGGAGTAATAAAAGTTAACAGGAAAAACAAAATTAAAAATTAACTCAATGCATTTTTCTGGCAGGTGTAATTCATTTTACCAATAAAAAAATAACATTAAGATATAATACAAGCTCATATTATTAAATACAGCTAAAATTTAATGATCTTATTTTTTTGTGGTTTATTACTTTCGCGTTTCACTTTTGTATCTTCCTGCAAAGATTCCACGGCGGAATCGTCCATTTTTTCCACTGTAACGGCGCTTTCTTCCTTGGCATTCACCAAATCGGGACAATCCTTCTTCAAGTGTGTTACATCTCCGCAAACCTTGCAGCAACCACCGTGAGGGTAAACTCCTTTGGGATTATCGGGGCATTGATTGGCGATGTGACCCTGCTCGCGGCAGATGAAACATTTGGCGTATCGATAGGTGGAATCCTTGGTGACTTTGCACTCAAAGTGAGTGTGCTCCGTTGAACCGCACTTGAAACAGATGCCCGTGCAAGTCTCGTTGCGATCGAGCTCGGGACAATCCGACAGATTGTGTCCAGACTTGCGACAATTGAAGCAGACGAGTTTCCTGATGCGCGCCAAGGCTTTCTCAGCCTTGCGTCTCTCCAGCTTCATCGCCATGTCCACTTCTGATTTTGGTATACCTGAGTAAGATATAAATATTGTCAACATCGTATTTTGAAATTAAAGTCATTAACTCATTACTTCGTTACTACATTATTATCCTATCTTAAAATTGCCGTGTTACATGTGTTGAAGCCTCTTTTAATCAATGTTTAAAAATTCATATCTTCATATCATAAAAATAAAGATATAGACTTCTTTCTGAGCTCATCTTAAAGATGAATTATGTGGCTATTTTTTAAGAAATCATGATTTTATTTAAAAATGGCCCATTCAATATGACCGATTAAAACGTCATTTTATTCAAAATTGTTAAAATTTGTTTAATTAAAATGTAATTGGTATAAATGTTATTGGACGATGTATGGAATTTAATGCGCACTACGCGCAAAGCGTAATTTTTTTTGAAAATTTATTTTTTATTAAAAATTGTTAACATTTGTTTAATTAAAATGTAAATTGGTATAAATGTTATTGGAAGATGTATGGGATTCAATACGTAGCGCGCGCGATGCGCGCGCCTCTTATGTACTAGTCAATACAAAATACACAAATTAAATGTATAAATTCTTAGATTTTGCATTTAGATTCTTAGATTTCTCATCGTTTAATATTATTTTTTTTATTGATAAAAAAATGAATTACACCTGCCAGCAAAATGCATTGAGTTAATCTTTAATTTTGTTTTTCCTGTTAACTTTTATTACTCCATGCTTAAAAAATTTAAGAAAATAGATTTAAAAAAAAGTCAAAGTAATTCTTTTAAGTTCCATGAAGATTGAAGATTCAAAATTAAAATCTTTCTATTGCATGCACAATATTTAATACAATTGTTTACTTACCCTTCATCAGCATTTTCTGTTTAAGTTCCGTCAATCTCTCCGCATCTTCTTTTTTAACGGGGAATCTATCAAACATGACAATTTCGGTTTCCACACCGTTGATTGTCACTTTCGTGACACCGGCATCTGGCTTTCTCCTTTTGTATTCTCCCTTTCTCTTCATCTTTTCCTCCCTCGTGTGCGTATTGTCATTTTTGCCCGTATCCTTCTTGAATCTCTTAGACCCATCGTTAGACATTTCTAACTTCCTCTTCTGATTTCGCTTCTGTCGTTTGCTCAGCACAACGTAATTCGATTGCGTATCTTGTGGTGTGCTCAATTCTTTTTCACCGGATACCAAATTTGTATTATTAACGTCTCGTTTCTTTTTGTTAGACAATTTAGTTGTCTTCCTATCCGTTGTCTCAATTTTCGCATCTCCCGCTTTTTGTGATTTTTTCACACTACTTTCGGATGCTGTGTCATTTTCCAAATTTTTTGCAAGATTTTTCTTCGAATTTGAATTCTTATGTTTCTTTCCTGTGTTAGACTTGGATCTGTTATCTTCAAATTCCGCCCATTCCTGAGCGTTTTCATTAGTGTTACTACTACTGAACGCTTCTTCTTTATCTCTCAATAATTCCTTCGCTGATTTTTTCTGTCCCACAGGCCCCTTGCTTTTGCTCTCCTCTAACTGCTGTTTCATTACATGCCATGGCGTAGCCTCGTTCGGTAATCTTTCGTTTGAAGCTTTGGATCCTTTTGCTCTTGCATATCTGGTCATCTTTCCTTACACTGACAGAAAAGCAAATAAAGATTTATTATTTGTTCAAATCAATGGAAGAAGTTAGAATCTTTCTGGATTTTAAAATTATTATATATTAATTCTCAGTGAATTTTAGCTTGAATCGATTGAATTAATAGATATAGATATATAATACTTTGATGCTCAAATCTTTGCGTCATTAAATTTCTAAATATTCTAAAGTCTTAGATTTTTGTCTCTTTAAATCCTTCCTATTTATAAACTTACGCAACACACTGGAAGCTTCTACTTTGAAATAATTATATATGTTACTTTTAAATATAAATTCGTAGATTCTTGTACATATTAAAATTGATAAAGTTATACGTTATTAAAGTTTGCCATTCTCAGATATATTCATAAATTTCAATTAATTCAGCCACGCACAGAATTAAATAAGTGTGAAGGATATCTTTTGCGTCCTGTAAAAATAGAATCTCTCCTTGCAATACGTCAATAACTTATAAACGCAAGTACTGCACTTGCATTTAAAAAAATCCACATTTGTTTTCGGAATAAACGAAGATTTTCTTACCGATTCTTTTTATCGGAGCATTCACAATGTATTATGTATCATTTTATATATCTTCACGTGGAAAAATCAAATTGGAGCTTTGCAGAGGTTAGGAAATCGGAAGTTATTTAACATAGGGAAATTTCTGTGAAAACGCATCGCCAACCTGACATAATTGCCGGTATGTATTTCGGAAACGCAACGATTCGATTTTGATTGGTCGGAAAGCGTGAGTCAATTGGACAATCCGCCCGGGTCTCATTCGACAGTTGTTTCCGAACGCAATTATTGCATGTTTTCGTTTTCGCTGCGTCTCGCTCGCGCTGTTCCGCGCTCGCGTCACTCGCGTTGACTCGCGTGGTCTCGCGTCTGATCGCAAATATTTTATTACCTTCTCGCGTTGTTGTTGTTGTTTCTCGTTGAATTAATCTGCTCAGCGTCTTCTAAAATTCTCGAAAAATGGCGGAGTTTGTGGAGAAGCGGTGCCAGGACATGATTCCTGAGCTGGAGCAAATGGAGAGGATCAAGCTCTTTGATAAAAACGAGATTCGGTAAGCAGACGTTGTGATTTAGGTTATGAACTCGTGCGCGTCTGCATGACGATTCTCGTGTAACGACGTGTTTGTTGTTGTACTTTTCAGGAGCATCGCCAAGAAACTCAAAGAATACGAGTATAAAATTCAACGACACACAAAGTGCAAGGAGGACTATCTTCGGTACATACAGTACGAAATGGATCTGCTCAAGTTGATCAAGCAACGGAGGGATGTAAGTAGCTGCGTCTATATCCGAATTTATTATATAATTCTACATAAATGTATATAGACATAAATGTAAATATATATATATATTTATATTTATATATATATTTATATTTATATATATATTTATATTTATATATTTGCATGTGTGTCTATATAAATGTAGTCGCACGTATTTTAAAACTTTATTTTTTTATAGAAATATGGTATTACTCAAAAGAGATCGGTCATCGACTACGCTATAACCAACAAGATGAATAACTTGTACAAAGACGCGATATGTAAATTTCAAGACGACATCCGATTTTGGATCGCTTATATGAAGTTCTGTAAGCATGTGGTAAGTAGCGAGATAAGTAGATGTCTGTCTTTTAACTTGGCTGTACTCGTGCAATCTGACACAATTGTTTCCTTTCACCAGCACTTCCACAGCAATATAAACCACATGTTAGGCAGGATGCTGCAAGTGTACAGAGACAAGCCCAAGTGCTGGCACATAGCGGCGTGTTGGGAATTGGAGGAGAACAAGAATAAACACAACGCACGACAGTATCTCCTTAGAGGCTTACAGATCCACCCTGACTCGCAGTTGTTGTACATTGACGCTTTCAAGTAAGTATAAAGTGTATCTCTCAATAATTTTTTTCTGTCAATCTGTCCATCTCTTATAGCGTTTTCGGCTCGAGCGGGTTTGATCGCTTCAAGAGCGATTAATGACGTCACATGCTCTCCTCGTCCAATCAGAAATCTAAAATAAAGAGCATGTGACATGATTAATCGCTCTCGCAGCGATCAAACCCTGCTCATGCCGAAAAACACTATTAATCAAAGTGCGCCTGCATTTATTTTGTAGACTCGAACTGGACAATCGCCTAGCGACAGCCCCTAACGCTGAAAATACCGAGAATCAGGAAGGCAACCCGGTACCGGCGACGACAGACGACAGCGAAATACCACTTCCATTGAAAACGGCGTTCTTTATATACCAACAGGCTTTCGATTGCGTTAAGGATATTAAATTTATCATAAAATTGCTCGACATCACAATGGAATATGACAATGTCGAACAACTGCAGAAGAGAATAATCGAGTATGTATGCGCACGTGACTTTTTATCATGTAAACCTGTCGAGTATGATCGTTCGCAGTGGTTAAAATAAAAGATACAATTTATAATTACAGCGACATGTTTCGGGAGTATGCTCACGAGCCCTTGGTGTGGGATACCATGGCGCGTCGCGAATTGCAGGGTCTGGCGCATCCGGGCTTCAGCGACACGCCGATGGAGGTGGAGAATGCCGAGCAGATCTCTTTGAGGGATCGCATCACGAAGTGCAACAAGGTCTACCAGACGGCCGTAAAGAAAATCAAAAACGAAGAAATCTGGTCGTTGTACATAGATTGCTTGCTGGAGATTAATCGCGATCTGCGGTCGTTGCCGAATTTCAAGAGAAAACTCCTGAAAACTGCCCTGATGCAGGCCCATCAAGCGAAAAAGCTAAAAGAGGAACATTACTTACACTGGGTTTGTATTCAATATTTCGCTGTGATATCCATATTATATATAGACAATTAATTTGACAATATAGAAAAAATTTGCTCAAATTTGATTATAATTTATACATCTAAATCAATTTTCTCTTTAAAATAATTTCTGTACACTTTAGCAATGTTTCTACTTGAAAACTTTTTAATCAAAATATCTATCAGATTGAATTTTTTTAAACTCGAATGTCTAGAAACAATCAGCACTCTATTTATTCCTCTGTTTCTTCTTACAAATATATAAAAGTGGCTATTGCATTCCATAGATTGATATATTGAACACCAATGGCGAGAACGACGAGGGCGTGCGGAAAAAATTAGACGAAGTGCTGCGCGGAGCGACCGACGCTCTGCCAAACAGCGTCGGCATTTGGCACGCGCGGCTCAATCATTTGTTGCGGTGTGGCCTGGAGAAAGAGGCGTACGCTATGTTTCCGAAGGTAATAAATCTTACAAACTACCGACACATTTGATCTTGCGGTTTGCCGATATTGAAATATTTTGTCGATCGATTAGGTAACGGAGATATTGGGCGAGAAAGCGTTACCCCTGTGGAAAATGCGGATCTTGCATGCCCAGATAAAGAGTTCGGAAGAGGCGGAGGAGAGCTTTCAAGCGGCCCTGCAGGCGCATCCGCTGATCGCCAGAGATGTCAAGCCCATGTGGCTCGAATGGCTCGTTTTAACAAAAGGTAATCAGACTAATATCAGATTTTTTTCTTACTTTGCGCTTGTTATTCAAATTTAAGCATCCCTATTAATGTGACGAATTTTTTTTCTGCAATATCTGTACCTCTATATTCTCCTCAGGCATCCGTGCAGTTCGCAAGGCGTACGAGAGCCTCTGCCTTCAACCGCCCACCTCGTTGGACTTCCACAAGAAGATGATCACGCTGGAGCTCGTGCAGCCGGAGACTCTGCCGAAGTACGTGCGGCGGCCTTACGAAAAGGCGATGATGCACTTCGGGACTAAGGACACGTCCATCTGGATAGACTACATCAAGTACGAGATGAAGCACGGGGACCCGAAGAGGGCCAGCGACATCCACGAGCGGGCGGTCAAGACGTTAGATCGCAGCTTAACGTATTCCTTCCTTCAGGATTACAGTCTGATCGCGGCGAAACCCGATTCCATAAAATGATGCCGGCCATAAAGCGTGCACCATTTTGTACATACATCAATTATTTGTAATTACTAGAGTAATATATCGAATTTTTCGATATATTACTCTACATATATATGCATATCGATATATATGTCTGTATGAACGAATGTATTTCATCGAGATCTAAGATTAAGGTATATGTATAGTCTTAAAAATTTCCATAAATTTACAAAGTAACGTAGTGCAGTCAATGATTGCAGAAATATATAACGAAGGTCTAAAACAATTATATTGTAATTATTCCTCTCATTTTGGATCAATCAACTTTTTTTCTCGAGTTGAAAGGGTAACGTTAGTCGAATTCCTATTAATTTAATCAATGATTAGCTTATTATGTTTTTATTAATGTGGATATATTTATCAATTTTTTGCTGCTTAACATGAAAAAAGAATTTTTTCTCTAAATTCGAAATTTGATCCAAGTTTAATCTTTGCGTGAACTTTCAATCCATTTTCCGATGAATAGAAGAACGAATTTTCTAGGGATTACAGTTAATGACGATCTCATTTTCAAAAGAAAAATTTTTCTATTAAATATCGTAAAACCCGAGAGAATCCTCAAAAATTATTGCACTTGAAAACGAGATAAATATATCATATATCATATGTTGGAGAAAGAGGAAGCGAATATTCAAGAGTGCAAAAAATACAAGCAGCGCGAACCTAGAAATATCCAAATAACTTGATGCAAGAGAACGGAATTTGAAAAATATCGTGAAAAATTCGCGTTCACGAGAATAATTAACAAGTCAATACGCGCGACGATCTCAGATCTCTGGTCTAGTTCTGAGAAAGTTAATGCCGGACGAGAATGGTGCAGCGGCGAGATGGCAGCACCAAGGAGACCCCGAGGAAGATATATGGAGGTTTTCCCACCACCCGAGCTCGCCAGTCGCCATAGAACTCGCAGGAATTCGCTCGTGGAGGTGCTCGATGAGATTCGGGTGAGTTGCCCCCCGGTTGATTCGCCCCGATGCGCGCGAGACTCGCCGCCGAGGATTCGCCCCGACGTCGCGGACGCGGCGCGCGCCGTGGGGGCTCGTCGCGCGACCGGTCGTCGTCGGAGCGGGACTGACAGTTTTGCGGTTACGCGCGGAGCAGGACGACCGACCGACGGGACGGGCTCTCCCGTGTCGAGAGTGTCTGGTGCAGCGGGTAAAGGGTAATACGCGCGCTGACAGTTCGCGCGGGTGATCGCACGACCCTGTCGCGACGTGTCGTCCTCGCGCGGAGCGACGGTCGAGCCGAGACGTGTCGCCCGACTCGACTCCCGCGGTCAGCGATCCGTTGGACACTCGAGTAGTCGCTGGTAGTGTCGCGGCTGCTGGCAGCGAGATCCCGGGGGATTGTCCTCCGATCCGTCAGAGATCCGCCTCTCACGCGGTGTATCTTCTTTCCCTTCCGCAGGTACCCTGGCATCCCTGTCGCTCCAGACAATGCCTGTCTTGCGTGACAGACGACGGATGGCTCAGAGCGACGCTGCCGAACCGATTTCCACTTCCACCGCCTGATCGTAGGACCATGAGAGAGTAGGATCTTTTCCGGAGAGCCGAGCCATCGTTCCGTCAAGATGAGCGCCGGTCCCGCAGGCGTCGCCGATCTGTTTTACTTGCTGGAGTCGAATAAACTCGGGGAGGTCGAGGAGATCAAGAAAGTATTCCACGATCATTTCTTATGCAGTAAGTACACACACACACATACACGTGCATGTTTTGTAGCATCAGATATAATGTGATTGTTTGTAAATTGCCCGTCGGGTCACTTACAGCAAAGGACAGTTGGCTGGTAAATGGATTGTTCGATTATTATCTTTCTACGAACTCCCTGAGGACGGCGGAGGTGTTAGCAGGTGTACGAGATCCGCACGATAAACACCTATTGGATCGCTTGTCAGACATTCTTTCAAAACCTGGCAATAGTAGGCAGAGAATACAGGCACTCACGTTGCTTGGGCATATAGCCAGACGTCAGCCTACCTGGTTGTACAAGCTAGCCAGTCATGCTTTATTCAGAGATCTACTCAAATTACTTAAGGTAATACATTTCCCTGTTTTTTTCCTCTTCCCTGTCGAGTCGTATGTTCATTTATGTATATACGCATAAAAACTTCCTCAATTAATCGGTCAATTCTGAATTTCTTATCATGCTTTTAACATGATCGCGCTTATTTCAGATACATAAATATATGCCGTATATACGTAATTTTCATACGTCAATAATTATCGATGTGAGTCAATTATAAGGACTTTACATTCAGAATATCATAATATTTATTATAATATTTGATTCGATTGAAAAATGTTTTTTAAAAATACCAGAAAGACTTGAGATGTATGTACAGTTTTTACAAAACTGATTTTTCAAGGTGGAGGCAGATATATTACCACTTATGAGTGCCCTTCTTCTGTTAGTAATGTTGTTACCAATGTTACCTGCTGCTCTAGGGCCATATCTACCAGAAATATTTGAGGTATTCGGCCGCTTGGCCTTTTATTATCATCATCAATCGTCCTTACTTTCTCCCTCTACCCCTTTTACTTCGACCACAGCACCAAATGTCATCGACAAGGACCATTTGTACCTCATACATTTGCAGGTGAGGTGTTTACAAAGTCATTTTACTAAGTGTCGTAAACGTTAATATAAACGTAAACTACTTAACCACCGCCGTCGTGTTTATTACAGGTAGGATTATACGGCTTATTTCATAGACTGTACGCGATGTATCCTTGCAATTTTATATCATACCTGAAGCAACAGTACATTCAGCGTGATCAATTGGCTACATTTACTCATACTATCAGACCCATGCTGGATTCGGTGCGCATGCACCCTTCTCTTGTCACAGCATCCAAGGATGCAGAAATTTCAGCCACTAGGTATGCGTATATTAAATATGTAATAATAATCTTTATCATATATCTTATGTCATCACTTGTCTAAATTACTGTCACTTCTTTTTGTTGCACCATCAGGTGGAAAAAAATGGAACATCACGATATTGTGATAGAATGTGGCCGTTTTACGTTAGACAAATGTCGGGAAGAAATTTTAGGAGTAGTTAACTCTCGGTGCACTCCACCTCTAGGTCAGCATTATTGCTATCTTCATACCTGTATGTCTACCCTTCCCGAGGAATGCGATAGAAAATGACGGCTTCGTTTGTGCACTTACAGAACAATCTTCCATCACTTGCGCGCCGATAAACATTTGCGGGGGAGTAACCACGGAGATTAGTAACGGGGAAGACGATCCCGAGTTCTGGTCGCCGAGCAAGACGGTGTCACCGCGCAGCCCGCCGCAAAACGCATCTCACGAGCCACGCTCTGCCCCGCCGACGCCTAATAACAATAGAAGCGGTACTTCCCCGCCCGAGGCTGCTATAGAAGCTACCCCCGAAACAACGCCTGTTAAGGTATACGAAGGGATATACATTTTTTTTCTTTAACGTTCGGAGTTACATATTGTTTTTCACGCAGAATTTACGAAAATTACCAACAATCTTAAAAACAGAAAATTAAAAATTGTAAAATTAATAAGAATTTTTAATTAAATTTGCACAAATGTATTTTTTGAAACTTCAAAGCTTCGAAGGCACCTTAAACTTCGGAAGGTCAAAGTTAACTTAATTTAAACTTCGAAACTTCGAATAAGTAAAAAGTAAAATTACCCAAGTAGAATAATTAAAATTCGAAGTAAAAAGTAACAGCCCTATTACATACTGTATTTCACGCAGGATCTACGAAAATTATCAACGAGACAAGCGCCTCTGGGGTCTAGCGCAGTGCGCGCTCTGAACGCGTTGGGCAACGGCACATCGTCTCGGCCGTCGACGCCGACACCTGTAAATTCCTCCGGAGTAAAAAGTACAGACATTGCAGCGAATACACATGGATTTCTTTCGAATAGGCTAAGTAAAATTATGACAGATAGACAAAACGTTCTACAGTCGCAGAAATCATTGAGTAATAGCGAAGAAAACGGTAGGCTCTTAGAAATGGCTATAAGTCAAAACGGGAAGAATGATTCTTGGCAAGAGGATCAAGAGGTTTGAGCAATTTGCTAGTAGATTCTATCGATTAAATACAGACGTGTTGTTGTACGGAATTATTCTAACACCAGGTGTTGGAGATTGTCAGTTCGCACGGGAATGGAGCGGTCGAAATGCCAAAGTACGTCGAAGCGCAGTCTGAGGGGCGAAGCGAGAGAAACGCGTATGGCGCTTTATCGCAAAAGATTTATCAACTTCGACTGTACTCGCAATGCCATTTCCCAGTAGAAGAACCAAATTCAAACGTAACGCACAAAGTGAAGTATCGAGGGAGCTCCCCAAAGATTACTGCATATAATATTTCACGCTGCAGCAGCAATGAAAATAATGTTTATATGCGCAGATTCGACACTCCAGATCTTGTCCGGACATGGAGGTGCAGAGGAAATGTAGCGAAGACGTGACGGATCAAGCGAAGGGACGCGAGGATGCCAGCAGTCAAACGTGTGATTTATATCCGTATGAGCATCTGCTCACAGGAATGTTAGATCAGAACAGCCAAAACTTTAGTCAAGAAAGTTCTGACTCGCGAATGTCGCCAATCATCATGCTCGATCGGTATATCGAGGCTTGCACAAGAACGAATAGCTTTTCCAGTAAAACGAGTAAATATGAAGTAATCTTTGTAAATAACGTGTAATAGTAAATATCTTTGACGAGTGAGGTGAAATACTAGGCTTCTTTCAGAAACAAACGGCACCAGGCTGAAACAGAAAAAGAAAGGGGAGGAGGATGCGGAGGAGGACGGGGCAGAGGACGATGGTATGGATCCAACTTGCGCCAATCAGTCACTTCAACTCATGCAAATGCAATTGCAATTCGAGCGGCAGCGACGGGAAGTCCATGCTGAGCGTAACCGACGTCTGCTCGGTAAATTGAGAGACTCGCGAGCTTCGGAAGAGCATAATCTAGCTTTGGTCCGTTTTTATTCTCATAAACAATATTTATTATAAATTTTTATGCGACCATTGATAGACTTGGCATTTGTTTGTTCTACAGACTGAGCGTTTAAAAATGATCGAAAGAGAAGTGGATGAATTGAAAGCGCAGTTGGAGCATAACAAGAGGGAAGCGCATCAAGCAGACGAACAATATAAAGAAACTGTGCATCATTGGCAAACTAAAGTATCTATTTCTTTATTTTCAAACATATACGGAAAAGAAAAAAATATTGAAACCTGCTAATAATCGCTCATCACGTATTATAGTGCATCGAGGAGCAACGACAGAGCCATGCGTGCAAAGATCGCCTAGAGAATCTAGAATTGGAATTGAAAAGCGAACAAAAAAAGACGGCCGAAGTGCAGCAACAACTTCGTTCTGTCGAGGCGGAACTTTTCAACGCAGGACACCAGCTTAAGACAGCATTGAAGGCTGCGGATCGTGGTAAAGAATTAGAAAACGTTGTAGAGACTATGCAGAAAAAGTTCGTGCTTTTAGGAGAGGTAATTAATTTTTTTTTTCGGAAATTAAGAAATTATGTTAACTTGGCATCATGAGAATTTAAATTGAAAAAAATTGTAGCAAATTAATATTACATAATTATGAAAATAATTGCGTACGTGTCTCTCTTTTTCCTGCAGGCGCAATTAAGATTAGAAGAGAACACGAGTACTTTCTCACCGGCAACCAAACAAGAAACGGCGCAGATTCAGAAGTCATGTACAGAAGAGTTGAACAGTAAGCATTTTCGAAAGCCTGATAATGACGTGCTCTGCGCAGAGAGAGGCAAAATTATAGTATACCATCGAAATCCCCTTTTGCAGATATTCGGCGACAGTTGGAGTCACGATCGTCGCACTTGGAGGCTCTGAAAGCACGCTTGAGCGAATTGGAGAATAAGGAGGCGCGTAAGGAGACGCAACTGATGAATCTGCAACGACTGCTGCAAGAGACGAAGGAGCAACACGCGTATGAGTTGGAGGCTGTCGAATCCAAGTATCGGGCGCAAGTGGAGATCAATCTTGTACTGGAGGGCCGTATACTCGAGCTCCACGGCAAGCTGGAGACCGCGACGTACTCCAACACTTCGCCGATGGGTAATCCCGCCTCCTCGGCGTCGCCTAAGGAACGATCTCCGCCTCTCTCGACCAGCTTAGCTTCGTCCAGCGAGGGCAGCCTCGCGTTCATCCATCCGGGCGCCGGGATCATCATGAACGATTGCTGCGAGACCGCGACGGGCGAGATCCCGAATCTGCAAGCTATGATAGACCCCATACCGAGTACCAGTCAAACCTCACCGTCACGCCCCGTCATTCGACGATCATCGACGCCGAAACAAGATTAACGCCACGGAAACGTTTACCGCGATGCGAGTCTCCCGCGCACCGCCGGCGGACGGTACGCGGGATTATTATTGAGGAATTACACTTGCGAATGCGCCGCGGTCATTACTTACGTGTATCGCGGTACGAATGGAAAGAAAGTTATTTGTAGCTTTTTATCGATAGAGTAGACGAGATTCGTAAGGAAGTTGTGCTAATCGACTGATTGCGATCGAAACAGGCATGCTATGTTTGTTAGTGTTGGTATATCTCCGCTCTTGGAAAAAATGGATTCACAATGAATAAATGGTTGAGATATTTTGCTGACCAACTTGACAATTTTAATCTCTGCGCGTATTATCTCGGCTAACACCTCTTTACCCTCGCTTTACCTCGTTGATGGCATTCTATTAAATATCCCGCAATGCCGTGAATAAACCCTCAGGATTTAAGCTGTTGCTGAAGTAAAGACTTAATAATAATTGAAGAATCTTAAAATCATCTATTGCTTTTAAACGCTCAATAATTTTTAAGTTAAAACATGCTTTTCCGCTTTTCAATAACGCATTATTACTTTCACAGTTCGCCCTTTTTCATTCCGATGTTTCGTAAACATACGCACACGCTTGATAATTATATATTTCTATAAAACGACATTTCTGTGATCCGTGCATGAAGGCGTGAAGGTAAATTATAAACAAGAAATATACATAGCTCTAAAAAATATATATATATATTACGATGACAGTGACGCGATATATACATTTTTATATCTGTATGACATATAATACTGAATTTTTTTTTAATGTATTATAAAAAGACAAAATATCACGATGTGTGAGAGACGATTATTTTTTCCAGTTGTACATATGCAGTGAAAAATTAACTTTGTTCAATTTCAATCGTGCGACAACACTTTCACTTATTTAATCAAAGGAAATTCATTGATAAATTATAAAATTATAAAATCATGTATTATAAAATTGTCCTACTAATAAGTTTGTAATTCTTGACTTATCGTCATAAGAATAGCATCATCTGGATTGGCATAATTCGCTAGATCTGAAAAAGAACCAGTAGGAATATTGAATTATTGGACTATTAACTGTTTTTGTGAAACATGCAAGAGCGGCTATTAAAGGTGCAAATTAGAATGTAGATTCATGCAATGTACAAGATGTCTCTAAATTCGCGGTCTTAACTTTAATATAAGCTTCAGAGTGTGTGCTCATTTTTTTTTCAATATCTTCGAGCGTGACAACTTTTAATTATAAATCGCAGAATAATGCGATTAATCTTTTCCTTTATTATTTATATATCCACATAATCGTTACTCACGATTATGGCCTCGATATAGCGGGTAGGCTTTCAATTTCTTCAGTAAGAGCTCCATCAACCAAAAGGCGGCTAGCCACAAAAGAGCACCCACTGAAAATGTTCTCAATGCCGCAACACCTCCGTAAGAGTCTAATAGCCAACCGCATATGAAGCTACCACTTGCCACTCCTAAAATGAATAACGAATAAAAAGCTTGTATCGAGATATGAGAACACGATCCTATACGATATCAAACTAATATAACTAACCAATTCCTTCGAAAACAGCACCGATGAATCCTTGCATAGTGGCTTTCGTGCCGGACGGTGTCACCTTATCGCCATAGGATACCATCGTCGGCCAACACAGACCAAAGGACGGTCCGTGGAGCAGCTCAAGAAATAAGAATAGCCAGGCGTTCGATATAATGCTGTATGCCATAAATCTGCGGGATTAAATTGGTATTTTTAGCAACGCAGAAGTAAATTATACACTTGACGAGAGAGATATAAAAAACTTAATTATTCACCTAATTGCATAGACGAGCAACACGAGACTCATAACGTTAACGTGGCCGAGTTTCTTCAGCACGGTGCCCGATATAAAGTTGAAGGGTAATTCTCCTAGGAAACACTGAACACCGGTCATCAGACCCTGCAGAGTTTTAGTCCATGTGACATGAGGGCCCGCTAGGTCCTCGCTGTACCAGAACAGGAAGTTCCAAATGACGCCCGTACACATCCCGGCGCCTATGCACCACCAGGCAAACACCAATACTCTCCCTTCTCGGATAACGCTTAAGAGCTCCCGAAATAGCGACGGCTCGTTCGCAGAGCAATCTGGATCTTTCTGTAACGATACTGCCCCATTACCTGCCAATTTTGGATTTCTTTCGATAAATAAGAAGTATCAAACTCTTCTGCCCTATCTTGTAGTCTCTCAGTTTATCTCTTATAATATAATACAGCTTAAAGGTACCTACTCGTAGGCGCGTCATTTGAGAAATGACTAGATTAAATATATCAAGGCAAACAAATAATCGGTCCGTAGACGTCGATTCGATGTCTATAGACATCGAATCAATGTTGTCGAATCGAGACCTGTGGACCGATCATTTCTGGGTAGTGGACTTCCAGCACTGTCGCGTTTGTCGCGTTTTACAGTTGAATTGATCCAACTGCAAAAGCGTATGTCGCCAGTGTTCAAAAGTTCATAGGCCCCAGTGAGGACCAGAAATTATAACTGTTTCCGACAAATAAAGATTGTTATAAATTATGACGCGTGACGCGCCTACGAGTAGGCACCTTAAGGGCACTCGGGAGCTTCTTCCTTTACCTTTTTCAATGTTGCAGACACCACGATGTCGGCGATCATGGCCACCAGCATAATGTAAAATATGCAAGTGTAATCTTTCTCGTATTGTCCCTTGCTGGAGAGATCTATCAGGTAACCTGCGCTTACACCAAAAATACCAAAACCAATGCTGCCCCACATCCTTTGCTTTCCGTAATCTTTCCGCCTTTCGTTACCTGAAATGTGAAATGCAAAAAAAAAATAGCCAATAGTCTAACGACAACGTTGCGACAGCGTAAATACGAACCAAGGAGATCGAAGCAAATGGCATCGGCTATGCTGACTACAACGGCCATTCCAATCCAGCTGACGATGGCCGCCCATAGGAATAAATGGAACTGATACGTAAAATGTCTCGTGTCACTTTGCGAATCCTTGGCCTCCCGCAGAAGATGATTGAACATGCTGTTATTGTGGCAGGTCGCCGTGCACCAAGCCCTCAGCTGGCCCCCGCATACCGGCACGTGTGCAGTGCCGTCGAGAAACGTGCGCAGCTTCACGTCCACGCACTTCTTCGTCTGTAAATTATTTCTCACAATAGAGTTGCGGCGTTGGCAAATTGTCTCTCTCACGAGAGGCGGATAAAGAAAATTCCACAATAAATTTTCTTACAAGCAAATCTTGATACATGTCGAAGATCGCACCAAACTCGAACGTGCTGTTCGCAGATACGTTTTTGCCAGACAGTTCCAGGAAACCGTGAGATATTCCTTTGCAAGACAGCTACGAACACGAATTATTATTACGTTAGTTATATAATACGAGGGACTAGAGTAAAATTACATCTGTACACACCTGGCAGACTGTGTCAACGTGGATATTCTCTAACAATACGGCGCTTAACGCCTCCTTCGAGAACTCCGTCTGCGGACAAATCTCCAGGTACGGCAAATCTTTGTCGCAGATAAGAGTGACGTTTGCACTCCTGTCTAATTCGGGAATGAAATAAATAGAGAAAAACGCTATTGTCAATAGAGCTTCGAATATCAAGAAGAAGGTTTTGTGCAATCTGAACTTGTCGGCCAGGGTGCCGAACAGCGGCTTCGCGATCAGGCCAGAAATTGGTAATACTGTATATATCGTGCCGACGATCGTCGCGGAGAAGCCCAATTGCTTTCCGATCGTCGGCAGAAACTGCACCATCGGCGCCGTCGCTGCAAATAAGGTAAGCATAATTAATACAGGATGCAGGCGATACTTTTCGCTGTCGAAGAGGCGAAGAGCTTTTAATTGAACTTACCAGCATTGTAAAGAAAATAATGTGACTTTATAGGGGCTAGCTCCTTGTTCACGTTTTGCAACATGATTCAGACGGTGCGCGGTCAATCGACCTCGACTTGTATCCTTGACTTGTACAGCTTATATCTGCAACAAAAGAGCAAATTGTAACAATATATTGCGCATTGCATAATACATATCTTTAAACAATTCTAGATATCTTCATGTAGAGCTCTGTTCTCGACTCTCGCAATGACATTCCCTCTATCTTTACGACCAGCATTACTTTGATTTAAATGAAGAGCGAGCAAACTCCGAATTAGTCAGCATTACTTTGATTTAAATGAAGAGCGAGCAAACTCCGAATTAGTCATTAACTTATCGTCGAGCGATATATATACTTGCACTATCTCGTTAACGTGGATGGACTAATTAATTGGAGAGGAAGATTAGATCAAGGTCAATGTATCGTTTAGAGCTTGCTGCCCGCGAAACTTATTGGCTGAACGACGGTTGAATTTAATCGCTGCAGATCACAAGTTTAATCGAAGTTCGATCAATCGTGACCCTGACGAGTGGCCAGTTCGGGAGGGAATGCAACATGAGAAATCGGCGTGAGAGTGAGAGAGAGAGAGAGAAGTTCGAGGCGCGTGCGAGACAGATTCGGTTTTGCCGTCACCGCCTGGAAATCGCCTGCCACGAGGATAGATTGGACGAAACTCGTACATACCTCGGACGTGAATCCCGCGGAACCTCCGCGGCGATGCACCATCCCGCGCGGGGACGTTCAGCCAAGATCGTGCTGCGCGACCGAGTCTTTGCACTTTGCGCTCGCGGGAGCTAGGCCAGGCCGATCGTCCCCGCGGTCTGCGATCCTATTGCGTCGCGTATCGCACGCCCGCGGAGCGCTCCGTGCTATCGCGTGAATCACAGATAAAGCGGCCGTTCGGCCGCCTCGACGAGCATACTCTTCTTTTTTTCTCTCTCTCTCTCTCTCTCTCCTGCCCTCCTCCCGCTCCGACGCGTCGGTCGGTCCGTTACGCAACGGAGGCTTCTTCGGTGCGTGTCCCCGCGTCGGCCACCGTCGGCTCGCACCGCTCGCCAGCCTCGTTCCTCTTCGCGCGGCTACGAAACGCATGCACTACGTTCCGCCCCATGCAGTTTGCGGCACATCCGAGCCACGAACGCGCGGTCACACAGTGTGCTACACACGACACGCGCGTGTCGCGTTCTTTTGGTGTGACTCCCCTCCTCCCCCGCCCACCCTCCGCAGCGGCGGCGTCAAATTATATCGCTGTCAGCTGTCTTGTTACTGGGCCGGTGATTCCGTTCGTACGACACGTTGTCGTATATATATATATATATATATATACACACGCTCCCCGGCACGTAATTTAACGTACATTGTCTGTTACGTCATGAATGAATGACATACAATTTTTCCGCGCACATTTCATGAAAAACATCTTCCTTCATAATTTTATGTTTCTTTGCAAAACGTTATTTTAGGTAAAAATATTTAAGAATTATCTTTGGTTTCTTATATTATGATAAAAAGACAATCGGAAGAGATGTAAAAGGAATTAACTGTGTTTGGCTTCCTAAAAGCTTTTCATAAAAGACAAGCGTCATTGCAGGTATATTGGTATATGATAATCAATGATGAAGACAGAATACATCAGGAACGTAAGAGTGCAATAAATAAAAGTCAGGATATGGTAAATTTAATCTTCTCTAAAAATAAATGAACCTTATGGAGAACTCACGTGGTATCGCTGGATCTGCTTCAGCTGTACCTCACGCATTTGAAACGAACAGGCGCGCGTGCAATCAAACTGACGTACAAGATATAAAAGACGGTGCAACAGACATAAACGGACCCAATGAAGTGATAAGAATAAAATGAAGAGGAAAAAAAAAGAAAGCACAAAATGTATAATGAAGAAAAAGAATTCCTGTTCTCTTTAATTGCGTTTGGTACAGTTTTTTTTGCTCCTAAAATAACGTAAAAAAAAATAACAATTAAACATTCATTTTTGATACAAAGAAAATATTGAATATGTGCAGTCGTGCTTCTGCAAATAACAAAATAGTAAAATAACGGCGCAGGTAATGGAGAAAAAAAAATTTCGATTTACAAGGCACTTAACGAGCATTTTAAATGAATCGCCCTGTGTAGAAGGGAGGAGACTCAATATACATACCGGGAGATAGCTGCTATCACAGTGCAAAACCTCGCGATTTTGTAACAAACTGCGCTTTAATTTGTCATAGATACATTTACAATATACATTTACAATATATATGTATATATTTATAAGTTTCAATACCGCTTCTACTCCCCCGACGATACTCAGCTCAACGATAAAGATGAGTTAATGGGCGTACGACGATAGCGGCGTGTTACGGTATATTTCGTCTTTTGCTTTTTTTTTTACCGCACATGCTTATACACATATATTTTCTGCCGATCTCTCGTTATACCTAATTAATATGCGCCTTTTCCAACAAAGAAAAAAAAAACCCAGAAAAGACACGTCTCTCTTTTCCACATCGCGAGATTCAGCATCGCGTCTCTCTCGCGACCGATCCCCTTTCCGGGGGGGTGGGGGATCTTTGCACAGATCCCTCGTTACGGTCGAGATCCCTTCAAGATCGAGCACATCGTCCTCTACGCGAGATATGTGTTTTATATATACAAAGAAAGCCTAATTCTCCCTTACGTGCTATATCTTACGACGCTAGGCAATCTACATAACGTACACCAGCAACGGAGCGCGCTCCCGATAATTATTATACACAGAAAATTCTCTTCCGGCTTCCTCCTCCTCGCGGGAGAGTCCCATCTATGAGCTCGACAATTTCAATTCGCTGTCGAACCAAACGGGTAAGATCAAAACGGAAAGCCGCTTTTTCGACGGCTTAGACGAATTACACTCGGCGAGTTACACGGACCTCCCCGAACGGCGGAGCTACAGAGAGGAAGGACGCCCGTCGACCAGCTGATTAACAAACAAAAAAAAACCGCAAAAATTGAATATTGCATAATTCCGTGTCCCGACGCATAGCACGCACGCGCGCAAAGATATACATACCGACAAGGAGAGCACGTGCAAAATTCGTTCGCGCGTACACTTGTCGACGCGGAGGTAAGCGTCAGGCGAAAACACATTCTCGAGTAACGCTGCACATGACAATGATACATTAAATATACAATGTATGTATAATACATCCTGTATCTACATCGATGTATACAGGGTGTTCCGAAATTCGCGAATCGAAATATGTAGCAGGAAAGTCTCTGAAAAATTAAGTGAAAAAGTTACTTGTAAATTTTTATTTTGAGCAGTAATTTTTGAGATATAATAGTTTAAATTCAGTCAATTATAGATTAGTGCATCGCGTGACATGCGCGATCACTAACACTATCGACGCGTTCACGGACATGTTTCCGTTTAATCGTAATCTATAATGGGCTAAATTTATACTGCTACTGCTTAAAATAAAAATGTACAAATAACTTTTTTGCTTAATTTTTCGAAGACTTTCTTGCTACATTTTGATTCATGAATTTAAACTCTTATATCTCAAAACTGCTTAAAATAAAAATTTACAAATAACTCTTTTGCTTGATTTTTCTCGCTATATTTTGATTCGCGAATTTCGGGATACCCTGTATATGTATACAGTATAGACGCAACTATATAATGTATTGCATACCGCAGGTATGGTCGATTTTATCCGCGGATATGGTTTCGCCCGACGTTGCACACGGAGGAACTTTTGATAGACGACTCTTTGCGGACTCTCGGCGCTAGCGATCTCGACTTAAGAGCTATTGAACCTGCCGGTTATAATCTCGTTTTAGAAAACTATCAAAAATTCCTATGTAGACTTGTCCTTTATATACATGTTTTGAAGTTAGGCTTCCCCGCCTTCCCGACGAACGGTGTAAAAGTGTCAAAGTTAGTTTCCGAATTGCGCGATGGTCGCTCGTAAAAAGGAAGCTGCGGTCAAAGAAATCTACAAATGGGTTCACCTAATTTCCGTAGAGAGCCTCACGGATACGTCAGTTTACGTAAAAAACAATAGAAAAGACAAGTCGCGAGGAGGATGTCCCTTGTGAATTAATAAAAAATAAAAAAAAATGATAAGGGCATGCTGCTCTCTCGCGCGCTCGCCAAGAGACTTTCGCTTTAATATTTGGTATTCCTTTAGATCTCAAATGATCGTCCTTCGTCGCGATACGTTTCGAGATCCGATAGAAGATTAATCTGTCATCATCGAATCACGGACCGATCTTGCAGCGATCTTAGTGGCTAAAGCCAGGATCGGTGATGATGCGGTGGTGGCTGGAGGGCGTAGAGCGAATGGAGGTACTGCTGATAGGCGGCCTGGTCCACTGTCAGATTGGGCCCGTGCGACGTCACGTAGGCGGAGACCGGCGGGCCGTACGCCGCCGCCGCCGCCGATCTCTGGGCGGCGGCGGCAGCAGCGGCCGAGTGGAGGAACGAGTGAGGCGGCGGATAGTTCCTCGGCGATGGCTGATTGCTGAGTTTGTTGCAGGCGGTCGGCTGGCCCGAGGGGTTGCTCACCGTCGGCGGTACCATCGGCGGCTGCGGTTGCGGTTGCTGCTGCTGCTGCTGTTGCTGCTGCTGCTGTCGCAGGGCCATGTTGTAGTAACTGCCCGGATTGCGAAACTCGTCGGTGAGGAAGGCGAACGCGGCCGCCGCGGTAGCGTCCTTGTCGTAGGGGAATGGCGGCGCGTGCCCGGCGGTCGCACCGCTGGCGGAAGCGGCAAAGTTGAAGGCACTACCCGCGGGCGGCGGTACCGCCACCCCGGCTGTCTTCAGGGCGCCGATGGACTCGGCCGCGGTCGCAGCGGATGCGGTCACGTACTGCGGGAAAGCGGGCATTCCGGGCGCTTGCTGCTGATCGGCGGCTGCCGCGACGACGGCGGCCGTCGTCACGGCCGTCGCCGTGACTGCCGCGCTCGGTTGTTCCTGCTGCTGCGGATGCTTGCTCTTCCGGCTCCTCTTCGTTTTGGACGGCGTCGCGGCGGGCGTCATCGCGGCGACGGGCGTCGCTCGCACGTCACTCTCCCGTCGCGATATCGCGAGGATGCCCTGGCTGTTCTTGGCCGCCTGCTGCAAGCTCAACAGATTCAGCTGCTCGAGCTCGGCGGGACTGGGCGCGGCGCCGCGGCCGTAAGCGGCGAGATGCTCCGGTTTCGTCCCAGGCGGCGGTCGCGGGATCGTCAGTAGTTGCTGCTGCTCCTTACCCGCCGTCCGGCCCACCAGACCGAGGCTGAGCCGCGCGTATGCCGAATTGGTCGCCATAGAGTCGGTCAGGCCACCCACGAACGGCGTGCCGTCGTACTGACTGACCGACACGGCCTCCGATTGCGACAGGGCCATCATCGGCTCGAAACTCGGAAACTGCTCCTGACTCGCACGCGTCACCGCGCTCTCCTGCGGCAGACCGCGCGCGCTGGACTCGCTGGAAGGCGGCTCGTACGCGCGTTTCTTCATCGGAGGAGGATTGCTCGAGGGACTGCCAGACGCACCGCTGCCGCCACCGCCGGCGGACTTGGAGCTAGCGTCGAAATAATGCGGACTAGGATATACCGGCCTCGAGTTCGGTGGCGGTAGCGGATAGCCGGACGGCTGGAAGCCGCTCGGATAGAGCGGCTCGTGGGCTGTCGTCAAGTTCTGCTGGAATGCCAACAACTGCGTCTGATCTGCAGGCGCGGGTAATTGATCGCCGCTGCCGGACGGTGCTTTGCCGAGGAAGCCGCGCTGGATCTCGGTGAAACCGGCTCGTGACTCCTGCGGTGCCGATTGCGGCTGTTGCTGCTGCTGCTGCGTCTGCTGCTGGCCGCCGTGTCTCGTAACGGACCTCTGAAGCTCGACATTGGGAAAACTGTTCGGATACGCTGGCGGATACTGACTCGGTGACTGATAGACCTGATGATTCGCGTTCAGATTCAGTGATTCCGATTGAACGGGAAAATTTCTCTGCTGCTGCTCGCCCGTCGTGGGTTTCTCGGTGGCGTTAGACTTCAGATATTCCGTCCGGTGTTCAGCTTCGCTCACGGACGACGATATCGTAGGTGACTGCTGAATGTACGAAGGATTCTGCTTGAAGTCCTGGGGATAACTCGCAGACGGCGCCGCGGCTTGAGCGGCGTACTCCTCCGAGTTCTTCGACGACTGAAGCTGAGAGTAATTGGCGGTCGACTGTTGTGGAGAAGATTGCGGATAACTAGGTGACTGTTGAGGTGGCTGCGCAGGAGTGCACGGGGGCTTTTGCTGAGGCGAGGATTGCGGATAATTGCGAGACTGTTGGGGCGACGGTTGCGAGTAATTCACCGCCGCCGCCGCGGCCGTTGCCGTCCCCGTTGCCGTCCCGGATGTCTGCTGCGGCGAAAGCTGCGAGTAATTTGGCGGTGTCTGCGGCGAGTGTAGCGGATGCGAATACGTTGCCGGTTGCTGCTGAGGAGACGACTGCGGATAGTTGGTCAGCGGTTGCGGCGACGTTTGAGAGTACGGGCTGTTCTGCGGCGACGGCTCGGAGAACGGGGACGACGCTTGCGGCGAGTGCTGGGGGAAAGTCTGAATTTGTTGATGCGACGACTGCGAGTAAGCCCGATCGTGTTGCGGAGTCGGATACGAGGTCGGAGGTTGCGGCGATGACTGCGAATAGTTGGCGGGATGCGTCTGCGGCGATGTCTGCGGGGAGAAACTCGGCGGCTGAGGAGACGGCTGCACGTACACGTTGGGCGGCTGGGGCGAGGGCTGAGAGTAATTCGCGGGTGGTGGTTGCGGCGACAAACGACCGTACCCGGCGGGTTGCTGAGGCGAGGTGTGCTGCGCGTACGGAGAGTGCTGCTGCGGAGACGGTTGCGAGTAATTCGGCGGCGTTTGAGGAGAGGACTGTGAGTAGGGGGAGTGTTGCTGCTGCTGCTGCTGCTGCGGAGAAGCTTGCGGATAATTGACGACCGCCTGGGGAGAGGGCTGAGAGTAATTGGCTACCGCGTTCTGTTGCGGAGACGGCTGCGAGTAATTCGGGGTAGACGGCTGTTGCGGCGAGGGTTGCGAGTAATTCGACGGCGGTGTCTGAGGCGACGGTTGAGAGTAAACCGGCTGCATCGCTTGCGGGGAGTGCTGAGGATAGACCGGTGACTGATTCTGATTGCCGGCTGGCAACTGTTGCGGGAAACGTTGCGGAGACATTTGTGGATACGCCTCGTTGGTGGTGTCTTGAGGCGAGGATTTCTGATAGGGTGACTGATACGGCGGCTGCGCGTGTACCTGGGGATAGACGGGCGGTGGTTGCTCGTAGGATGACGGATAGGCCGGGGACAACGGATGGCTCTGCGGCGACGGAGTGGGCGGCAACTGCGCGCTGTATCTCGGTGGGGTCGCGTAATACGGACTGTTGTACGGACTGCTCCCGGTCGATAGCGCGTCCTGATAAAATCCCGCGCCCCTTATCGGCTCGGTCGGCGTTATCACGGGCTGGCACTGCGGGGAAAGCGTCGCGCGTGGCGCCGGCGGGGATTCCTGAGAGAAACTGGACACCGATTCGCTGACGCTGCTGCCACCGGTGCTCAGCCGTCGTTGCCTGCCGCAAAACGCCTCCTGCGAATCCCCGTCCTTTTTTATCATCGCCGCCTCTTCCGCTTCCTCGTCCTTCTTTTTTGATTTTGGCGCTCCGAAGGCTTTGATCCAGGCACTCAAATTTGGCGTCGCGGATTTTGGTTTCTGCGTTTCTTCCGTACCAGATCGTGCCACCTCTTTCTCCTCTACCGACGTCTTCGCAGCTTTTTTAACACTCGTCTTCTCCTCTTTGACATTAGACGCTTGAGCCGTGGTGAGAGAGTGGTCCTCTTCCTCGTCGTCGTTCGACAAGTTGGGATTAGGTGACGATACCAAACTCTTGCAGATCAATTGAATGGAATCCACGTTTTTCAGCACGGTACCCAAACTGAGCTTCGGCTCTTCGTCATTATCCTTATTCGATTGATCGTTATCACTCGTAGAACTCGCGGCATCGTTGGCATTGGCGCTGGGCACATTAAGCGGTTTCTTCAGAAGTAAATTTCCCTTGCTTTTACCGGGCTGCAAACGATCGATCGTGCGCTGTATCTTCTTCGGTCGACTTGGCCCGTGAGGACCAAACATTTTGATGGAGCTCGGTCTCTTTCGCGCAGCCTCGACCTTAGATCCCGGTCGACTGGACTCGACGGAAGAGGTGTGAAGCACTGGCGAGTCGCTTCCAGAGGAGAACCCCGAGAATCTGGGCGCATCGTCAAGCCACTTGTTAATGTCCTGTCGCATGTAATAGATCAAATCAGTATGTGTGTGATTCACATAATGGAAATAAAATTTAAAAAAATGTAAATCTTCGCATTAAGCATACAAGTTCGGAAGCAGTATTTTGTTGACAGTCTAATTTTTCAATATACTTAATAATATGCACAGAATTATCAATATATAAATTAAAACAATCGTATAATTAAAAATTTAAAATTATTAGTTTCTCATTAGACATATGTTGCATCTTGAAATTAGTTCTATTAAATTCTAAAAAATTTTACAACTGCAAATATAAAATTTTTATATTGTGATATAAATGATTTATATCGTGCATACAAATATTCTAATAACAAATTTCAAAATAGTCTTGAAAATATCTTGTAAGCTTACATGAAGCGTTTTCTCCGTCGCTTGATTCAATGCTTGAATTGTTGCGAGTTTTTCTTCTGCTCCTTTGGTATGTTTAGCATGCGTGCTTTTCTTATTTTCAGCGATTTCCGAATCATGTTTCTTAATCGCGTCATCCGCACTTTTATCTTCCTTCGTACTTTTCTTCGACTTTGACCGCTTTGCACCGTCTTTGTCATTGTCATGGAAAGTACTACTGTTTGAAGGCACTTTTTTTGAATAGACACCGTGAGTGTCACTTTTCGCCGCTTTCCTCTTTTCCTTTTCATTTTTCAATTTTTCCTCCCGTCTTCTATCGCTTATCTTATCTTTTAAACTATCAAGCGAGTCTACATCTTTATTACCAATTAATGTGGAGAGTTTCTTGGAGATGTGAGTATGTTTGGAATCTAAAGCACTTTCTAATTCTACATCTTTGGAATCTGTTTGACTTTTCAGTTCTCCATTTTTCAATTCTTCGTTCTTCTGTTTTGATTTCTTATTTTTTTGCTTTATATGACTCTTGTCGGATTTTTCATCCGACTTGGCCACAGTCTTTAAATTCGCCTTTTCTTTCTTACGATTCTTTTTCGTTTTGACATGGGAAGATTGTTTTTTGTCTTCCTCAAATACTGTCTCACTTTCTTCCACTTCGATCTTCTTTAATTTGCTCTTCTTCGTGTTGTCGGTCAATATCGCAGTTTCCTCAAGTTCCTTCTTCTCGATTTTTCTACTTTTACTCTTCGCAATTACTGGAGGTTCGTAATCTTCCTCAAAATCCTCCTTCCGCTTTTTATTTTCTTTCATCTCTTTGGCAGATCGCACAATTTCCGAGTCCTTTTTCGATTGATGTCGCTCTCTGCTCGCTTTTTTATTCGACGTTTTTAATTCTTCCGTTTCCTTAGGTAGCTTTTTGGTTTTAAGTAAACTATTTACATCAACGTTTTTTCTTCTCTTTGCGATGCTAGTCTCGGATATTGCATCCTCGCTTTCCTGGTCCTCCTGTTCCTCCTCATCCTCGTCCGACTCTTCCTCTTTCACCTTTCTACCTTTTTTCTTTCCTCTTTTCTTCTTCGCAACTTTAATACTTTTGCCCCTCTTTTCATCCTCGTCCACCTTCTCATTACTCTTAGACTTCGTTTTACTTTCAGGTTTATACGATTTGGACTTTTTGGTCGATTTTTTCGAACGTTTACGTGCGTTGTGGTGCGAAGAAGATAAATGACGTGAAGGGCACGATACAGATGTAGGTGATCCGGCCAATGACTGAGGAGACGTGACATCCTCGTCACTGGACGTCTCCGATTCTAAATACCGACTTACGGCTTTGTCAAAGGCGTCCTTAAGATTAATCGCCATATCCGTGTATTCTGTAATATAAAAAAACGCGTTGTAAATTTTATAACAATAAAGTCACTAATAGATGCAAATAATTTAAAAACTGATAGAAGTATTACGAACCGTTATCCGATCCATTGTACTGCCTACAATTGTCAACAATGAGCCTAAAGTCGCGTTTAAACTGGTTTAAATTCTTATACGAGCCATTTTCCAGTTTTTCTTCCATAGTTTTGAGATCCATTGGCCTGCGTACCACACTGTAGTACCTGTAAAAATTATTCACGACATTATTACAAACTTGAATCAGATATAAGTGTTAATCACGATTTTTTAAAGTGTGTGTGTGTGTGTGTGTGAGGTTGTACCTCGGTGCATAATCCTCGTCCACGGGCTCAATAAACGGCCAGGCATCCACGTGATCTTTGACGCTTTCGAGAACTTTGTGCATGCCGACACAACGCTCCTCCTCCTCGATGCCAAACGAGTAGCCATATTTGTAGCCATAGTTATGAGATACGTAATTACCATCGCCGTGATTACCGATACCCTTCTTCTTCTCCAAGTCCTCGACTTCGTCCCTAGTATGAATTACAATCTGGCCGACAGCCGAGGCCAGGGAATTGTTCGTTTGCCGTCCTTTTTTCTGAACCGGCGGAGTCGGTAACGGCGGGGTGGTCTCTTCCTTAACGTAAGATTTCGAAGCTTGCGTCCCTTTTTTACTCCCTTTGGTCGTTTTAGTCCTGATCTTGGATTTGACCATGACTGCATCCATCTGTGTAGCAGGTTCCTGGCTACGAAGCACTCGCGAGCTATTACGTTGTAACAGCTTACGTCGTTGCTGCTTCTCCTTTAAATCGAACAATTTCGGTATTTCCGGCATAAAGTCCTCGGACAACGTGCGATAAAGTTTGCGTTCGGTGTCGTATTCCTATAGGCACAAATATATAAATACAAGTATAATTTTATCTTTGCCAACTTTGCAACAATTCGCATCTTGGTTTTTATAGCGGAGGAATAATTTATTACCGAATCACGAAATTTTTCAACCAGTCTGCTCCAATCCTGCTGGGTAAAACAAACCACTTGCCAAACGCTCTCTCGTCCGTTGTTGCCGCTGTTTATTAAACTAGCTTCCTCCTTCTCTTCCTCTTCCTGTTCCTCCTTTGCCACTCTGTTCCGTCGTTTCTTACGCTTTCTGTCCCTCGGCTTACTTTTCTGCTTGTGTGAGGCACTGTTAGAAGTATCAATGTAATCCTCCCGGTACAGTCGAGTGCCGTAGAAGTACCAGTAGGCAGAATTCTTACGATCATGTCCCAAAGGTTCGACTCGCAGACTATCCGAGTCCAAGTTGCTCAATGATTGCTCCTGTTAATTTCAATTATATTACCATTAATATTACCACTTTATGCCAATGCTTGAGAAGTGCATATGTAAAATTATTACAATATCGATCGAATACGTACTACGTCTTCGGCGTCAAGCCTGAAGTCACAGAGCGCACGTAGTATCTCTACTTTCTGACGAAGCGGTAACAATTCAAAGTCTACGTCTGTATTAAAAGGATTTTCGCATTTGTATTCCTGTGCAGATGTACAAACGTGTTAGTTACATTTTAACGTCAATATCGGGGCAGCTGATATTTGGGGGGGGGGGAGAGGGAGGGGGTTGTAAGGTATCCAACAATACTTGGACATTAATACATACTTGACATTTTTTCCGGAAAAGTCTACGCAAGAACATCTGATAATTAAACGTGGAGATGTCATTGCGAGTGTCATTTGGTAAGCAACCCTCCAGTAACTTTACTATCAGTTCCTGAAGCAGTCGTCCCTCGGTACCTCCGTCCGTTAACAAAGCTTCTTCCAAATCCTACAATTTTCAGCGACGTTAACATTGGGACACGGTTTCGCATGCGGTTACTCATAGTGAAGTGAAGAAGAGAACAAAATGATGTATAAGCCAATAAATAATAAGCTGAAGCGTGACAGCTGTTTCGCTGCCTAAATGCTGAAGCGGTACTAACGGGCCTTACATACGCTGCTTACTCATAAGAGAGTTAGCATTTGATTAGATACCTCAATATCAAAATCCAGAAGATTGAAGGCAGCTCTAAATAATGAGCAAAAGTGTGCTATACTTGGCACCTCCCACCACGATTGAATGTCTAAAAAAATAAAGGAACAGTTAAAAGTTCCTTGATCTTAATCCTACTATCTATTTGAAAGTAATGGACGCAATTGTAATTGCATCCTCAGTTGAAGCTATTTGAAATCTTAAAATTATTTCAGAGGATACACTAATTAGCAATAAATCTTAATTCTATATATTTTCTGCTTGGATACATAAAAAAAAGTCCCCTTTTTAATATATTTGTATATCCACTTATTAAATATTTTATATTACGTTTAATAATAATTTCTTATGATACAACTTTAATTTTTTGAAATATAAACAAGGTTTAAAAAAATGGTATATTTAAAAATTTAAGTGAGATGATTATTAAATACAAATCATTCCTTCTCTATATGAGATTATATCTTATCTTTCTGTAGATTCCTAAATATTTCTAGTATAATTAATAGTTATTTTATCTTTCTGCATTTAAATATCCATAGATAAATTTATGAAAAAACTACCTCTGGACTTTATCTGACTTGTCAAAACACAATCATTTACTCATGACAATTATAATACATCATTCCACTCTGCAAATCCACCTTAATTCACTACATTGATACACAAAAAAATGCATGAAAATAAGCACAATAAACATCTTAACTACTTAAAAGGAACACTTTTACAATTTTAAACACATCAGTGATTGCATGTCAAATTTTTTACGATAAAAAAAAATGCAAAATTTCTTGAAATATGCTTTAATAGAGAAACAGATTTATGCAAATTTCTGAGATAGATATATTACATTATTCGTAGAATTCGTAGATTATTCAGTAAGACTCACAAATGCACGTCGTTCAATTACACATTCTTTGGCTTAAACATTCAAGATTCGGGATCTTGTAACAGGAGATAAAGCAGAAGAACACGTCTCGTAGCCAAAGGCCAGGAATCCCGCCTCTATACCTGCTGCCACACAACTTTTTTCTAGTACTTATTGCTCACAGCGGACACAAAAAGGGACAATATACACAGATATAGGTATACGATAGGCCGGCGAATTTCGTCACGCGGCGCCGTCCGATGGGACGACCGGCGGTGGACTCACCTAGAATCCCGATGAAGGTGGGAAACATAACCCGTCGTGTGGCGGGCGAATCGGGCGAATCGGCGTGTCCAGGGCGGGACACGGGCGGGCTCGACGGAGGCTCGGCGTCCAAGTGTCGGGGACTCTCCTGCGGGCCGCGACGGTGCGGGCGCGGGTCGCCTTCCTCGACGGTGGGCCGTACCCGACGGCGCGGCGGGAGAGCACGAACGGCAGAGACAACGACCTAGAGGCTCCGTGTTAACGCACGGACTGTGCGCGCGACGAGAACGATCGAGCAAAACACTTCCGCCGCCCGGCCGTGTATATATATATATTGTACGTATATGTATGTGTGTATATATGTATATAATGTGTGTATTATATATATATATATATATATATATATATATATACACGTATGTGTGTGAGTATATGTGTATATACGTGTGGAGCCCGTATCTCAGAACACCAAGATGCACATCAGCGGTGAACGACACCCGTGACGGTGGTCCCGGTAGGTGCGCGCGCGAGCGGACGATCGCGGGCTGCTCGCATAGCTCTCTCACCCCGACGTATCCTGGTCGTACCGCTCGCTTAGCGGCCAAGTGGCTCGCGGCCCTCGCGGGGGATCGGTACTACGCGGAGCAGAGGCGGCCGCCGTAGCGGCGCACAGGGCGCACTCGCGTTCCCGCGGCGGCGGTGGACCGCCCGGGCCCGGGGACTGCACCGCACCGCACGGTCGCGCGCGCGACGACGAGCACGTTCTCCCTCCCTCTCTCTCTCTTTCTTTCTCAATTGCCCTCGCTCGCTCGCGCCTCGCGAGTCGGCGCGCGGATTTATCTCGCCGGGACGCGACCGTCGTGCGGCGGCTCGCGGGGCTCGCGCGCGATCATTCCCGTAGGGACGCACGGCGCGTATCCAAAACACATAATCGCCAGCCGCTCGCTCACCCGCGCGCGCGGCGCCCCGCCGAACGCGGATCGGTGTGTAGCTGCAGGAACGCGCGCGCGAACGGCGCGGGTCGGCGGGTGCCACACTCGAAGCGACGCTCCTCCTCGAGAGGCTGCCTCGGAGGGAGCGGAAGTCGTCTGCGCGCGCGCTCTCGGATACGTTCGTTCGACAACGCGCACTGCGTCGCGCTGCGCTGCGCTGCGTCGCGGGCTTCCACTGACCACGGCCGATACCACCTTCGACGCGATAAATGCGCGATTACGATTACGACGTAAACGAACGACGCACGGGCGCGGACCAACGCGGACTATGCAGTGGCAACAACTGCAAGCACCGCAACTGACCGCGGGCGTACCACCCGCGAGCGCGCGCGGTACGTAGACGAGCGGCGTCGTCGTCGTCATCGTCCAGGACGAGACCCCCCGATTCCGAGTGGAGTTACATGCCATTGGCTGGGGATTGGAATAGCGATAAAACGCGATCAATCACAGCTGTGCGTCGACAATCCACGGCTGCGATTGGCTGATTTTTTTCACCGCTCAAACACCTGTCAGTCCTGTCACTCGTGATTCTTCGTGCTCTTATTTTGTTATATTCATAATTTAATAATCTAATATTTAAAATTATTTTATCTTAAACATAAAATCGGATTATAAACATTTTTTTGGAATTGTTATTAAAGCAGCAGGTAGTCATATTGGTTGAACAACCTGATTGGGGTCGTGAAGCCTCGACATCTTGCATTCCCCAACATTCTATGCCCGCGATTGTTTGTGTTCTCTGATCGCTACTTTTCACCCGGTTTCATCATCCGTTTCGTTCACAATCTCGTTTTGAGCTGCGATTGAATCATGGCATCGATCATCGTACCGGCGGTACTGCGATTTAGTCGCGTCACGGCTGATAATTTATATCAAATAAATAAAAGCGGCTTGCGCAGGTAAAGTTCCAATTTTTGTTTTATCACCGTTCGCGATCGGACATTCGTTGCGGAGTCACATGTCGAGTCGGCACGATTGAGGTTAATCGCACGTTACTTATTCTGTTTTTATTTTCCGTCGTCGGGAGCATAATTCTCATTAATTAACGCTGAAGAATATTCGTTATTTATTTTTTCGTGACGCGAGAAGCGGTTTCTGGTATAATCGATTTTGTGTAATACTGTACGCAAAATTAACAATTTCGATCCTTTTTTAACTTGAAATTTCCATGATTTAACAAATCATTAAAATGACAATATCAAAATAGTTAATGCAATTTTCTTGTATTATTAACAATTTTTTTAAATTGATTTTATAATTGATTTTATGTATTGTACGTAAAATTAAGAATTTGGACCCTTTTTAACTTGAATTTTCCATGATTTAACAAATCATTGAAATAACAATAATAATGCTTAATACAATTTTTTTGTATTATTAATAATTTTTTCAATTTAAATTAATTTTATAATTAACTTTATGTATTGCTGTACGTAAAATTACGAATTTGAACCTTTTTAACTTGAAATTGCCACGATTTAACAAACCATTAAAATAATAGTAGCAATGTTTAATACAATTTCTTTATATTATTAATAATTTTTTTAGCATAGCAATAACTATTTGAATTTTTATCTTATCTTGTGTATATGTATGTATAATAAATATGTACCTATATTAATAAATGTATATATAAATATGTTATAGAATGAGACATATCTCTTCTACATTTTCCTGGCAAAGGCAACACTTTGGTACGATAACAGGAGAAAAGAAACCAGATGCCACTGACCAAGGAGTGCCTCCCATAGAACCTACAGAGAATGAAACGAAACTAAAAACTGAACTCGAGCTCATCAACAAGGAGCTTGCCGAGCTTAAGGAATCTAAAGACACGCTGGAAGATAAATATAAGAGAGCATTGGCAGAGGGAGAAAATATCAGAGTTAGGCTTACCAAGCAGATCAATGACGCCAAGCTTTTCGGTATTCAAGGCTTCTGCAAGGATCTCTTGGATGTGGCCGACGTATTGGGGAAAGCTACTGAGAGTGTGCCAAAGGATGAGCTAACGGAACAGAATCCGCATTTGAAAAGTTTATACGAGGGCTTAGTCATGACAGAGGCTCAATTACATAAAGTAAGATATACTGCTATCTCTGTTTTGGTACGAGAAACGTGCATATAAATAATTGGACTTTGAACAATATTAAAGTCTTTCTTTCATTAATATCCTAGGTTTTTAAGAAGCACGGCCTAGTTTCGCTGAATCCAGTAAATGAAAAGTTCGATCCTAACGAGCATGAAGCATTATTTCAACAAGTAAGTTTCATATTGTAAATATAAGAGATGCAAATATACAAGATTCATTTTTGTGAACAACGAATGTCATTTTCAGGAGGTTGAGGGCAAGGAATCTGGAACAATTGTAGTTGTATCGAAAGTAGGATACAAATTGCACGAAAGAATAGTGAGACCAGCATTAGTAGGTGTTGCTAAAGGATAACTGATGTAAAGGTAGTTAGAACTTCCACTCTATGTTAAATTGTTAAATTACATAAAGTTTCAATATAAAATATTAATGTACATTGTAATTTTCTTTTAAATTTTTATTTAAGATGTAAAATAGCCAATTTGTTAAAATGTTAGCAAAAAAATAGCACACACTACTTTTAGGTGAAAACAATATTACTATATACAGACCTATATATAAGACATAGAAATTCTTTTGTAAAATATATATATACATTGTTTTTCATTACGCATATGCAGTTTAATTCTACCAAAAAAAACGCAAAGAAAAATGAACGGAACATTAAAAAAATTATAAAATAAATTCTAGGCAAAAATAATGATACATTCTAGTCATCTTCGGTAATATCTTGATATAAAAAATCCGTATCACAAAAATATAGGGTAGGTCGTAACCTGTATACATCTACATAATATTAAATACTTGTCGGATTTGAGTTTGTGAATTCGATTCTCATATGGCGCGTAAGAAGAAGTAGAATGTATTTTTATATCCTTAAGAGTGTAATTTAACATCTCTCGAACACTTTATACAAATCAGGTAAACTAGCTATTTGTAATATCGTTGAATCGTGAGCGAAGTGTTTCGGTGGGAGTAAACTTTCTTTGATTGCCGGATATAAAACGTGCTCGGTTATATATTTCCAATCGTGTGTCTGATGCTTCGGATTGATGTAGCTGTAAAACTTTGCCGTTTCCCGGCAAATATTTTGAAAGCACTGTTGTTCCTTTCTCCATTCAACTTCCGTTGCTAGTCGCATCATGTACAATGGAATTTCCGCTTCGTATGGAAAATATTTGTCTAAAATGTTATTAGCATACATGGGCAATTCATTCTTTTGGTAATTTAATAGTATTCAATAATGCGTTCTATTTACCTAACAATACGGGCAACGATCTCAAATTTCCCACTTTATCCATGACAATCGAAAAATATTCGTTCATCATGTCCGCCTTTTCTAAGAGTAACTCCTTCACCCTTGCCGCCAATTCTTCCTTTGGCCCGTCCTCTTCCGTCCAGCCAGTTTCCCCCGAGTCTAAAGCAATCATTGCTAAATCGAACAACGATATCCGTTCCTAAAAAATAAATTCGTACACGCGATAATACGCGAGCTATAAAATAAAAATTTATTGCGTTTGAAATACGTACTGAAAATTTGATGACGCCAAAGTTTGTAAAATCATAAAGCATGATTTCATAAAAAAGCTCCTCCCTGAAAAATATTATCCCAAAGTTATGAATAAATTTACGTACGTCTCAAATATCACATTTTCATTACAATTATCTTACGCTAATTTTCTCGTATTGCATATGTATAAGTTCACTCCGCTCTGTATCAAAGCCGAAGTTTGATCGATGCAGCCAACAAATGTCAAGTTCGCTAGGATGTCTCTCAATCCCTCGTGACATTCGTCTTCAACTTCCTTACGTAATTTTAAAATACTAGTTAATTTCACTTCGTGTCTAAAGTCGTTCACAGAATACGACTTGAATTGCTTCGTAGATTTCGGAGATTCATCAGCAGAAATATTTGTCTCGGCGGAGGATAGTCTTTCAGATTGACTTGCGTTAGACACAGAACTTTCACCTTCTTTCTGTTTATCGTCCGTATACAATATCCGTTCCTCTTCTTTTTCCGAATTTTTCTTTGCATTCTCGATAATGTCCCTGTTTCCGAAATACTGATACACTTGCTTACGAGCCTTATCAGCTATCTCATCTACAGGCTTGTCTTCTTCGGAATCATCCGTTTCCTCATCCAGATCTTTTAGAAATTCCGCGATGTCAAATGTGGTATTGTCCTCCGGACAGACATTTTCCGATTTGTCCTTTTGCATGGAACTACTTGGATCGCAAGTGTTTTGCGAGTCTAACGATGTTGAAGTTTTGGTATTTAGTATATCGCTCCAATTTGTTGAATTATTATCGATCGGAGTCTCTTCGGTATTTAATAATGTAGAATTGTGTTCTGAGTTATTCAAGCTCGAATCTTTCTCTTGGCATTCATTGTCAGCGGGCGGATTTTCCGCAGTAACATCAGGTACGGTGAGTGGAATTTTAGAATTAGAAGAGTCGGGATCCGTATTGTGTGTCGATTCTTTCACCTGAGTATCACTGTCGCTCTTACGTTGCTCGAAATGTATGGTAAAATTAAACTTGTCAAGCTTCTGATCGGACGAATCTGTCCTAATCAACTCTCTGGCGTGAATCTTTTTCAATTTATCTGAATTTCCTTTGTTGTAGTCTGGTAACACCTCTTCCAGAACTTCCTTAGTGATGTCTGCCTTCGGTAATCTGGCCTGCAAGTAAAACGTCCTAGACGCGCTGTTGCCGGCCAGTCTCTCGTCCAAAGCGAATTTCATTCTTTCGATTATCGCATCCTCGTGAAGAAATCGGACCTCGTGCTTGGTCGGGTGTACATTGACGTCAATATTCTGTGGGTTAATGTCCAAGGATATGTAACACCACGGATGGGCCTTTTTCGGGAGATACACAGAGTAGATGTCTTCCAACATCTTACGGATCGCTGTAAGTGAATGTCCATAGGCACATAAAAATTTTAAAACAAAGAAATCAGAGTAGATAAAGGTTGCACATATGCAACTTTAGACTTACAAGCAGAATCGACCAATCGATTGTTGATGAATAGCAACATCACCATTCGCTTATTCGTATAATTCGGATTTGTCACTAGACCGTGCATCTTAAATTTATAATCCTTGTCGTCAAGCTCAACTTCTAATAGTTCACGAGCAACCGGATTGCCATATAATATCCTTATGTTACTCTGTTTAGTCGAATTGTGTGGCGTTCGGACCTGAAAGTGCAATGGAAAACAATATACGTTACAACGATACATCTCAAATATTCTATTTTTTTTTAAAGTATATTTTTTACATCGTGTATATATCGTGTTGTACAATGCATACAAAATGATTCTTACTTGCGGACTCGGCTCGCCATGCTTTTTCAATGTAAACCCTACCGCCGGATTATGCACAGCATATCTCATGACTACTTCCGTAATCTTGGTAAATTCCTCGGATGAGTTTGACAAAGCTTTTCTACGAGTCGCCACGTTGTAGAACAGATTCTCTATTGTTATCACAGTGCCTTGATTTCCGGCACAAGGCGCCGGAGGTGCTTTCAGTTTGCTGTTAATATACGACGCTCTGTAATATTACACAACACAGTTTAGGCTAGTCTGCACAAAAATAAGTAATCACACTTTTTCTTTCATGAAAGATTTCTTGTTTTTTTGTCAATTAAATCCGCATACTTGTAGGCGCATTTTTCATCCGCTGTCTTCGTCGTGATGGAAAGAAGGGCTATATGACTGATACTAGCCAGAGCTTCTCCTCGGAATCCGAATGTCGTAAGGCTGCTGAGGTCCTCGAACTTTTGCAGCTTGCTTGTGGTGAATCTCTCGCATACAATCTCCATGTCCTCTTTTCGGATACCAGTGCCATTATCCTGTATCTGAAGTCACAAATCAAGATTCGTGTATAGAGACAGATGTACGCGCAGGTATATAATTCAGACAGATATGTTTAGTGATTTAAAATACTTAAATCCCATTATGTACCTGCAGTAGCTTCAAGCCTCCCTCCTTCGTGGTGATTTGTATGTTCGTCGTTTTGGCGTCTAAACTGCGACGTAAAAGCGAATTACAGCGAATATGAATATCGGGATAAACACGATATAAGGCCTGTTTTTTTTATAATTGAACTGCTATACTGGTTCACAGTTTATCTTTCTCTTTCTATATTGAAAGAAGAAAGATAAATTCTGAACTTTTGCAGCCAGTTCAGCTATTAAAAAACAGACCTATAATGTTCCATATACTAACCTATTCTCTATTAGCTCCTTCAACGCGTTCGCCGGTCTTTGGATGATCTCTCCAGCCGCGATTCTGTTCACCACGACTTCGTCCAATTTTCTAATCTTCGCTGGCGTACACATGTTGCTTGGGTTTGATTGTTAATTAAGAGCAAGTGGCAAATAAAGCATGTGCTCTCAGACGTAAACATGTGTGGCGTGTAGCACGATCCAGGAACGTAATTCAGTCTCGTGTATGAATCGACAGTTTAATTAAAAGGACGAAGTTAGACGACAAGCTTCACATTCGGTGATGTTTTATAAATTCACAACAAATCATTTTGCACGAACCTTCGACGAAGGAACCTTCACGCACGTTTCACTGGCGCCAATTTTTAAATAATAGGTTAGATTAAAAATTAACTGTGCGACATTACCGACAGATATAATTATAGTTGTAATAAGTTTCCCGATGTTGATAATTATAGACGTTACCTTATCGACAAAATTTATCGACGCATCTTCAGCGTCACAATTAGTTTGAATTTCTACAAACTGCACAATGGCGAATACTGACGAAGTAAAGTGACGAAGTCAAGTGTCGAATTATAGGAATCTGGATAGCCGGACAGCTAAAATCCTTCAAGATTTGCAATTTTGCAAAATCTTTACTTTCAGGCTTCTTCCTTTCCTCTGTTTTGCTCCTTTTTTTTGTCATCCAGGTTTGTTTTGTATTTTTACGGTATTACACATAATGTGTTTACAACAATTAACCTATAAAATCTTCCAAAATACACAAAGAGAAAACGTGAGACATAATACACAAAAGAAAGAAAACAAGTACGGTTGCATAATGCTCTGAGAATAGAAGTGATTTTCTTATATTATTTTGATACGTTCCGCCGATGTTTTGTGTGCTGTTCAGTCTCAGAATAGTCTCTATATATATATAGCTAGTTAGAGATAAAAAAATTTCTCCGCGCACGAAGATTAATTATAGCTTTCAATGATTAACTTGTCTTTTTTTTTCTCTTGATTGCTATCATAAATGCTGCTCATTTTATTTGTCGTAATTAAATCGCGCGATTTTCACTTTTCTGTGTGTAACATAAAAGTCGGGTAACGCGAGATTTAATTACAATCGAATAAAGCATATATATAAAACAAAACAAGATTTAATATACAAGATAACAAAATTTATATAATATATATTGATTATATAAAAAATGTAAATATATATTAATTTATATATATTATATATATGTATATATACATACATATTGCATATATATACATATATATCATATGATACATATATATTTTATATTAATTATATATATATATATATATATACTTGTTGCTCGCTACACGCAGATCTATGCATTGTGATGCGATTGTGCGCGGGTCAAGGTGTTCGAGTGAAAGTACGAAATATCAGCAACCGCTGAATAAATCTTGTATAAGAAGCTGGGCGGACGTTCGCGCAAAATTATTACCGCAAACGTGCGATTACGCGAAGGTACAATGCGACGCTATCGCTCTTGATGCATCTGATAACCGTAACGATTTCCTCTTATCTATAAATCTCATGTGTTTCCCGAAACACTTCATCGGGATGATACCGGCCTTCCGCACGCCTAATCCTCGCATTGACACGTTCCGCCTTGTTCGTTTATAAGTAATTGCGCAATTTATGATTACAGATCGCTGAAGCTATCGGGGTAGGAGGGAAGGGGCGATACCTCCGATAGAATTTGACGGACTACTAAAAAGAGAGAGAGAGAAAGAGTGAGAGAGAGAGGCGGTAGGAGAGGCCAATCGTTTTTAATACAATTAACACCGCGGGAATTTGATAAACTCGGGATAATCCAGTTGTTCGCTGCAAATTTACTTTCTGCAGAAACCGCGCGTTCTCACATCTTGTCCTTTCTCGACATTGCGGCAAGAGAAGCGACGCTCGTTGCGTAAAGATACGACGTTTTTGCAACGTCGCGCGCCGTCGTGGTATATATATCCCGTTCCGACTTGGTTAACGGTCCACAAATCCTGACGAGATCCTCTCCTGAATCGCACATATACGCATATACATAAATCAGCGCGGTTCTTTAAAACAACGCAATTATTTCGATCGCCTCGATCTGCATCCGGCCGGCCTGCAGCGCGCGCGCGCGCGGCCTTTATTTCCAAGAACGTCATCGGCTGACATCGATGATATCAAGATCGCGAGAGGGAAAACTTCATGTTTATCATTGCCCGAGAATACGATAATCGACTTGCTGATTACTCCCGTAAAGTGGCGAATTATTCTTTCTAAACAGTCGTTAAACTCATTTCGGTGTTAATACCTCAGCAGCCTCATCACTCGGTGCAATTTCTCTTCTCCTCTGTTGTTTGCACCCAATCTTCTCGCCCACCCAATTCCCCCTGCGTGCGTTTCGCAACGCTAACTATAGGTATATTAGCCGCACGTTGTTATAATGTTAATTAATTGTTGGCCCACAACGCGGGTCGCGTATTTTTGTCGCACGGATACGTCAACATTGGCATTTTTATAAATCTCGTATAGACGCTCGACAAATAAGACGATATGTCTCCTGTCATCATCATTTTTTACCGCATCAGCCACTTTCTAAAGTGTGCGCATACATATGTACATCGCGCGCGATCCGCGCGATTTCTACGAAAAAGGACTTATAAAAAAAAACCCATATAATCTTCTCTACAAAAGAATAGAAAAATTAATTATAATAGAGAAAAACAATAATAAAAGTAACACAATATTATATTATCCCTAGAAATATTGGGATAAAATAATCGAAAGCTGAAAAAATAAGTTAAATATGCTGACTGTTTTTAATCTCGACGATTTTTTAATAGCTTAAAAAATGTATGTATGGCGCGAAACAAAATATTATTGACGTAGGAGTCTCTTTTTCATAAAGAGAACCTCCATACGTTTCACATATTTTCACGTTAAACTTGCACAGCCAAACATCCATGAGACTGCAGTGATCGCTTCGTGAATGATTACGCGATCTATACGAGGCTGAAACGTACGAGAAACAATACATGGGAAATTGATCCATAAAGGTAGACTACTATATTCACGGATCAGCAATCGTGATTCAACGTCAGCATCTACGATTTGCCTGTGCGACAAAACTTTCACTAGTCTCATCTCATTATGCCAGCGGATAGTCATCCAAACAAATTCTCGTCTCTCAGGATACGCTTGACCGCTCTTGAAAATTGTACACGGATGCTCGGAGTCTTTTTCGAGAAGTTTAGTCAAATGTTTTTAGAATAGCGATTTTATCGGCTTCAAGAGTGGAACCTATATAATAACGATAATAGCAATACATAAAAATATAATAGTATAACAATATAGATAATAAGATTGTAATGTACGTCTCACACAGGGGAAAGGTAATGTGGACTATTAATGAGAAAAGTATTGTTTATTATACGTGCACAAGTTTATGAGATGCGGATAACAGTAAAAAGTGACATCATCCTCTTATGAATAAGGATGGGATCAAGTACATTCTAGGTAGTACCGATAACATCTACAGCACGTTCGGATTTTTTTTACTAGCACTTCGAAACATAACAGCGTTTAAATGTAATTGAAACTTTCCGCGCTGCAATCGAACCTAACAGACATAAGAATACTTGTGAGAGTACAGCGGAATATAACAGCGTACATACAATTACTTTGAGACTTTGTAAAACGCATTTGAACCTTTTATGAATATTTCAAACATAAAGTACATGTATTTTTTTTATATCTTTAATGTTGAATCAAAATAATTTTTACCATAGTATTATATTCCTACGATTTTTATCTACTCTATATAATTTTTCCTTGACGTAATTATCTCTTAAAACGTAAAATATCACCGAAACTATTTTTTCAGCTTTCGATTATTTCATCTCAATATTTCTAGGGATAATATAATGTTGTGTGTTACTTTTATTATTGTATACTTCTATATTATAATTAATTTTTCTATTCTTTTGTGGAGAAAATTATATGGTTTTATTTAAAGATAATAATGCTATATACCTTGAGACTGCATTATTATATATGCGAAAAATTAAAGGTTACAAAGTTAGAAAGTTAGACATTAAGCTGTTCGACTTTTTTTTCTCTAATTTTTCATCATTAACTATAAAAGAAATAGGGTAAAAATTTCATGACTTATCCCATATATTTTGTAAAGTTTCGAGTCCAATTAGATATTATTAGACTTTTTTTCGGTGTTCATCAAAGATTCTTAGTATTTGATCGATTTGTAATTGTGTATTTGATTTCACATGATTTTGTGAATATTTCACAATTACGCTGTGATTCATTTTTGCAAGCATCATTCGAATCGGTATGATATATGATATTGAATAATATTGGATTGACCGAGATACATATCCACATCAGCTTGGTCCCATTTCTTGCGAGGATATGCTGATCTAAGTGCATTTTAATTAGCGAGAGAGACGTATCGGTGAGCTAATTACAGGAATACTCTCGTTAATTCTGGGTGACATCGCGTGCGTACGCTACGCGAATCATTATGGCGCACGTCGTATCATTACACATGCATGTGCCGTGTATCCACGGTGCGAAAGTGCGTGCGGGACTTAATTGTAAGACGCAGCCGGTCATTCTACGAGAAACCACACCGGGCGCCTACGATATGCGAGGAAGGAAGAGAGTACGTAGGACTTTCGCTCGTTCGCCACGCAGGTCATATAATATTCGCGGATACGCGGATCCGCCAAGCGCCTGGCCGGCTTCCTGCGGCGCGCCGAGGGGGTCTGTCACTCTTGTCACACGAGTCGACTTTCAGCGCGGCGACGAGGAGAAAAAAGGAAGAGAGGAATAAAAACCTCTTCGAGCGCCTCGCGCGAGCACGCTTCGCTACCGGTCGCAGATCGCTGAACGCTTCCGGTTTTAGAACGCGCGCGCGGCATCGCGCATTCACGACGATCTTCGTCTTATAGGACACGTAACAAAATTATTCCGCCGTGTACCGCCTTTCTGTCTTTCTCTTTCTCCCCCGTCCCTCCTACCGTCGCGGCGTAATGAGGTGAGATGCGCGAGAGGCGAGAAGCGAGACCAGGCGCGAAGATGAGCGGGATGGTTTTCAGGCTGGATCGGACCCTTCTTCTTGATTTCTGCACAAGCGCGACCAGCCCGCATGCCAGTCCACCCATGAAACAACGGAAAGCGGCTTCTCTCGCCGCGAAATCCGGCGAATTCTCGCCTCGCCTCGCTGAAGGAGATCTAAAGATAGTGAAGATATGCTTGTAACAACACGATCTGATCTACAAAACTAAAGGAGCTCAAGCTACGTATCAACCGCACGAGGTAAAGTATTTGATTCAACGTATTGACTGGTCTCTAGATGAAGAAATAGCTTACAGAAGAGATAGAAGAAATACGAAAAAAAGAAATACTAAATGTAAAATATATAAATATGATATTTCATCAATGAAAATAAAGACATTCTCGCAATATATATATTTATTATAATTTTTTTAATTTTTTGGTATCTTCAACATATTTCGTTTTTTTCCCATTAAGAAAAAAGAAGAAAGACGGGGGTTAGATCATCTTTGCGGGAATGTCTTCATTTTCAATGATGAAATCGCGCCTCATTGCGCGGTATTGCAAAACGAATGTCTCGGCTTGATGGTAACCGCGTTACATCGTTGAGGACCGCGTTATTATATGCGGATTCAGAATACTCGTTATAGCCGTCGAAGATCTCTCTCGACGCCGAGACAGGACTCACTTGCCTCCGATTATCCGCCAGGCCAGGCTTCTGATCGGCGATGTCGATGACGCGTGAGAGGTGCGTGTTATCAACACGCGACGCGGATATGTCTCGGCGAAAAATATAATCAACAACCCGCCGCCGTGTTGCGACACATGACCGAGCGATAAAAGTGGCTTCAAAGCGCGATGCGCTCACTCGGGAAATATTTCGCGGCGAGCGTCCCCCGGCGAGCGTGCGATGGGGTAACGCGCGCGTACGTCTACGTGATGACAGCGTTGTAATTGCACGTGACGCAGTCAAATTTGTCGCCTAATGACAGCGGCAATTTCGACGCAACGCCTGGAAATCCGGAGCGTGTATAATATACGCGTGTGTACTCTCTCTCTCTCTCTCTCTCTTTCTCTTTCGCGTGCGCGCGCGAATTCTCATCGTCTGTGAGTCCCTTCCCCTTTGCCAGTCCGCGATAATACCCACAAGAGTGTAATTGTCTTCCTTTCATAATCTGACGCGGGTATATTATATATATATATTTTTAATGACGATTCTCGACGTATATTCGAGGTGAAGTCAGAAAATGATTGTCAAGTCTCGTCGAGATGGTGCGCGGCGGGACGGGCGATGGGACTTTTACCTGGGCGCGCGAAAAGCTGAAAAGTCTTTCCCATGAGAGAAAGACAGAGAGAAAGGAACGGGAACGGTGAAGCAAGGCGAGCCGGTGATCGCGTAGTGGGACCAACAAAGTTACCTGGATCGACAACAGATACTTTTCTCGGCAGTAACCACCAAGACACCATGACGACACGATCACTCGCATCGTCCCCGACGCGACGACCGTCGGCTGTCGGCCTGATCACCGCGCTCCTCCTCATCGCGGCGGCACGTAAGTCCTCTCTCTCTCTCTCAATTTAATCGCTGAATCTCGATCGACCCAATTGATTTCGGGAAAGTGTTGTCTGCCTTTCGGCGTTTTTGCTAATCCGGCTCTTGGCGGCACGGTTTTGCGAAAGTTCATCGAGCTCCGATGCGATCGATGAAGATTATTACATGGTGAAGTCGCAAATTCGCGCAAGTCTCACGATGCGGACAGGATACGTTTAATTAAAAATATCTCGCGATCTTGTGAATATTCGCGTCGTGTGAATTATTTGCATTTTTATTAAAAGCTTATCGGATTTATTATATATTTATTCAGGTTCTCACGAATCCAAATATAATTTAAATCCAAATGTTTTTCGTCGATTCGCGAAATAATTACGAGACTGAAATATCACGCCTGATCGTGGGACTCTCATTCCGTGGCTCATTAAGCGACGTCCTTGGCGAAAAGTGAGGGGATTAAAGATCTCAGATTATCGTATCAAGCTGTCATCGGGATATTATATCTTCGCGACACCGCGCCTGAAGTTACAAAACATAAATATAAAATTACGTCTGAATAACGTTATGTATATTCGCGTGGTTGATCTTTAATAAGGTCTACATATTTGTTGAGGGAGGATTAGTTTGACAAGATTTTGACTTGGAATTAACCGCCAAGAAGAGTACTTTGTCGCATTATTCGAGGTAATCAAAATAATATCCGTGATTTCGCAGCCTGCTTCCTCTTGTCTACTCTACTTACCGTCATATCTTGCGGCTTCGCGTCCCAGGACGACTTCACGCTCCGCGTTTTTGCGCGCACTATTTTTAGCGCATACTTTAGAAAGCAAGGAGAAATTACATGGTGCTAACTTGCAATTAACAATCGCTTGATCTAAAAATTAGTTCGCCAGTTTTGTGTTCCGTAATAGAGAAAGAGATAGAGAAAAAAAAGAGATTAATCGCGCGGAGAAATTCAGCTTCTTCCGATACAAACACGTAATATCCTTGTATAAATCTCAAAAAATCTGATTCGCATGTCGAATATCAATAATCCTTTCTATCGGACCCTCCAAACAAAAGTTGGAAGGTCCGATAGTTCCAAGTCTCTCGTTACCGCTACAAAGATTTTAAAAAAGATACGCGGATATTTAGGATAGAAAATCCCAATAAAATAATAGTAGTAGTCGAGAAATAAAAATCGAAATCCTATAAGTGGGTCTGATTAGAATTTATTACTGGGCGGAGTTTATTAATCTCGCAGAAATCTTACAGAATCCCGATCAGTTTCTGCATTTTGAAAATACGTAGAAATTCGTGTGCGCCACGTGTTGTAAATAATATGAGGTGCGCGCTTGGGATTTACAAAGTGAACGAATCCGCGCGTAAAATACCGAATACCGAAACTTGAGGATCTAAGCGCGAAGAGACGGCGATGGATGAAAACGAAAGGGCGATAACACCGCGGGCCTCGGCGGGCCTCCTGACATTTCCAGGCTTCCAGGAGGTGAAAGTGGGAGCCGGATAACCGTAATTGGCCATCCGTATAACACAAGTTCCGAGTCCGCAATGTCGTAATAGCGTCTGCGAATAATCGCCAAAATGTTCGCAACGCGAATAATCTCGCGCGATTATGCCCGAGTCCACCAAGCCGTTGATTACGAGATCAACGTCATCTGTTTCCTAAATTTACGCTCGTATTAATCTTTTGTTGTCGCGACGACTGGAAGACACGTCTTCTTAAAAACGCGTTGTTTTCCTTTTTCTGCATTCTAAAAACAGTCGCGGTGATGACAAAGTGCGATAAATAATAACAATAATCTACAGTTTTTAAAGGTCGATCCTAGAGATGCGAGACGCTGAAAGATTAATAAAATTGTAAATCGATAATGTCGCGATAATATATTCTATACACACAAAACCTGGGCTATAAAAATAAATAAAGCGTAGCATTTTATTTCCCTTTTCAATTTTGCATATTTATCGCGATATGAAAATAGCCGAAGGCTATTACGATATGGTTATCGCAAGAAACTTGTAGACTTAGTGATTTGTGGAAACATTATACTCTGCCCCAAATATTACATTATATAAATATCTAAAATCTCTCTCTCACTTTTTTATAATTTCTTTTATTGCTACTCCAAATTAAAAATCGAATAGTATCGCGTGCACAAACGCAGATCTATTTATTTAGTCGTTCGGTGTTGGATTATGAAACTGTGGTAAATCTACTCGAATGGTCGGTAAAGTGTATAAGATCGATTCGTGTTTCTGTAGGAGCGGGTTGAATCTCGCTGTTGCGCGCTGAAGCTCTCGGTCGAGGCGGCGCGGCGGCGTTCGTTTCGCGATACAACGATGCAACGAGGCGGCGGCGATACAACATTCCCCGCTTCGAGCCCTATCAATCCTAACATCTCGAACGCGCTGTTGCTACGTTAGTAACAATTCTGCAAATCCGCGTTCGTCGAATCCCTCGCGGAAACGCGACGCAACCGCGCGACCTTGATTAATGCGCGCACCGCCGCCAATCTTCGCTTCGTACCTGACGTTTCTGGATGGATGACAGCCGATTCCTACTACGGAATCCTAACGGTGCCCCGGGGCGAGCGTAGGGGTTCCCGATTTAACGAGGTAGCCAATGTAACGTAAACCGCAGTGTACCCGATCCTACGATCTGTCAATGGAAAACGCGCGCCGCGGTCACTTCGCTCCGAGGCATTACTTATCTGGCACACGTGCGATACGGGTGTACAAACACGCGGAATTCGTCGCGGTCTGTCATTATTAGTATACCCTCTTCGTATCCGTTTTCTCTCGTGTGTCCCATTCCTACGTCTATTTTCCCTGTATCTCTCAAACATAGATATTATAAGTTACATTAGCATGAAAACAAGTGCGGTACTTGTTTCGTTCTTGCTCTCATTTTGCTCATATTCTGTGTTTCCAGCTGTTTTACGTTCGCGTTCATCCACTTCGGCTTCGGTCGAGGAGGCTGAGAAAACCTGAGAACAAAACGAGCGCTCGAGTTATTTGAATTCATTTCAATACGAACGTGAAAATATATACATACAACGTTCCGTGCCACTTACGTTCAAGACGATTTCCTGAGGGGATCGAGTTCGAAAGTAAGAAAGATACCGGCGCGCGCGGGATCCGGAAGAAAAAAGAGCCCAAGAAACGCCCAGATCGTGACCGTTCCGGGGCGAAGCTGCGTCGACGCGTCTTCGTCGAACGCGACCGCAAGCGCGCGCGATCCGCTCCGCGGAAGCTGCAGGAATGCGCGTTTCGCGGAACCCAGTTTTGCGTACGCGGGAGCGGTATAACGATCTACACCGAGCGGCTCAATCAATCGTCCCTGCAGACAATTTATTCGCGAAGTCGAGAAGTTACCGCGGCCGTACCGTTACCCATCGTTACCCGGCTACCGTACTTGGGAGCGGATCTATCAGCCTAGGTCTATCCCGGCCCGGCCGAGGCGCACAAATGGGATTTGTGCGTGTATCATTCTAACGAACCCAATAAACCCGGCCGCCGCCGTGTGCACGCGGCGCATTATTATACCGCGCGTACCGGTTCTCTATATCTTCTCCCGCGCGAGTTTTCCGCGCCAGGCGGCCCGTCTCCCGGATGATAACGCGGCCAAGTGGCGTATGTGCAATAGACGTATATATATATATACGTTCGTATCCCTTTACCGTATACATACGAGAGGCATATACGTTTCCACGGCCGCGAATTAGACGCGCAAACCGTGAGTTACGCCAAGGCCGACGAAGTTTGCCTGGCTATTGACCAGTAATTCGCCGCATTAAAGCATACTTCCGCGCTTTGTCACGATCCTCGCCTTGCCTCCGCGACTCGCGGGTATAACGAGTTTTCTAAAAATATCCACCTGCTACTCGAACGGAATTCCCGACGTGGGAATAATTCGGACGAGAAATTTCTAGACGCGAAAGATATAAGTAACGGCGTGAGGTAAATAAAAGAAGTGAAATACTCTTTTATGGGGTTTTTTTTTTCTTAACGCGCGAGACGCGCGAGCGGACGCGCGAGTGTAGTCGTTTCTTTTTCCAGTAATCGGATGCGCATACTGTCACGTAACTCGATAAGTGGTCAACCGATTATTCAGTTGCAACATTGTACCGTAATTATTGTTTATTTCGCCGCACATAATTATGCTAATCCCCCGGCAGTTTATCATTTATCGCACTTGGAACAATCGTCCGGATGCGGAACGCAAAACGCGACAACGGTATAGGACTTACATTCAACGAGCTTGATGCCGAGAGATGGAAGCTATATAGTATTATTGCTATCACGAGCTGGCACACGCGGAGAGTCGCATTCCGTTTTGTGTGATTTCTTATTCCGACTAACACTTAATTACACCGCCGGTTACTTAATGGTAATTGATGATTATGAATTTCCTTTTGGCAGAAATATGCAGCGGAGCGTATTACGGGAAACTGATCGGTAAGCTGTCTGAACTTCATCACGGCGTGAGCGGCGAGGTTTATGCCGTCGACGCAAGGACGCTATTTATCAAGGATTTCACCTACGATGGCGAAGGTCCAGGTTGGTACATCGCGCCGCAGCGCGAGGTTAATCCCTTCTCCGTCATCAATCACGGAAGCGAATTATCCCGCGGACTGTCGTCGTGTCGTCAATGATTCAACTCGAAGGCATATTTTTTATTCGAATTTGTATCGAGCAATTCGTGCGTTACTTTAATGTGAAATAATGTAACGATGCAAAGGGATATTATTTGGAAGAACGCGCATTTCACAAATTTTCGACGATATTTTGAAGCTATTAGAAAATTGAAAAATCAAAATACAAATGAATCTTAATTTTATAGCCAATAAATAAAACACAATGAAGTGTACAGCACGGATGCTTTCCGATTATGTCGCATCTCTGGGAGGATGCGAGAAAATTGCGGAAAAACTTTCCCTCGGCCTGATAAGCTGACCGCGATCGACTTTTATGCCGGAAAAACTTTCCCAAATCTCTCTGGCACGCGCATTCGTGACGTGTTAATAAGCCGACTGCTCGAGATACCGCTCTAATGGGATATATCTAGATGCTTATTAGAGCTTCACAATCTAAAACCGTGTTATATGTTTACTATCTGCTCGCTTAAACGAAACCGTTCCTCGTCATTGGCGGTAGGAACCTGCTGTATAAATCTTCTACTACGGCCGGTTTTATTAAACAAGTCGTTTTATCGATAAGACCGCACGAATATGATAAGAGCACCATTCTCTTTTCAGCTGCCTTCTTTTACGCCGGAAACAGCAAGGGCCCGGGCAACAACGGATTCCGGGTGCGAGACGAACACGGAACGTAAGTATAAAGCCGATAATGTTGTCCCGTCAGTTCTGCTAATTAAATTTTGTAATTATAACAGCCCATTATATTTCGTCGAGTGAAAGCTTTGTCGATTTCTAAGCGATTGTTTCTTGCCCGGCACGATTAATTTCTCCTTTCGCCCAACAGCACGAACGTCCTTAAACGGTACCGCAGGAAGGACATCACGCTGACCTTACCGGACGGCAAGACCTTGAACAACATCAAATGGTTTTCGGTCTGGTGCGACGAATTCTCCGTAAGTAACGGATGCATGCTCGTGACCTTGGATCGCGCGATATCGGCTCGTATACGTATAATATACTTGCTCGTCGCACGGGAAACCGGTATCATTTTCTCGAACTACAACTTTCACACTCGCGCGGACTTAACGGCCACCTGAATCCGCGTGTCAAGTGAATGGAATACGGCATATGTGTTGCTTGATGAAACGCCGCACACGACCACCGCGGGCTTCGCCGTACGCGTCCGGGATTAGATTACAGAACTTTTAATATAGGATCTCTAAAATGTTTGGAATTTTAAATATCTCTTATTATTAGATGCATCTCACGTTTTATTTCGTCAAACGAAAGACTTTTTCCTTAGCACGTCAAACTTCTCGTCGAAAAAACCTTTCGACGAAGTATATATATAAGATCTTAATTCGACGCAAGCCCTTGGAATAGAGCATCAATATGTCTTGCTGGTCTTGCGATGAGCGAATACGCGAAGATATCGTTTCTGTTTAGGTGAATTTCGGCGACGTCAAGATATCACGGGGCTTCGATTATCCGAAACCGCAGAAGCTGAAGGCACTGAGCGGCATACATGGCGTCAGTTCGGAGCCAGTTGTCGTCGTGGACGCTCAGACTCTTCTGATACCTAGTTTCAGTTACGACGGGGAAGCCCCTGGCAAGTCTCTCTCTCTCTCCTTTTTCTGTTATTAATATATAATTTTAGACCTTGACCTTAACGATTATAATTTACGAAATAGTTGATGTTTTATGCAAAATTTTATCGTTAATTTTTATCGAGAATTCATTAAGCGCGAATTCCGTTTTTTGTACAATTTGCTGAATTCTTGCCACGATGATGCGGATAATTTATCTTCCCGCGAACCTGTTTTTTTTTTTTTTTCAAAATTCACGAATATCGCGGATTCGTTGAATGCATGACATGAAATTTCCGTGGAAGATCGGCAATGTAAGACTGTTTTGCAGATGCCAAGTTCTGGGTAGGCGCCGGCCCGAACCCCTCGCCGCAGGGTATCCGGGTACCTGACGAGAACGGGAAGGAGCAGCCGTTGCGTCGTTACGATCGCAAGACGATCGTGCTGACGTTGCCGGGCGACCTGACCATGCACCAGCTCGGCCACTTTGGAGTTTGGTGCGAGGCCTTCGCCGTGGACTTCGGCCACGTGCAGCTCCCGCATAACATGAACATACCGCCGTCCCTTAAGATGCTGGGGGTTTCGCCACAGGTATGTGTCACATGTATCTTTTACAGTTAGTACCTTACGGCGAAAGGGAGAATGGGACAGTAGGGAGATTAACATGTACAGCTCGTGGGCCTCGGGTGCACCGTGACGCTTTGCGCAGCTATTTACGACCCGCAATGAACTCGACCTCTCGTTTCGATTTCCTTCTCCTCATCCCCGACTACACCCGACTACGAATAATTCCGACTGAACTGACAGCGTGAAAGTGCGACCGTCGCTTGCTAAGGAACTTTGACATTCGGTATTACTCTGATTTTTAACGGACGGACGGCATAGTCCTTCAATCTCGTACTTAATTAATGACAAGTATGTCTCAAATTTGCCTCTTCTCTGCATGCTTATCATTTAAACACACTTGTATGTCTTCGTGCGTACCCTATCGACGCCCGTTCGTTCCGCTCGCTCAGCGCGAGCCGCGAATCTCCTCCTGCCTCCTGCAAATCTCTGCTCATGGATAAAAAAAATCCTGTCTCTGTCCTTGTGTTGCAGAACGTGCATCGCGGAGGGCAGGGACAGTTGGGGGCGCTAACAAGTGCATACGAGACCTCCTCTTTCGCTTCCTCGTCGCCTTCCCCCCTCGCTATCTCGTTCGCGAGCTCGCTCTCGCAACTGCACCAACGACCGACGACCTATCGGCCGCTCCTCCGCCGGGACGATCAGTTCCAAATAGTTCAAGCCGTGGAACCTCTGATACCCAGGCAGGCGCAGCCTGCCCCCGCCTACGCGTCCGCCGATGCCGCGGACTATCAGGACCAATTTTATCGCACGGCCGACGTTGCGTCGCCGACGCCGTCCCCGTACCGTCCTCAACCGTCGCCGCGCTCGCGTTCCCGCCTCGCCGAGCCGCAGCAAAATTCGTACGCGAGGCTCTTGCACTTCCAAGGGGATAGGAGAATCGACTCGTTCGTGCGTTACTGATCGCGTCGCACACACGCCCGGTCAGACACACACGATCTCTTACGCCCCGGTCTTTTCTACGCCAAAAGATGTTCCTCGTTCCTCTCTTGCGCGTCGCTCGATTAAAAAAAAAATTCAATCTTTGGAAAGCATGAATTTTCCGACGCTTGTCTCGAGAAGCTTCATTACGCTGTTTCAAAGAGCGATATATTTTATTATATCACTTTTGTGTGTTACAAACTATTGTTCTGTTAGTATTTCGATTTTTTCTTTTTTTATGGTAAAAATTGTAATAAAAAATTATTACAACCACAGTTTCTCGTACGCATCCTTCGTAAGTTTGTACAAATTTATAATAACTGCAATGTAGAAGAGAATGAGGAATTTCTTAGATATCTACATCTTTGCTTTAATTAATTTTCTTATATAAAAACCTGCTATCTAAAAGCTATCTCGAATTCTTCTTTTTTTTTACGTATATATATATATCTACGCGGGTGATATATAACATAATACGTATAATATATATGTATATATACATATACATATACACACATATACGGTTCACGCGCGCATGTGTGTACTATATATTTTTGATATTTTTGTACTCATTTTTTCTATATACATATTATTATGTATTATACATCAAATAAATATATTTTTTACAATTCTGAGCTTTGCATATATCCCCAGGCATGATCTCTCTCAACGAATAATAACTGTTTATTAACATCGTTCCACGTCTTTAATTACTTGTTGCTCCGCGAGTTGTTCTCACGCGAATGTTAAAGTTAAACGGAGCGTAAAATAATGAATAAAGGAAAAGTGCGTGGTATTTAAGCGCCGATTAACTTTATGAGAACGGCTCTATGTAAATTAGTCTGCAAAATGTCGGGCAAACAGTAGATTTAATTCGAATGTACGTTAGCGAATAAAGATCGGACGGTGTGATTTCAGTCGAAGCTTAACTGCGAGGTTCTCGAGGACAGCCTAGCTTTCGAGGTGCGATGGGCCGTGGCCGGTGACAGCATTGTCGTCCAGCTGGTCGCAAAGCTAGGTAAATATTGTCAGCCACGCGCGCGCGTTGAAAGAGCCGTGTGGCTTCGACGACGAAGCGAAGAGTAGTTTAAAAAGCGTACGAGGAACCGAGAGGAGACTAATGCGATTTCTAACGCACGACTATAAAGACCGAATTGTTACGACAGATGCTGGACAGTACATGTCCTTCGGATTGTCCGGCGACATGGAGAAGAGCGCGATGGTTGGCGGGGACGTAGCCGTGGCCTGGGTCGACAAGCAGACCCTGCAGGGATACGCCATCGATTACTTCCTGGACGCGAAGTCGCAGTGCTCGGGACGCCGCGGCAGCTGCCCGGACAGGCGCATACAGGTAGACAAATCGCGCCTATAATACTTTGACTTATCAAGGAACACACCACAATTGTCCCGGGAACGGGATTCGATTCACCTTGAAATACGCTGTATCGTTCCACGAGCTGCCTTCAATAGCGAAATGACTTGGTCTCCCGCAGGAGAACACGGATTCGGTGCGGCTGTTGAACGCGGCGATGGTGAACGGCTACAGCATCGTCACGTACCAGAGACCGTTGAAGGCCAGCGACGAGTTGGACCGACCGATATTGACGAACCGATCGCAGGCGATAATCTGGGCCATCGGGCCGCTGAACGAACGGCAGGAGGTCAGTTTCCACAGCCACTATCTGAAGACCGATCGGTTCATCGAGTTCGGCAGACCGCCCGCGTGGAATTGCCCCATGCCGGATCAGGATCCTGCTCGCAGTGACGTTAATGAGACGGCAAGTAGCAATCAAGTAAGCGTTGAAGTGTAATCAAAGCGTAATTAACACGTTGAGATCGCGATGATTATTCATGGCACCTGAATTTTCAATGGCAAATTTTCTTTAAAACGCTTGTAAAAAATAAATACCATGCATTTAATATAAAATTTTGAATTACATAAATAGTTAGATAACAACGTAAAGTAAAAAGCATGCGATTCGTCACGCTATATCCCGTGAGAATAGTCTTATTTATAATTATATTGCACAATATTTTATCATTTAGGTATATATACTTATGATAATGAAAATTCTATTTTGGCGAACACGATAAGTTAAACTCGCTAAACAACATGTTAATTCGTTATGCTAGAGTCAATTTAGAGTTGAGGTCTAATTGAGTTAGGGGAGAAAACTATTCCACGTATATTGTATATAACAATATTATTTTCATTTTGTGGTGTGTTGTAATGTCTTTGGAAAATATGCACTGAAATATAGATTGTCATGAGAAGTCCGCAACGTGTATCGGCAACTCCCGCACCGGCTCCTACGAACGACGCTTGGGAGATACCACCGATTCAGTGTTACGAGCCGGATGACGGTATTTTCTATGCGCAAATGGGACCGACCGGAGGGAAACACGGCTACCCGGCCATTACCGGTAACGAATCATACGGATTAGTTGTTGTAACATTATAGAGTACCGTTTTCCAATTCGAGTCCAGAAACTCTGTTTTCGCGTGACACGATTTACATATGAATTGTATAGTGTATCAGAATTATCACCAGCAAAAAAATTCTTGTTCCTGAAATAAATATTATACCGTCGACAGAGAAAATTTCTCCCGACGTAAAATTATATTTCGCTAATAATATATAAATTTTATTTGACGCTGCTTTCGTAAACGCACTTTAAGATTTATTAACGCTTACCTTTCATGTGGAAAGCACATTCGAATTTTTTATTTCTTTTCGCGACATTTATCACGTAGTTTTGGAGATTCCGGGCACATTTAGACTTTCGCGAAGCTAATCAAAATTCGCACGGCACTCAATCCGCGAAGCGCTCGCGAGAAAGTCCTCGTGCGAGTCGCAAGAAAGCCGCATCGCGTCTGTACTCTAAACCGGTCCTCGCTTTACTTTCTCCCAGGTCATGTCGGCTGGGGGATCTCTTGGTACATTAACGGACTGCTGATACCCGAGATTAACGTGGTGCGGGGCAAGAGGTACACTTTCGTCGTGGAGGGCGGTTTAGATCCCGAGGTCCCGGCGCGTTATCATCCGTTCTACATCACCGACGACCCGATAGGCGGCTACTATCACAAGACAGCCGAGGAGAAAGCGGTAAACTGTCTTGCATGCAAAACATTTTTGGAAGAAAGAACATCAGCTCGCTCTGTTTTGATTCGCAAAATGCAAAGTAGATTCGCTATTTGTTATATTTCCGCGGTAAAACAAGTGGCTTTAAGAAGTCACGCGTTGCTAACTTCAATCGAATCTCATAATTATCTTAATGGTTTGAGCGACGTTCTTGATAAAGGGATGCGAGATGAGAGGGTGCATAAGAAAATATCTGGATGAAACGCGAATGATATATATAGTTTCGTAACGGTTGTTCGCTCTCTGACTTTGACAGAAAGTGAAGATATTCGCCGGTGTGCGCCGACAACGCAACAGGATCATTCCCACGGGCGTGGGCCGCCTCTGCAACTGGGTGCCGGACCAGAACCAACCGCCCGCGGACGACTTCGCGTCCTTCGGAGCTTACCAGCGTACCTTGACTCTCGAGTGCGACCACGGCGAGCCGGGTTTCGTGGAATGGACGCCCGACGAGAACACCCCCGACACGGTGTATTATCAGGTAATCTGACGAGACGGATACCTTCGACCGGCGGATCTGCGATTTCGCACGGGATATTCCGCATTTTCTTTTTTTCCAGTGTTTCACGCATCGTTATCTAGGCTGGAAGATCAATGTTCTCGATAGCTGTGACGTCAGCGAGGCGTCGCAGCCGGCGGCCAGCGAGAAGCACGAAGTGTACGCGGAGCCAGGTCAGGATCAGCAGGATATGGAGTACGGCGCTAGTATTTCCGTGCCGAGCAAGGTAACGCCAACGGCGGAGTTTCTTCATCAACAGCATGCCCATCATTCTCACCGCGAATACGGCCACCGTTACCCCCATCATCATTCGACGACTAACAGCAAGCTAAGCGTTTCACATCCGCAGCTACTAACGAACGCCAATAACAATTATGATCGCTTGCAATCATCATCATCATCGTCCAAAAATTCATACGGGGCACATCCGAGAGACGCGCATCGCGTTGACGAGGAAGTCCTGCCGCAGCCGCAGCAGCAGCAGGAGAAGCAGCAGCCGCAGCAGAAACAGCAACACCGATCGACTACGATCGTTCACGAACCGTCATCATCTCTTCACGCCGGGACTCATGTTATGCCGGAGCTCGCGCGGGAAATTCAGCATACCACCACTAACCAGGAATTGTCTAACCTCGTTGCAGATCACCAGCGACCGTCACTGAGTCACGGGACGAAGTTGCCCTACGTTACGGCGGCCATCAGCAACACCCAGCTACCGTTCTCCCGAGCGCCGCATTATTACGCGAGCAATTATCATCACTACGTCCGCCATCAGCTTCCTCCGCATCCTCCTCGTTACTATCAGTCCGAACCGCCGAGGACCCAACTGATGATCATCCGTCGGCCGGTGACATTAACGCGCCATCCGATGTTGCAGACATTACAGCAGGCCGCCAATTTGATAACCACGAGCGCGCTATCGTTGCCGTTCCCATTCTCGTTCACGTCGTCCTCCTCGCCGCGGCCGATTCTCATCGAGCGCAAGAAATCCATTTATCGTCCGCCCGTTGCGATAGCGACGCTGAAGACGACGCCGAGGACGATGGCCGACAAGGTGCCACCGTCCGAGAAATTCGCGGCGAAGATCGACACAAAGCAACGCGCGAAACTCGAGGCGAAGTCGGGATCGGGTTCGGACACCGAGAATCACGCGAGTCCCTCCTGGAAGTTTCTGAAACCCGCGCGCAACACCGGCTTCAATCCCGACTCCATCGTCATCGAGAGCGGCTTCAAACCGATCATCAGAAACGTCGTCGACAGAGCGCAGCCGGATGTCGCGCAGAAGAGGCTGTCGGCCGCGACGGGGACGTGGCAGGACGGGCCGCTACTCAGAAAGAACGGTGAATATCGTACGATCGACGAGTTCTCGCCCGTGTTCGTGCCGTCGCTGCCCGTAACGACGTCCGCGATCGACGGCGCGATCAGGAAGCGGAAGAAGAAGACGTCCTCCACGCGTTCCCCGCCGCCCCGTTTCGACGACCTCGACGATATGGAGATGGCGGCCGACCTCAGACTGGACACCTACTATCTGCCACCGATCGGGCGGACGAGGCCGGAGGAGCTGCCGTCAACCTCCTCCTCCGGCGTTCTGATCACCTACGACGGTAAGAAGCTGCGGGACTTCACCGGCTTGGCCAGGTCCGTCTCCGACACCGAGCACCGCGGCAAGGGCCGGTTGACCTCGGACATTCTCAGCAGAACGCCGCAGTTCGGTAAGTTCCAGGGCGAGCTGCCGCCGCTGATCCCCGGGGAGATGCGCGTGAACAACTCGATTCCACCTCCCTCGTACTCCGAGAAGAAGAACCGTCTGCCGGCCGTCGATCTGCCGCCGCGTGAACAGCTGCTGCCGAAGACGAGCACGAGGTTGAAGCTGGTGGAGAGATCGAGGAGATCGCCGCTGCAGGACCGCGTCGGTCGCACGATGTCCAGCGCGGACTTCCAGCGCGACGGCGGCGACCGCGGACGTCGGGAACGCGACCGGATCGAATCGGTCAACGGTGGAGCGCGCCTCGGCAGCCTCGGGTGGGTCCTTCTGATCGCGATCGCGGCGCGCCTCGCGATCTGAGAGCTAGATCAGGCGACCGACCCCCCCCGTGTCCGTCGACGAAAGGCACGCCGGGATCCTCGACGGGGCGCCGGAAAGGGATCGGAAGACGTTGATCATCTTGAGCGCGCCCGCGTGGCTCGCGGCGGCACAGCATCGTTTCGGGAATAGTAGACGACATAACTTTCCAACTGCGTTAACACCGGGGAAGGCATTACTAACCACTGAGAAAACCGCTGGTTTCCTATACAGTAGTACAATCCGCCTGTCAAGCTCGCGTCTCGCATCTCTGGTACCTCGATATTCGCGTCCTCGATCGTGTTCTTTGCGCGACGGTCATCGGTGTTCGCCGAGGCAGGTAAATATGATTTACGTTCCTTAGATCGAACTCGGATTTGTTTGTAGATATTTTTATGGTGCTTTTGTGTAGCTTTTATTTGGAAAAAAACGTAGTGTTTAATGCGTTAATTCACGTATATCTGCGCGCGTATTTACTTTTCTGTTCCGATATTAGAGGAGTTGTGCAATCCACATGTCTGGTGTCAGAACTATAATTATATGCAGAGATACTATATATGTTATTATTTTAAAAAAGCTAACATAAAATATATATGATGAAAATATATAATGCATGAATTGTTCTGAAGAGATAACTTTAATTAAAAATTAATTAGACATAGGCGCGTGAAAACCCGATCGAGTTTCAAAAACGCTGGTTTGCAACTGATGCAGGAGGCGTATGCAGCAACAGGTACTTGTTGAGTTTTGCTGGCATATTTTTGTAAATAAGTTAAAATATTTGTTAATAAAGGTAATCTCGACACAGTTGTCGCCAAATTGTTGTGTGCACTGCCCTGTGTTTCTAGGCACAATCGAGAAAAAGCTCAATGGATTCTACTTCAAAATAATAGACAGACATTTGATAAACTTTACTTCTTGTTTCATTTAAATTAAACTTTAATAAAATTTACAATTAACTCAGCTAAATAATAGCCTAATAAATAAAGAAGTGAATATTAAAAGAATGTAAGTTGAATACTGATATATGTACACATTTCTCTAAATGACATAAATTCTTAATTCGAATATAATTTAAAAAAGCCGTTTTTGTCATTTAAATTTTTAAAATAATTTCAAAATTTTTTATTGCGGTATCTTGGAGCGCCAATTTGATAACATCTATGAGACATGCACAAATATATGATATTAAGCAATGTTTTATTGTATACAATAAAAAACAAGTCTTACAAAACGATCAACACGCAACTATAGTGTACACAACGTTAACATTACAGTATATACGAGAAAAACCGATAGAAGCCACTTGTCACTATATTTATATAACAGAAAAAAAAAGATAATTTGTGTACAATCGCTAGCGTCGCTCATTTTCATTCATCATCTATTGCATGTAAATTCACGATAATTCATATTTTTACGAGTAGGGATTCGTATTTTCCCGCGTAGGGGCAGATTTAAGATTTTATCTATGAGAAGAAACAATAGAAAATACATATATAAAAATTATTTTCATCAATTTGACCGCTGAAAAAGTATGAGCGTAAAACACGTTTAAACGATGGGAATTACCATCTTTAATACATGATCGGCAACGTATTTACATATGTGTATATATTACAGGATACGCCAGGATATCCTTCTCATTAATTATACAAGTCTAATGATAGATTTGAACACTCGGTTAATTATTTTTCTACAAACTTGAGATAATATACAGAATTTTATACACCCAGTTGCGTGAACCTCGGTGATAAAATTTATCCCTATAAATGATCAGTAGCTTCTTCTATACATATATTGCAAATTATTACTGCACTATTGCGTATGTCCGATACTCGATTAATTTCATGTTTCATCCGATATTTCATACTGTAAGTAATCCGATTAGACTCCTTTTTCATTATGTTAGTTACGTTTATCTTGCAGACATCCTCGGAGAACCGATAGAAAAGCATGCTCTTCAGACAGTATTATAACAAACAACATAATGTCTGTTATAATTAACTGGCATTACATAACTTTGTTCAAATTTTCATTTACAAAAGTACTATACTATAAAGGATAGTAAAATATCTCATGACATTTTTTGTTATATTTTTCATTTTTTTCGTAAATAAAAATTTGAACATAAGTAACGTATATAATGAAGACTGTAATTGAAAAACATGATCTTCTCGAATATACCAATCAGAGTTGCAATATAATTCTGAATTCGACCTAATAACATTCTCGAATCCTTTTAAAAAATGCCGTTATTCCAGCACTCTATCAGACATGTACGCCAAGTAACATAACATAGCTGCCAATCTTTATTTATCATAATCTATTAATGCGTGTTTGTGAAAGACAGCAATGTCGGACAGGTGTTACGCGCAAAGAAGAAGTGAGAAATGAAGGTTGTTCCGCATTTTCTACTATTAGTGACAATTTTATTAGACATGAACGAAAATTCTGATGATTTTAATGAAGCTACAATAACTTTAACATAACGCCAATCCTGGAAAGTGTGATCGAAAAATTTGTTACATTGCGTGAAACATAATGTTCACAACACATTCGGTCATTGGCTGTATTTTCATATCGGTACAGTATACACACACACACACACACACACACACACACACATATATATGTGCATTTTTTAATGCACAAGTGGCAATTCTTTGATCAGAAATTTGTTCTCAAGGAAATGGTTTTCTGACAAATTGTGCGTCAGACGAGGAAACTTTACTCCTTCCTCGTCGGGAGGAAGTGTAAATCCCTATTCACAAGAAAAATAAAAATTTAATCAAAGAACTTGCCATTACACAACTAATGACGTAGAAATAGATATTATAGAATTATTTCTCTCGTTGAGAGTTTTTAAGAGCAGTTCAACTTATTTATTGTATTGATCTTTAATAAGATCGAAAACACATTCGGTATCTGTGAAATCATACAGCGTATAAAAAATCAAGAATACATTTAATTCTTGATTTTTTATGCATTTTTTATTAATCAAAGATAGCCCCGATATAAATATTCATTACATGAATACTTACATCATCTGTAATGTAATGCATGTTTTTATCGTGCATTACATTACAGCTTTTTCTGTAATAGTTAATGCTAGTAAAAATAGTAGTTCTTAAACGAGGATTTTTAATCAATTACACCTTTCGGTTCGATATATTTTCTGAAGATATAAGACATCCTAGATTATTAAACGGATGAGTTTCTGCTGCAGTTTACTGACGAAATTAAAAAAAAAGCTATATATTTTTTTTACGAAAACACAAAAACATATTTAAAGAATTCACGCTATCTAAACGAACTAATGAAATTAAAGCTCACTAATTCGGAGAAATAATTTTCTCCGCGAAATAATTTCTATTAAACAATTATTTAGCGTTTTATGTGAAAATTCATGCATGTACACAAACTTAATTATTCAAACCATGATTTATATATATATGTACATGAATGATATACTTGATGCCTTTGTAAACGAAACTTTTCATATTTTACGCTTTATATTTGCAAATCGTGATGGACGTTCAAGTTAAAAAAAATAAAAAAAAAAACAAAACTGATTAAAACTTTGCGAGTCAAACGAATTTGTAGATAAATGTATTCCGTGTTTTACGCGAAAAGTAAGTAATAAAAGCCCTGTAATTGAAAGTAAATATTTTTACCTTTTGTTTGAATGATCGAACGAAAATAAATTATAAAGAAGTTAACCCGACGTAAAAAATAATACCGAGAAATTAATCACATTATTAACACGATCGTAAAGACGTAATTAATGTTTTCTTTTTGGTCTATTCTCACGGTTCATATTGTCATCACCATCCGTAATTTTAATAGATAGCGACGAGATGTCATTGATTCATACGTTCTATCGTTTGTACACGTGAATCACGCCGTCACGAATTACATGTACACAGATGTGCAACTAACTCTTAGTGGCAACTTTTCCCTTTTTTTTTTAAATTCTAAACGTAAAAATAAATATCGCAAATTCATCATTTTTCAAGATAGAAAGTGTAAGTGTTAGATAGTAGAAAATGTGGAACCGTATACATACCTATACATGTATCACTATATTGGTATATAATATATATTAAATAACATTCATTAAAAAGGCATATATATATATATATATATCTATATATATATCAAGTAAAAATATAATTATATGTAATTATATATATATAATCATATAAATTATATAATATTAACAAAAAGATTCTCACACACGTTGCATGGTCAGCGTGATCTTGTACAAAGCAGCAAAATATATCTACCTACCAAGAGACCGATTAATGAAAAATAACAAGGTGCCTAAAGTAATTTAGCTAAACCACCGGCTGATGCCAGACGATCTTGCCGCTGAGGCAGCCGGACACGAGCAGGTAGTGCTTGGGTGAGAATTTCGTGCTAACAACAATATCGGAATGGCCAATGTGCGTCGCCAATTCGTGAAGCTGCACGGACTCGTTGGCGGGTGGGACGCAATTGGACAGCTCGGCGCAGCCACTCGAGAACGCCAGCAATCGTACCCCATAGCCGAACGGCGAGCATATCAATCTACCGTCGGCCGAGAAGCAGAGCTCCTTGATGTAACCGGAACCGACGTTGGGCTCCTCGATGTAATGCGTCAACCTGGGCGTGTTCTGGTGGATCTTGTGATTCCTCGGTATCGCGTACATGGTCTGCAAATTTTGCCGGTTCTGCAGATTCTGCACCCGCGTACGGTCGCCGATTATCACGACCGTGTGGGACGATCGCGGTAGATTCACGCTCACGCCGTTGTTCGCCCTCGGCAGCCAGTCCCTCCTCTCGGCACCGGGATAAAACTGCCTCTCCCGCTCCCTGCGTAGTCTGGCCTCCCTGATCGCCACGAGCGCCTCCCACACGTCGGTCGTGCTCACGTGCAGCTCGACGTTGCCGCTGGTGAAATTGTCGATCATATTGCGCCGCCGCAGGTCGTTGAGCTGAGAGTGCGACCTGGGGGATCTGTACTCCCGCGGATCCCTCTCGTCGGCCGACGCATCGTGCGCCGAATTGTCGTTGTCGTCCACGTGCTGATCCTCCGGTCGGTCGTCGTCGTCGTGAATCGCGTTCACTCTCGAATCGGCGGCGGCGGCGCGGCGCTCGTGCTCGAATTGACCTCGACCATGTCGAAATTCGTCCTCACCGCGTTTCTATCCGGTCGCGGGCTCCTCGACTGCGAGCGCAGATTCCTGCGCGCCGTTACCTGCCAGCCCGTTCTCGACGACCTGATCGACGACGGCGCGGCGTCCGCGGCGGACACGCGAATAGGCGAGTCAAACGAGTTCGACCTCACGTCCGAGACGTCGTGCACTATCCGGGCACGATTCCCATTCTCTATCACGAAGGAAGACGCCATTCCCGAGCGCGATGATTGCGACTGAGGGAAGTCGTCGAACTCTTCCACGTTCAGACTCGTTAGGCGGCCCTCCTCCCCCTCGTTGACCTGCTCCACACTGCTGGACGCCTCGCGCTCTTGTATGTCGTGAATACAAGTCCACTGCGGGAGGAAAACGCCGAGGTGAGATTTATCGGCGGATAGCAAAGTTGAATAATGCAATATGCGCGATTAAACAACGCGGGAACAAACCTCCGATTTTTCGCCGCTGCTGACGTTTCGGGACAAGGCGCACCATCCCTGCGGATGAACTTGTAAACTCGATATCACCTCAGCGTCGTCGCCTATTGGGAAATCGGTAAGGAACTCTACTCTGTTGTGAGTACGAGTGTGAGCAAAGAGATGCGTGTAACTCGCTGCGACCGGTATGGTAGTCTGAGACAATTGCATTAGCCTGTACATATTTGGCTGCAAGAATAATACAGGTAAAAAAAAAAAAATACTTTTGGTCATCACATTTACAATCATCAGAGGCGTCAGCTGGAGAAACAATAGATACCTTGAATCCTGCCAAATCCTGACTTAGCGTACTTAGTTTAAGATTGTGTATTATGATGAGATATCCTGAAGTGGTGCATATTAACATTTTGCTAGTGTCCGGAGTTAGTCTTGTTCGCATTAGTCCATTTGTATGAAACACACGATTGTACACAAAGCTATTTTCTGTAAAACTGTAAGACACATTGCAAAACATAAGTATTTATATGATCACCGTCATAGATAGATGGAAAAAAATGAAGTTATATGTGAGTACTTTACCTATTAATATCCCAAGTATATATGCTACCGTCAAATCCACTGGTCAGTAATAAGCTGTCGCTCGGACTGTATTCTATGTTTTTAACCCAATTGGAGTGTCCCTGAAGAGTTCTTATTCTCTGCTTCAAGTTCCTGGCGTCCCACAGAGCGACCGTACTGTCGTCCGAGCAAGTCGCGAACATACGCTGATCCAGGAACCTGAATTGACAACCAATACTTCACATCTTTGCCATGGCGTTTTCTTCTCGCGCAACTAACAAACGACTCTTGTGCAGACTAACCTTACGCAATTGACGCAGTCATTGTGAGCGTTATCTATCGCGTGTATCAATTTCCTACATAACGGGTCAAACATTAAAATACTCTTCTTCTCGCATGCCGCCAGCAAGAGGGACCTGCAAAATATTAATTCAAGCGTTAGACCGAGCTGCTCCGGAGGCCTCGACCGACGTGGGGGAAAGAACGCTCGCAATCGCTACTGACCCATCTGGCGAGTATTCCAAATTGAACACACCGCCGTGCCTCGCGGCGGTCAGATTATCCCCGTGGTCCCACGAGGTGATGGGCTGGATGGAGGAGTAGAGAGTCCTGTGGAAGTCGTCGCTGTGGCCCAGCGGGAACCTCACACCCAGCTCGCGTTGCCTTAACCAGAGACTGTTTGGCGTCTGCTTGATCCTTATCTTCGGCATCGCTCAGCCAGGTGTTGATCTCAGCCGCATCCAATCGAATCGCGCGTCCGCCGGGTCGCTGGCGACGATCGGTCGGTCGGTCGGGGGGCTCAGCGTCCGGATGAAACGAGGACGCGAGTCCGGGACTAGGGCGCACCTCGCACCAGAACGCACGAGAGATCGGATCCGGATCTGTCACTGTCGGATTCTTCTCGCCGCCGAATCTCCGTCTTCCGCCCGTTTCCTCGCCCCTCTCGCGGTTAACGCGGCTCTAATCGGCACCCTTCCCGCACCTCGTCGCCGACTCGCGGTGTCCCATGGGGAAAATCGAGAACTCCGACAAACGGTTCAAGGTTCAACGGGCTGGCTAGGTTAGGTGCGAAACGCTACGCGCGATATTACACGTGACTCACCGCGGGCATCGCCGTCCGACGTACGCGGGTCGCGGCGCGATCGCGGCGCAGCGCGAGAACGGGCAACGGGCGATCCGGTACCCCGGCGTCGTCGTCGTGTCCGACGGAAAAAGGGCCCCCGACGGAGAGTTCAAATCAATTTTAAAAATCTGACATAACACAGATCAGCGCCATCTTTGCTGCTGATCGCGACAGCCTGTCATTCGCATCGACATCGATATACATTTGCCATCGCCATCGCGACGAGCGGGTCGCGCGATTAAAAACAACGGGAACAATGTTCTCGAATGCATATTCTGGAAGGAGGAAGATAAAGAAAGAGAGTGAGTATGTGTGTGTATGTGTGTGCGCGCGCGAGTGCGAGAAACGTAAGTAATTAGAGAACGAAAAAGATACATATATCTTTTCACGCGCTTTCTCCCCCTTTCTTTTTCTCTCTTTCCTTTTGTTTGTCTTTATTAATAAGCAATATGAACTCTGATTTCGTCAAGGAAACCGTTTAAAAAAATATATATACTCTTGCACTTGCGTAAATAAAACATTACGGTCCTTCCAATTAGTTTAATTGCACAATAAAAAACATAAAATTAATAAAATTTTAAGGCATATTTTTAATATATAATTACCTGCTTTCAGATCTGAATAATTAATATATCTCTCACGTACTCTTTTTTTATCTATCAATTAGCCGCCACTCATAATTAATTCTTATTGTCGCAAACATTTTAAATTTTTATATATTTTACATATGTGTACATATAAGTACATTTGCATATTTCATCAGTGTTTATGATTATTTATCCTTTTTATTTGAATTTGACTATGTACATGTGTAATTTTAATATATATTGTTATTTCTTATTTAATGCTTATTAGAAAGTATAATCAGAGCAATCTATGAAATAAAGAAAATATTATAAGTGTGACGTTAAATGCACTAGAGTTTCTGCAATTTTTATTTTACAAATAAGGAATTTTGGATTCAGATTGTAGACTACAAAATTGAGAATAGAAATTTATTTATTTAACCTTCACTTAATTGCTTTTAATAATATATGCAACAATGTTATCAGAATGTATTGAATAAATAACACATCATGAATTTTTATAATATATTCACTATTCTATAGATTTTACAAAACAATGTTATCTTCTAATAAGTATTAATTTCTACGGAATTTTAATTATCTATTTTATTATTTACCGTGTTTTATTATTTTATTATTTACGTTTATCTGTTACTATTACCGTTATTTAAATTAAGTTTAGAAAAAAGACAAAAGTAACATATGCATTCTTGAAGCGAGAATAAACACTATTGAGTCCATTTTACATTTACTTTGCGTTAAAATTCAGGATAGAATTTTATTAACAATCATGTAAAAAATGTGAAAATCAAAACAAAACAAAAACAATTCTATATAAAATATTAATTAAATTATTATACATACTGCACATATATCAAAATTTATAACGTACAGAATATAAAGTAGTAGATAGCAAAATTCTAAAATCTCATGCGAATTATAAATCGTCTAATTTTACATGCTTTTACATGAGTCTGCATACATCATCAACAAAAATCTTTGATCGCGATAGTTTTTATTTTGGATTAATATCGTCGTTTTTAAATCCCCACGAGATTATATTTTGAATTAATATCGTCGTTTTTAAATCCCCAGGAGATGAATCAATCGTGATGCAATTTGATTATGCGATTGTAAATCTAAGATAAAAATTTTCTGTTTCACGCAATGAAGCTCCCTATTCTTCGTCGGGCATAATATCCGTGTCGAACTTTAAGCCGGTTCCAAGTAAGTGCTCCTCCGTCCATTTGTCGAATCGCCGAGCGAGATCCTCCGACATGTGATTCGTCCAATCGCCGACCTTGCCCTTCCTGATGAACTTGAAATTTGGGTCATTTTTTGAATCTTCTTTTTCATCAAGCAGCAGTTGTACGTTCACCGACGGGTTCGCTGCCATTTTCGAGAATTTCAGATGTTCGCATAGCTCGACTATCTGCTCGTCCGTCACGTTTTTGCCTAAAAATTTCGCTGTCTTCTTAATCGCCGCCACCTGATCCTGCGAAGCATAACGTGCCGCGTTTTAACAAGAGAAATTTGATAGATTTATTAAAAAGTACAGACACGTGTTTTACCTGTTTCATTTCTTCGTACGTCAGAAATAGCTTGTTATCCTGATTTCTGGTTTTCCAGAAGGGCAGAACGTGATCCCAAAACGGGGAGTACGGCACTAAATACAAACATTATATATTTTTTAAATTCAATTCTAATTTTAATGTTAACTTTTATATTTTATAAGTTACGTCATTATGAAAGCAGAGTGGAAAGACATACATCCAAAAATTTATGCAACGAAAGTTTAAAAGACGTAAATTTACTCGTAAATTTTTTTAAAGACTATCCCTGGTGATTCTATTAAAAGATAAAAAATGGATATAAAATGCTGTACTTGACGTCGCGACGCTGAACAGGGTTCATCAAATAACATTATTTACAATATGCAAACGTCCCAGTTACTCGCAAATAATTTACAACATTAATTTTCTCAGTTAATGATATACATTTCTCGCGTAATTATGTCTTGCATCCGTGAGTAATATTGTGACGAATGTATTTTGAATCAATGACGCGTATTGTATATCTATATGTATGATCGCTTAAACGTACCACTATCACGCAGCATCAATTCTGCGAAATCGTTGAAGCTTCCATTCATACCGTGAAATACTCTGCAGTAGTAATAATAACTGACACAGACGTCTTTTGGATTCCTCGTGATATAAATTGTCTACAAAGAAGGAATATCGACACGTTATATTACACTGTACACAAAAGGAATAATGTCGCGAATCTCTACATGGCGCATCGCGTCGTCACCTTTGGCTTTTTCTCGTGAAGCTGCTTCGGCAATAAGTCCCACGGCAGGTGTGTTTTGATGTACCGCGGCCGCGGCATCTTCGCTATATTTTCGACGGAGTCGCCCAGATCTTTGAACCAATCGTCATACTTCCCGTTGACCATGATAACTGAACCTCTTACCGAGAAAAAGAAATTTAGAGAACGATAAGGATAGCGCAATTTCTTTTTCGAATTTTCAATTCTACAAAATATTATATATTACTGAAATCAACTGGCGAATCTACTTACTCGAGCGTAGGGCTGCGCTTTAGTATGATCGTGCGGGCTTCCTCGTAATCAAAATCGTGCCCGATGCACCATGTCATTTCCTGTGCCCAGTGACTTCCTGAAATTCAATCGTACAATATCAAGAAATTAATATAATCCGTTTGAGAAAGTGGATCACACGTGATATCCCAATCGAACTCCGATTATAATTCAATCAGCGGTTAATTCAATCGGCAGAATCGCTTGCGGCAAAATTTTTGATCTATAAATTTAGTTGTCCCTAATCCAATGTTTTTCTTTCTTTCCAGTGTTAAACAATTAAAAAACAATAGTATCTATCCGTATTAGCAAAATATTTTAGACATTATCTGACGAGTTAATTAACGATTAAGTATAACGTTAAAGTAGAGTTTGTCAAAGTTACCTTAATTACGCGGAATTAATTATAATAATTTTTTTCAATTTTGTGTCGGATGTGAAAGTTTTCTTTTAAATTATTATACTTTTCTTTTAAATTATTATTACGAATCACGTTTACTTATAGAATTGCGTTACTGAAACATTTACCAGTTCGAGGAAACGAGATCATCCAGACGTCGTCCTCGTACACCGTCATGTCGCGTATCTTCTGCGCGTAGAAGATGATTTTCGGCGGTAACAAGCAACGGCTAGGTTGCACCCTCACGAAACTGGGCTTCAGTCCGAATATCTCGTCCAATTTTTCCCCAGCCTCGTCATCTATAGTCGAGAACACGATCGACCCTTTGCTCACTGCTCAAAAGAATTCAATACAAGTTAGTGATTTAAAAAAAATTGCTCTAATAATTCCATATATCTGATACTCACTTGTTCTTCGTTGTATTTATACCGTGCGGATATCAGGACGCGCGAATCTAACGTGTTCAACTCTCAAATATGGACCTCACACACTCGGATGCTGTTGCACATGCGACCTGCAGAGAAATGAATGTACACCTGGCCGTTTGAATCCGATGACCCACCGCTGGGATACTTTTTTACCGGTCCTACCCCTTTTCTTGCTTACGCGCGACTTTCGCATACTTTCATATTTGCCATGTAAACAAAATCCATTTATTACACTCGTAGTGGAGAAGTTTGCAATTTTTTATCGCGAGTAACAAATACAATTGTATATATTCCCAAACAGCTGCACGGATATCTGAAAGATGCTATAGAGAAAAGACGGAGAGATTTTTTGTTTTACATTTATGATGATGCGGATTCTCTTGATACTTAAGTGCTTTACGTGTACAATCTCACTGTATTCTAATTTACTTCCTAAAATAATTTAAAAAATATTAGAATAAATATATCAAGCATATTTTAGACGATTTATGTTAGAATTCATAAGTTTGGATAGAATTTATAAGCTCATCGTTTAATATAAAAAATATTTGACGAATCATAAATTCAATTATATATGAAACTAATATTAAAATACACATACGAATAAAAAAAATGGCGCATCAAATTACAAATAGGATTTTATCCTCGATGCGATCGAATTATACAGATTATCCAAAGTGGACTGGAAGCATTTATTCTTTTTTCTTTTCTAGATATTATAATTTTAAGTGTTTTTTTTCTTTTTTTTTTAATAAACTGCGGAAAGACGAATCCTCTTCAAACGTAAGCCACGTCGTCAAACAATTACGCGGTATAGGAAGTGTAAAGCGCGAGCGGCATTCAAGCACGTTAAATTATTTACGACGTTAATATTAAACTTTCTCGTCGAGTAGAGATTTCACTTTCGGAGAAAGTCAACCGGCTGCATTCTTATCGGGGTCCGATGGCGCGTCGGGTGCATTCTGCACGCGCCGTAATCGAAAATATACCGTACGTACCATTTTTTCAACAACGAAAAAACGTACCTATAAGCAGATGACGATATCGTCAAAATGACGTTAAAATTACTTATAACTAATCAAAAAGTGATTTTTAATAACCATTTTGACGTCATTTTGATGTCATTTTGACATCAAAATGACGTCAAAATGGTTATTAAAAATCACTTTTTGATTAGTTATAAGTAATTTTAACGTCATTTTGACGATATCGTCATCTGCTTATAGGTACGTTTTTTCGTTGTTGAAAAAATGGTACGTACGGTATATTTTCGATTACGGCGCGTGCAGAATGCACCCGACGCGCCATCGGACCCCGATAAGAATGCAGCCGATGCATGCTGATGTCAGAATGATTTGTTGTTCTGCTTGGGTAACGTTTAAGTGCAAATATATGCAATGCATTAATAGCCGCTTTGTAACGAAGCGCTTTAAAGAGTTTCGCTTTCATTTCTATTTTTATTCGCGATGGAAAGCCGATTGGAGAACCGATCGATCGGAAAACAATTGAATAAAAATTAAAACAACGGACAATCAAGGGCAAATGAGCCAAA